TTGCTATTACTACAGCAAAAGCTGCAAAACTCCCAACTCAACGGGCATCATCACAGCACACTCGAGAAAAAAAAAAGATTAAGAGACAAAGACTCGAGAACCACTCCTTCATCCTTTCACATCATCCCATAAGCTACCTGGGTATCCAGCTACGTGTGAACCTTTGTGAACCTTAACTAATAATTCCTTTCTACTTTCTACTCACTACTCACTACCACTACTCACTATTTGCTACCGAGAGCCCAAGCACGCAACCTTAAATCGCCTCCCAAGCTAGCTTCCAAAGCAAAAGACAACCTCCACATAGATCAAGCCAACTTGACAACTACATCTTCATCTTCATCTACCACACAACCACACAACCCACAACTACATTTCTCCCAAAAGAGAGTACAACATCAATTCCCCTCTTTTTTTGCTTACAATTCATTTGGTTTTTGATAATACAACCATCTCTTCGGATTTGTTCGGTATCATCAATTCGCACATTCAGTCATATTACTGTACGCAGACGGAAATTCGCACAACCCAACTCTCTTTCTCTTGAATCGTCATCGCACACTCGACGTGTAACCAGTTTCCTCCATCATGGAGCAACAACAGCAACAACAACAGCAACAGGGTCAAGCACCTCAAGGTGGCGTACCTGGTCCAACTGGAAGAAGGTTACACATCGCGCATCGAAGAAGTCCTTCAGAACTCACTCCATTGATGAGTATCTTCTCTTCCCCTGGTAGTATGTCGCCCACCTTTCCTTCTGTTCTTCTTACAGCTTCCGGATTTCAGTGACGTATATTTGTCACTTTTTGCAGAATCCGGCAACCAATATCAACCTCGATAAAAAGGAATAAAGTCAATGCATTATTTATTACTTTTATGATAGAACCCCTCACAAGATCATGGCACTATCAATCTGCAACCATCTCCCAATCATCTCTCATTCAGTTCAATTCATTTCAATGCATACGTCTTTCAAACACATGCTAATCATAACTTCTCTCGACAGTGGAACAATTAGCTATTCAGCAACAGATCGAGCTCTTACAACAACAGCAACAGCAGATTCAAGCTACCCATCAACAATATGTCAACATGGGAATTATTCCTAATCAACACCTTGCTGCTCCTGGCCAAGGTTTCAATCCTTTACAACAACAACAAATGCAGAACCAAAATGCATTTCAATTCACCAATCAATTACAACCACAACAAATGAATGTACCAATGGGAGCTCCAACACAACCTCTTTCACATCGTCGTAATCAATCGGCACTTCCAAACATGGGGATGAATGTAGCGGGTCCACCACCAGCTCCATCTTCAGGCGCGGCTGGTCAAGGGTTCACTCAAGACTTTGGCGGAAATAGCAATCGTGGTGAGAATCAATCCACGAGAGGTGGTCGTGGTGGTGGCCCTCCAGGCGGTGGTCATCAAAGACGCCATTCTCTTGCATTACCAGAAGCTAAAAAGGCAGCTGAGATCGCCCAACAGAAGAGAACGACTTCTGGATTTCAATTCCCTATTCCTGGTGCAGGCGGTGCTACATCAACTGGTGGTGATAGCTCCGAAAACGTCAGCCCTGGAGACGATAAACCGACTCAAAGTACCGGCAATCATTTGACACCAAGCTCTGCTGCGCGTGGTGGTCGTGGTTCTCATGGTAGAAGTCAAAGCATGGCTGTGGGAGGTGGTCAAAATGGTCGAGGTGGTTCATCTCAACGAGGTGGTGGCTCATTTCAATTCCCATCAACACAAGGATCTACAGATGCTGGCGCAGGTCAAACCAATGAATTTGGAAGAAGAAACAGTGCTCAAAGCGGACATGCTCGTAACTCTTCTCGAAACTTTGATGGTAACTGGAGAAATCAAGTACCTCAAAATGCAGCCCCTCAAGATCCACAACCACAAATGGGTAACTTCCAAAATCAACAAAACCAAGGCGGTTTCCAACCAGGTCACCGAAACCGCGGATCTATCAATCAATCCATGGGCAATATCGGTGGATTCCAATATCAAGGTCAACCTCAGTTGGTTCAGCTTCCTCAAGGACAGATGATTATTCCTCAAGGTTTATATGGGTCAACAGTTGAATCCTTTACAGATCAACCAGCTTCAAGCATTGCAAGCTGCTCAAATGAGTGGACAGATGGGTATGCAGAACAGTCAGCATGCCCCACAACTCAATGCCCAGCAGCAACAACAGCAACAACGTAAAACCTTGTTCACTCCCTATCTTCCTCAGGCTACCCTTCCAGCTCTTCTGGGTGATGGTCAGCTCGTTTCAGGTATTTTGAGAGTTAACAAAAAGAATCGTTCTGATGCTTACGTCACGACTCACGATGGCTTACTTGATGCCGATATCTTCATTTGCGGTAGCAAGGATCGTAACCGTGCTTTGGAAGGAGATCTTGTTGCCGTTGAGTTATTGGATGTTGATGAAGTTTGGGGACAAAAGCGCGAGAAGGAGGAAAAGAAGAAGCGCAAGGACATCACTGACACCAGAACCGGTGGATCAACCAGTGGAAACAATGATCGAAATCACCACCGCGATAATCCTACAAATGGAGATGAGCAAAACCAAGAGGGTGGCCTGAGAAGACGTGGAAGCTTGAGACAACGACCAACTCAAAAGAAGAATGATGATGTCGAAGTGGAAGGTCAAAGTCTTTTACTTGTAGAGGAAGAGGAAGTCAACGATGAACAGAAACCACTTTACGCTGGCCACATTGTCGCAGTCATTGAACGTGTTGCCGGACAAATGTTTTCTGGGACTCTTGGTCTTCTTAGACCTTCCAGTCAGGCTACCAAGGAGAAGCAGGAAGCCGAACGTCAAGCCCGTGATGGAAATTCCGGTCGTCATCAAGAGCAACGTCAACAAGATAAGCCAAAGATTGTTTGGTTTAAACCTACTGACAAGCGTGTTCCATTGATCGCCATCCCTACTGAGCAAGCCCCACGGGACTTTGTCGAGAAACATCAAGACTATGCCGATCGTATCTTCGTTGCTTGCATCAAGAGATGGCCAATCACCTCTCTTCATCCTTTCGGTACACTCGTGGAACAACTTGGAAAGATGGGAGAATTAAAGGTCGAGACTGATGCTCTTCTTCGTGATAATAACTTTGCTTCTGATGAATTTTCAGATGCCGTGACACGTAGTGTTGGTCTTGATGATTGGTCTTTGGAAAAGGAAGATGAAACTTCCATTTCCACTAGACGTGATTTCCGAGAGGAAAAGACCTTCACCATTGACCCCAATGGTGCTGATGAGCTTGATGATGCTATTCACGTCAAGACTGAAGCCGATGGAAAGATTGAAATCGGTATTCACATTGCCGATGTTGCTCATTTCATCAAAGCAAACTCTTTGGTTGATAGAGAGGCACGCAAACGTGGAACTGCGGTTTATTTGATGAACCGCTCATGTGCAATGCTGCCACCCAAGATTGCCTCGGACATTTGCTCCTTGACTCCAGGTCAAGATCGTCTTACCGTCTCGGTAGTTTTCAAGGTCAACGCCCAAACCGGTACTGTTTTCGAGGAGGAGACTTGGATCGGAAAGAGTATCATCAAGAGTGGTGGAAAGCTGACGTACAAGGATGTTGATGCTGTTCTTTCCGGTCAAACTGATGTCAAACTTGAGGGTGCTGAAGTTAAGGATATTCAAATCCTCAATGTGAGTTTTACTTGTACAGGCCCATTTGCAGCGCTTGCTAATATCTACAGGCTGTCACTCAAAAGTTCCGCGAATCTCGCCTTGGTTCAGATGGAGAGACTATTGCACCACTGAGACTTGTCTATCAATTAGACGATGAAAACGTTCCAGTTGAACAAAACATCTTCGATTCCACTCCATCCCACGAATTGATTGAGGAATTGATGAACAAGGCCAACTCTTATGTCGCGCAAAAGATCTATCAAGGTCTGCCAGAAAAGGCACTCCTTCGTCGACAAGGGCCACCAAATTCAAGACGTCTTCAAACCTTTGCTGACCGCATGAATAAAATTGGGTACGAAATTGACACATCAAGCAGTGGACGTCTTCAAAACAGTCTTTTCAAGGTTGATGATACCAACATTCGCAAGGGTATGGAAACACTTTTGGTCAAATCCATGCATCGTGCCAAGTACTTTGTCGCTGGAAAGACCCAACCCCATCTTTACCCTCATTACGCGCTTAACTTACCATTATACACTCATTTCACCAACCCATCCCGTCGTTACGCAGATTTGGTTGTTCATCGTCAACTCGAAGCTGTTCTTTCTGACGGCAAGATTGAGTACAACGAAGATATCGAGACGCTCGTTAAGACAACTGAATCCTGCAACACCAAGAAGGATTCAGCTCAAAATGCTCAGGAACAAAGTGTTCACATTGAGTCTTGTAGGATTATGGATAGAAAACGTGAGGAAGCTGGTGGTGAACTCATCAGTGAAGGTATTGTCGTTTGCGTCTACGAATCTGCCTTCGATGTTCTGATTCCAGAGTTTGGTTTTGAAAAGAGAGTTCATTGCGATCAACTTCCTCTCAAAAAAGCCGAGTTCCGAAAGAATGAGAGAGTTCTTGAATTGTATTGGGAGAAGGGTGTGCCATCATCTGCATATGTTCCAGAAGATGAACGTCCAAAGGCTGGTGCATCTCAAAGGGCAACAAATGCTGCCGCCGCTGCCAAGCAAGCCGCTGTTGCGGAGAGAGCCAAGAAGGAGCATGAAGAAGCTCAACGAAAGGCAATGGAGACTGGTACCATGTCAACTGATGATGTTGATGCCTTGTTTGATGATGACGATGACGCTTCCGATATTGCCGGTAGCGTTGCTGGTGTTTCTCTTGCGGAACGTCCCACTCAAAGTGTTCCACCATCACCCACCAAGAACTCCATCTCAGCTGCAACCAACCTTCACCGAACTCGATCCGATTCCAAGGTACCAACGGGTGAACCTGTTGAAAATAAGCTTAGCGCTAAGGAGAAGTACTTGAAGTATTTCACCCTTCGTGAAGAAGACGGTGAATACATTCAAGATGTGAAGGAAATGACAAGAGTCCCAGTCATCTTAAAGACTGATCTTACCAAGAGTCCACCGTATGTATACCTTCGATTTCATTTCTGCTTGGCAACCAACTAACAAAGTTATAGATGTCTCACGATCAGATCTCTCAACCCTTACGCACTCTGAATGCCATTACAGCAAATCATCTTACCTAAGGTTTTCGAGGCTTTGGTATAATGTTGAAATTCCTTGACGCTACTAAATAATTACATGCTGGGCCTATGAAGTATTGCGGAGGGAACACATTGTGTTGTGTTATATTCGTCGAACATCTCGACCCAGGATCTATCTCCTACCAAGTTTTTTTCACTGTCAGATTGTCATATTGAAGAATCAGGAAGTTGGACTTGGCATGGAAGGTGGATGAATGAATGAAGGATTAATTATTGAGGAGGATCAGATGGTTACTGGTCTAGTTTAATGCAGTGAAAAGTGAACGTGAATGGAAACGAAACATGTACGAAGGAAGGGACATAGGGTGAAGAAAGGAAGTGTATCTTTTTTAATTCGGAAGATGATATATCGGATGAGAGAGGGACTAAGGCTCGAATATATTTCCTTTTGCTCTTTAGCGTTTCTGTATCAGATGCATTTATAGTTCAATGAGAGAAGAGGAAATCACAAATATGTTGTTGTGAGTGTAATTGTGTGTTGGTTGTACGCAAAGCGACTTTTGGAATACTGTGGTGATTTCAAGCTGGGTGGCTTTTATTGTAGCTCTCCCTTGATGTGTATAAAATGGATCCTTGGTTTCGAAATTCAGCTTGGCGGAGAGATCAGGGGGTAGAAGGTGGCGTATATTTCTGCTTCTCAATGCTTGAGTACATTGGATGAAGCCGTTTTGATAGGATATAACCGCATCGGGAGTCAAAAGCGAAAGAAAGCATCGGCCATTGACTTTTCTTTCTTCCTGTTAAGCAATTGTTGAAGTGATGTGTGTATCTTCCATGCCGAGGTCATGAGATTACGTGATGCATCATGCATGCACAACTGTGTAAACTAAAGTAGGTAATGGGAATGAGAATGGGAATTGAATTATGGTACATCAAAATAGGATGGAGTAGCGAATTAATCAAGCACACTTATTAATAACCTAATCCTAGGTACTTGTTCCTTAACGGATTTAGAAATCATCCGTGTTGCCGCGCTTGGAATTAAGATGGATGGGTTATGTGTGATGTTGGGATAGATATTTGTGAGGTAGGTACGAATACGGATGAATATTTGCTTAGCAGTATTATACATATCAATCTTACATCCCATCTAGCTCCTCCCTCTCAATATTCATCAATGCGAACCTTATGCAAAGAAAATCATCAAATTTTCAGCGCAAAACCACTTTCTGAATTTCTCTGACGATGCACATCAGGGATCAGGATACTTCACAGACCCCGAAACGAACCTGATACAAAGGCAATCCCATTATTTATCCACAAGCGAACGGATGCATATTCTTCCATTTATTCCTGTAAAAATAAAGTACGAAATAGTCGGAATAGTCGGAAGATTTCGAAGGATACAAGGTCTCGGGTTGGTTGGTTAAAACATTATTTATGAGGAATGGGTGAAGGGGGGTGTTTGATATGTGACTGTGGGGATGACTTTCGGACTTTAATATTTCTTCCTGCCAAGAATACGCCTTTGGTTTTTGTTGCAACAAGCTCCCGGGCGAGTAACAGATTGTTGATCCGAAGCTTATCATTGTCTTGGTATGCTTGGTATGCTTGAATGCTTGGATGTGCTTGGGTGTTTGTTAGGGGATGTTATACATATAGATGAAGTTCATCGTTTTTTTTTTTTTCTGAAAAGGTTTGAATAGCATCACTTTCTTTCCGAACAGGTTACCTTTTAATTTTCTCAAGCACTGGTTTGCTTTCACTTGAATTATTCATTCATTTATTCATTTACTAATTTTATTTCATTCTCTCTTCCATGTCATCATAAATTATCTTTCTTATTTAAATTTACACCGTTGTAATAGCTCACTCAGGCTGGTCTTGTGTATATCCATCTACTTCTATTTTATCCAATTCAATCCAATCTCTAAACACGAATCCCAAAACCAAGATACTCAAGCAAAATGCCGGTACTAAAACAAATCATTGGAACAATCCTCGCATTGGCGACAGTATCATCAGCTCTTCCGGCACTTCCCAAACTTAATGAGAGGGCATTGAAAATGTATGAGATTAGTTTTAAGAGACAGGTTACGGATACAGGATTACCGGCTAATTTGACTGATGTGGATATTTTGCAATTGTAAGTTTTTCTTCTTTCTTAGAAGAGGAAGACATAGTTTGTTTTCCTCTAGACAAAGGAGTGATGCGAAGCACAACTCCTCCGGGGCGTTGAAGGATGGTGGCGAAGAGTGATGAGGGGGCCGAAAGTGATATCGGGACAAGTAAACCACTTCGCTGGCCACACTCGAAGATTCATAAATCATAGTCTTCTTTTACGGCAGCGACCTAGAAGAGCGTCCATTTCATTTTCTCACCCTTACTGTCTTCCCTATATTCTATAGAAATCCTAATTAACACCTCATAGCGCTCTTACCCTCGAGAACCTTGAAACAGCCTTCTACCAACAAGGCTTCGCCAAATTTCCTGATTCAGACTTCACAGCACTTGGTCTCACAGCACAAGATATTACCAATCTCAAAATGGTCGGCATGACCGAGGCAACTCACGTAACAACCCTCACGAGCGCTATCTCTGCAAGCGGCACCCAACCAGTCGCTCCATGCACCTATAACTTTAACTTCACCACTGCCCAAAACATGATCGCCACAGCCAATGTCCTCGAGAATATTGGCGTGAGTGCTTATTTAGGCGCAGCACCATTAATCAGCAGCAAAGCCATCTTGACCGTCGCCGCCGAAATCGTCACAGTAGAAAGTCGTCATCAAACATTCATCCGTACGGCCTCCAAAGTGGCAGCAGTCCCCTCCGCCTTCGACACTCCCCTCGGAATTCGCAACGTCTTTTCCCTCGCAGCGCCATTCATCCAATCCTGTCCTCAAGGCTCCAATCTAGCCGTTACGCCCTTCCCAGCTCTCACCATGACGACTGCAAATGAAGCTATTACCGCAGGGTCAACGCTGCAATTAAGTACGACGGCGCAGGGAGCAACAGCTTGTGCTTTTACGAATGGAGGACAAACTGGTGGGACAGCTTTTACGGCTTTTGCTAATGGGGCGTGTACGGTTCCTCAGGGGTTGGCAGGTGATGCGTATTTGAATTTGGCGAATCAGATGCCTGCGACGGGGGTGTTGACGGATGCTATTACTGTTGCGGGACCGATGGTATTACAGATTTCTTAGGAGTTTGTTGTGGGTGGTGTGGTTTGGGGTGAGGTCGGGAGAGATGACCGTTGGGAGCACGAGGAAATTAAATCGTGGAGGAGAGATGGGATAGTGGGGACCATGAGCTGCAACCATGAAGACACGAAGAGACAATCTGGTCTCGGTATGGAAATGGAGGCAATTGACACATTATAAAATGCAGGATCTCAACCTCGGACAAGAGTCTTTTTCTTTGCATATCATCACACTTTTGTCGTTTTACAATTTCTTTTCTTTTCTTTTCCAGTGAACCGGATCGATTTATTATTTATTATTTTAGAGATACCAATTTTATTCATCCATATTCACCATCCTACAACATTTCACTTGACAGCTTGACTACTTTCTCGTCCTACACTTTCTTTTGAACCATTTCATACCTGACCACCCATGCTAATGTCGGAGGCTTCGCATATTCAATTTTCTGGTAATGGATAGTATTTTTACCAACATTCGCTTGATAACTAGTGACATATATCTTATATTGATACTTATTGCGTTACGTGATCTATACTACATCCCTTCTATTACAATTCATCTTATCATCAATCCGGACACCGCTTTTCCCCGTAGTCCCGCCAGTTACTCACCGCAATCTTGTTCCATTCCCATGCCACCATCTATTTAACATAAACCGGAACAACCGGATCCTCCGCATATAATTTGAACGCGTTGACATACTCAAAGAAGCTTGCTTTGTAAGATCGTTCGCCAGTAGTAAAGTTTACATATTGCATTCCGAATTTGACGTGGTAGCCTGGATTTAAAAGTTAGCATTGATTGGGCTGAATTTGGGACCCTGCTCTGGTGGTGTGATTCTTCGGCTTCGATTACAAGATGCTGGGATCTCCGGCTGCCTAGCTCACTGATCGAACACCATATCAAGAAACCACATGTCTCCCATGCAGAAACAAAAATATACAACCAAAGGCAAGATCAAGTCAACTTACCCTGAGCCCATTCCAAATTATCCATAAGACTCCAAGCTATACACCCTATCACATTAATTCCTTCGCTAATAGCCATTAATACAGCTTCCATATATTGTTTGTAATATAGGGTTCTCCTGACATCCGTACGAATATCGGCGAGGAGGGTTTTTTGATATTCAAACGGCTCGGCGAAACTGTTGTTTGTGGAAGTTAGAGTTAGCTTTTGTTTTGACCGTAGAGGGGGTAGCGGGGAATGACAATGGAAATAGCGAAGAACAGATGAAATGACTTGGGGCGGCGGGGACATGAAAAGAAAGGAAATCGGCAATTAAATAACCCACCCAAATTCTGTGATAGCAATTCCACCCTTACTTGGCCAAGTATCCTGCATATACTTCAGGAACGCTGGGAGCCAATCCACAGCATCATGCAACCATTCCGACAACGGATCCGATGCAGGTCCAATTAACCACCCATTATATCCGGTGTTTGTAGTGTTATAACACCCGGGATATAACGGGTGTGAAGAGTTAGATGTACATGCATCTGTTCCTGAATCAGGGGCCATGTAATAGCTTGCGCTATATGCATCATGAGCGAAGAAATCAGCTGTTCCATTAATCAAAGCCTTTTCAGTTTCGTTAAAAGTAAGTCCAATGGTATCCAGATAGGATTTCAAATGAGTTGGATAGTCTCCATTGATGAAAACCGGATTTGCCCACCATCCTTCATTGAAATCCCAAGCTCTTTGCACGGCCACGGCATCTTCCGATGAACCTGTCAATGGGACTTTATAGCCGCCGTTGTTTTTAAAACTTACTGTTCCATTCAGTCCCATGGATTTGAAAAGACGATAGGCTTTTGCATGAGCGAGTAAAACATGGTGACCGCAGTAGTATGGTTGTTGTTGTTCAGGGATAGTGACTGCGGTAAAATAGTTGGATGCATAAGGATATTCGTCGCAGAACGTTAGAGGTTCGTTCATTGTGAACCAGCGAGATACTTTCTTGCCATAGCGGGAAAATATGATCTTGGCGTAGGCAACGTAATCATCGACGACGTCTGGGGAAAGCCAGCCACCATAGCTATTTTGCAGGAATAGGGGAAGATCCCACTAAAATGTGATGTTAGGGGCGAAGATGAGACGGAAGGGATTAAACTGACGTGGAACAATGTAACAACAGGTTGGATACCAAACTCGATGCATGTATCAATTAGATCTTCATAATGCTGCAGAGCAAGTTCGTTGACTGGTCCCTTTCCAAATGGTAAAACTCTAGACCAAGAAATCGAAAATGAATAATATGGTACACCAAGAGCTGCGATTCTTGCAATATCTATTCCAGTTAGCATCGTCAGCCATCCAACCCAATTCTAAAAAGGAGTGGGACAAACCTTGTTTATATAAGTAATATTGATTGTCTGCAACATCTCCGGTATCGCCAAACAAAGTCGACTTTGAAGCAGCATTGTGTGTAAATACATCCCAAACACTAGGACCTCTACCTTCATCAGCAGCAGCACCCTCAACTTGATATGCTGCAGATGCTACACCCCACCAAAATCCTGAAGGAAATTTCCAGGATTCATTCTTTGCAACTAAGGGTACTTGAGCACCGGTTAGGAAAGATGGGTAGTAGAGCGGAGGTGGAGGAATGAGTTCGGATGTTGCTACGGGAGTGGCGGAGACGGTTGTCCTGGTTGCTGCGGTTTCTACTGGACCGACGAATAGATCCCATAATTCTAAAGACGAGTTAGTATGGTTGGATCGATCTAAGGCTTACCAGCGTTGGGGATGAAGCGCAGGAACGAAAACAAATGAGGCGTTATGGCAATTAGAATTGCTCCGGGAAATTTGACACTGCAAACGAATCTCAAGACCTTACGTTGAACATTTATATTAATACTTGTCGTAAATCCTGCTGGGTTTTCCACAGTTGATGTAGGCGTCGTCGCTATTGAAGATATAGCTTGGCATTGTCCGGCAGATTCGCAATATTGGTTACTGGAACAGCATGTTGTACCACATGCTGTTTGGCCAGAACTGTTGTCACAAGTAGCAGCAGAAAGGACAGTCCCAAAGGACAATGACCACAAGAAGAGATTCATGACTACCTCTGACAAGAAGGAATGCTCAAAATCATACTTGTTTCACGAACAGCAATTTCTCCAATTTATGTGAGAAGGATCCCCTTATCTTACCTGCGGGGCTTACTTGCATAGATCCAGCATCTTGAGCTGTCAATCAAGGATATGGAATTCAAATCACTTGAGCTGGTACGTCCGAAGTAACCGGTAGACAATACGCTCTCCAAAAGACTTACCGCAAGTTACCCGAGTATGCAAAAGAAAAAACTATAAAAAAAAATGGGTAACCTTAGATGACAATGAAACCGTATGCAGGTGTTCATCCAAACGAATCCGGGATGCAAGCGGAGCGTCCAGTAACGTCGCGGGGAAGAATGAACATGGCGTCCGGATAAATTATGAGCGAGATGATCAACAGCATGGGTTAAAATGTTGTGCCAAGAGTGGGTGGGGGAGTAAGAATGAAATGACTTGAAGATATGACGTGTGTGTTTGCTGGCGCTTTAATGCAAACTTTTGGTGTGTAGCTTTCAGCAGGCATACGCGGATGCACAGGAAGAGCATAGCCACCAGCGCATTGGAACGAAACATGATAATATCGTCCAATCTCGGCAGTCATCTTTGAGAGTATCAAGGAGAGCAAAGTCCATGTTTCCTTCTTTCCGAGCCCCTTTGAATCGCCACGAGCCACGACCATACCACTTGTGTAACTTTCGAGAGGTCCATTAAATTATTCTTCCGTGAAGATCCTAAATGGTTGCTTCGACTCAAATAAGAATTTACATGCCCATTGTAAATTCGCGCAACTGTGGATATCGTCAAACCCACACACATCCTATCTGGAAAATTCGGTCTATCTGTGCAACGTGAAAACTGCTCGGAAAAAATCGCGGGAGCATTGGAAGTGTCGTAGACAGCTCGCAGATATCTCACAGACATCTCGCAGACAGCTCGCAGTTGCACACCATGTCCACAGATAGAGGGAGGATATAAGTTTGCCTCCCGAGGTCTTTACATGTGGGCCACCCTTCGTTCGAAGTTTGTTGAGTAAAGGTAAGATATACGTAGAACGAAAGGCTCTCGCTGTGTCGTTCACATTTTGCGATGAGGATTTCAAAGTGCAGCTTGAGCAAACAGTATACACGCGTAGATTATCCAAATATGCGACAGATCCTCGAGAAGGGGCTTTTGATTGATAGTAGAGGTATTTCAACTTCACAAAAAAAACTTTCGATAGGTACGTCGTGCAATGATTGATGTGATGATGATTAATGATTGAGATTGACGACGATTCATTTCTGGTTAGAGCTTGCGGACTTACGGTTAATCCCGATGATCATGTGATCAAAGTCCAGTTAGCCAAATGCTTGTTTCGCCTCAACCTCTGATCATCAATGATATCGATGTCTTACTGATAGATTACATATTACATTATTCATCCAACATTCAATCATGGAAACTAAACCACAGAAACGAAGAAGGATAATCAAGACTTGCTGGGAATGTTATAGAAGAAAACAAAAGGTAATGAATACATTATCATTATCATCATCGTCACCAGCATTATCATCACCATTGTCATCACCATTATCATCACCATCATCATCAAGAATATTCCTGACTATCAAAATAGTGTAATCGCGGCCAACCATGTGATGTTTGTATTTCTAGAAATGTACCGGAGAAGTGCTCCTATTCTAATCCAGCATCGTACGTGGCACTCTGTTGTATAGATCTGAAAGTATTCTCATCAGAAGAACAGGCTCGATGATTCAAGAGATCTTCTACATGATGGAGCGCAGTCGAGCAAACGGACAAGAGACGAGGAAATCATATTAAAATCAGGTTCAACGCCATCCGATCTTTTCGGCCAGGTAGGATATGCTTCTTATAGCAACTCCTTCAGTGGATTGAAAAAGGTACACCGTTTTCTCATCCTACTTAGGATTTAAACTAACAGAAGTAGTCATTTCATATTAATGATGAATTATCTACATTCATTGGAACGTCTTCAGCAACTTCATTATCTCATCCTGTTTTACGACATAAATACTTGAGTTTAGCTATTCAACTACCATCGCAATTTATCATCTCAGAACTTGTCGAGTCATTCTTCTCGGAGATACATTGGTATTTTAAATTATTGGAAGAGCATTATTTTCGAAAACTCCTCAAGCAATGGCAAGATATTCAAAGTACTCTGTCGGAACAATTAGATCTTGTGACTATTTCTAGAGATCTTCAATATTTCCCTGCATTGTTATTCCAAACTCTTGCGGTTTCCTTGCAATTCTTACCACCGAACACAGGAACATCCAGGTTACTTCAGTTAAAAACTCTATTAGATTGTGATCGGCTTTCTCATGAGTATAGTAAAATTGGTATGGAAATAATGTCCCTGTTGGGAAGGCATTCTTCAACTATGACGGCCGTTGAACATGATTTGTTAAGATCGGGCTGGTTAAAGAACTATGGTAGAGGTACAGAAGCATGGCATATATTGGGTAGTGCGATTAGGTTTGTCGTCATATGCGCCATTCATCCACGATGCTAACCAGATTTCAGGCAGGGTCAAGATTTGGGGCTTCATTTACAAGCTGTAATTCCAAAGGTCGCCGGAGAAGATGTCGGGGCTGGATTAGAAAAACTTTGGTATGATGAATATAAAAGAAGACTTTGGGTAACGCTATTCACTTGGGATAGGTCAGTACTGTGCATCCTTATTTTAGCCGTCTCTAACTACTTTCAGTCATATGTCTGTCATGCTTGGAAGGCCTCGTTCAATCAATGCAAGTGATTGTACAATTAGAACACCAATTGATTGCACATTCCCTGATGATCCGTCAAAAACTATACCTTCGGCCGCAAATCTACAAGATCCTGACACACCTCCGTCTACCTACTCAGCTCAGCTATTTCACTACACTATTGCCCAAAAAGTTCACGAGTTATTAGCAGCTGGTGCTCATAGACCACATATAAAAGACTACTCATTCGTCACAAAACTTCACAACGAAATTGTGTCTATCATTGACGCCCTACCACCTATTTTACGACCTGAGAATCCGGATAAGTCATGGGATGAAAAAGAGCCAAAGATTCCTCGTCAACGACAAGTACTAGCCAATTTTGCATATTCATTCCTTATGGCTCTTCACAGACCTCACGCGCCAATCCATGCTGCAAGTCGAATTGCAACCATAAAAGCTGCTCTAGACTGCCTTGATACTCAAGATTCATTCATGCAACTAATGAAACCACATCATTACCGAATCTATTCACTTTCATTCAACTCTATCGATTGTGGAATAGTTTTATCTGGGATACTGTTGGAATCACCACATTTGGAGAATAGCTTGAGGGAAAGAATACAAGCTGCGATAGAGAAAACTATTGGAAGGTTGAAGTTGATGGAAGAAAGAAGTCCTATTGCAAAATCCGGTGTACAAATACTTACTATCTGCCATGAGAGGATCTTGGACCGTGATAAGAACGGCGGCGGGATGACCAACAAGTCACGAGTACTGGACCAGCCGGAAGGAAGTCTAAAGACTGTCAACGGAGGGGATAATATAGTTGATCAACCACAGAATCCAAATGGTCTTGAGGCCCAGCAATCGCAGCCAATAAATCTAAATGGCTCTACTGCGGACCTGGTGGATTTTAGTAATTTTGAAATGGATACATCATTTTGGGACGAGATGAATCAAATGATTGATTTTGATATCGGGGTAAGCATGGAAGAGGATTTATGGAACCCGAATTATTCATTTCCGGACTTAAACATGCCTTCTAATAATGGAACCGCCCCGACAGCGTGGTATGGAAGTGGCAGCACGGGGTAATTTGGTTGTGGACAAAAGACCGTTCCTCTAGATCAGTACAATTCGACCAACATCATCGTCTACAAAGGCAATTCCATTCTGATTCATTTTGAGATTTTGCGACTACTTGTTGGTTGGCCAGTCTTAAGATCATGCTGCCTTGAAAATTGTTCCTGGTATTAATATCACTTGTCACCACTAGTGAAGGGAAAGTCGTGGAGTTGTGGGCGCCTATTAAATTCTACGTTTTGTTTCTTATTCTATATATTACTAGATAGTAGACTATACATCCCAAATTTCAAAATACTACCAAAAGCAATACACTGCTGCTTGATAACTTTCTCTCCTATCAACTTCGCAGCTCACTGGTTCTTGGAGGTCACAAGCAAGAATACCCTGTCCTACTTTATCACATCCACTACAAGAGAAACTAAATCCTCCGTTAACGCCACAGTCAATACCTCTATCAAAATAACAATCGCTACGACCGTTGGCAGGAAAGGGTCCCAGCCTAGGAATAGGACCTGTTTGTTGGGGCGGAGTTGTAACCACACTGCTATACAAAGCCCCATCAGTTGAGCAGCCAGGAAATGTCGGTGTAGCCGAGTCGACACTAAATATCTCCCATTGATACTCACAAGCTTCAAGTTGACAAACAGTGTACCCTGCAACAACGAACCCGCCGCCTTGGTTTGTTATCGGTTTAGGTGTTGGCTTGGGGCTTGAGGCGGTAATCACAGTGGTGATAAAGACTGTTGAAGTGGGTAATTCCGAGAGAGTTGTCGTACTTAGAACCACAGAATTAATTCTACTTGCATATTCTGGATAGTCCGAAGTTATCATTGCCTCAAAGGCGGCGTCGAGAGATGGATCAGGAGCTGCTGTAGTTGTTGTTGGCCATATCTCCATGTCGTCAAGATATCCTGGGACTGGAGTACCAACGGTAAACCATTCTGTACCGGTCTCTGAGCATCCTACGCCAGTGTAACAGACGGTGCTGCAATCATTAGAAACACACGCTGTGGAACAGGTAGTCGCTGTTACGGTGGAACATTCCCTGGAGCTTGATTCATTCTCACTACTACTGTCCTCACTACCGCTGTCTCCACCACCGCCACCTCCGCCGCCTGAACCTGGAGGACCTCCAAAATTGGTTTGAGCATTTGGCCCGAAAGGGTGACATGTAAGGCAAGGGCCATTACAGAAAATGGAACACGGGCTCCCACACCCAGATGTGCAAGTTGACTTAGGAGGACCATGAGTCCAGGTTGTGGACTTTGTGTTTAGGGTAGAATCGCGAGTTTTTTGGGACCATGGATATGGTGGTGGCGTTATTGTTGTTGTGATTGGCGGCTGGGTTGTACCTGATGGAGGAGTCGGAGTTATTGTCAAGACCGTTGTGGGCAAGTCAATACTGCTTGTCATATTGAGTATCAAAGGTCCGACTTCGTCAGTTGGGATAATTTGCTCCCATACTGGGATCTGATTTGTTGTGACTGAAACTATTTGTTAAGGAAATTTTTGCACGTAGTAGGATAGCCACTTACTAGCTTGTATTGTAATGACGGTTGTTTGGGTTACCAAAAGATATCCCCCAAGACTCATCGTCGTCCCTCCCCAGAATGTAGCTACTCTTGTGGTAGCATAACTTTCTACCAATGAAGTTGTCCATGGTGGGATAGATATGGTTGTCATGGTGCTTAACGTTAGTGGAGGGAATACCAAAGTGCAAGGTAGATTTTCACATCCAACAACAGGGTCTGAGGTCGTCCAAATCTCGGGTGGAACCAAAATAGTGCCTGATGAGGAGAGATATGCAGGCACAGGATCATTGCATGGGTCGGGGCAGTATCCCCGGCTACAAGCAAAATTACAGAGGCCATTGTATGAATCTAACTCATATTCCCCTCGAGCCCCATATCCACTAACACTGTGAGTTGCTGCTGGTGCAGGAATCAGTGCACCAGTCTGTGTACAAGTACACGCTTGCTTTGGACAAAATCCGTAATTGCAGCTGTATCGACAAAGTCCTGAAATATCTGCAGGTCCAGTACCATTGACACAAGTGTTAGGTGTGAAAGGTGATACCGCAGGAGTAGCTAGTGGCACTGATACAGTACCACAAGCCGTGGGAGGACAGTAACCATAATTGCAGGCAAAAGCACAAAGACCATCGTAATCATCGTTACCACTTGCTATGGGGTATCCTTTGACGCCTAGGGCTGTAGGCAATTTTGCTTGAGGTCCCATCGCCGTGCAGTAGCAAGACCCAATGGGACAATACCCAAGGGCACAAGAGAACTCACAAAGACCATTAAAATTGCCAGTACCATTCCCTGCTATACATACTTGATCGGAAATTTTGAGATTGGGTGATGCGGCCGGAATAATCTCTCCTATAAACCCAGAAAATTAAGCATTGTGTCCCTTCAACATAGCATGAGGTAGGCCGATCATTGAAACATGATCTACGGCGGCAACATTAAAATAAAAACAGAGGAAATGGTCACCTACCAACAGCACTCCCCACCCAAGCGTTTAAGTTCATGAATCCATCAGTGCAGCTTGTGGTAATTGACGCACCGTTGACAGAGGCAATGAGGGTGCCAGATCTTGACACAGTCACCACTACCACACCGATCTCCCCATTGTAAGAGACGCTCCCATGAAAAATCCCTAAATCTGGTTAATGGAATATCAAACGATGAATCGTCGCGTAAAGAATGGGTTCGGTGTCCAAAAGAATCGAAATGCCTCACTTACCAATATTGCCACTTGGAATTTTGTCCCAACTCGCTGGCAGTGATACACCTCCGATCGTGACTGAGATATCAGCCATCGAAGTGAGAAGAGCGGAAAAGAAAATTTTGTCTTGGACTACTTCTTCCGGACTGAACTCTAATTGAAGTTGACTGGCCGTATTACCAGTGGTCCCATTTGTCGAACATCCCGACGATAATGGATTAATACGATACCAAGTGACCAGCCCCTCCTCCGTGATAGAAGCGATCCCTTTTTTGTATGTGTCAATCAAATAAGGAAGGAACAACCGCCACCCATCGTGGGGCATGTTGGTTACAAAGTTGTAAGGGCCCATCTCAAAGAGATCAAACTGCTCTTCATGAAGCGGGCCGATGTAATGCGACTCTCCAAAGTCATTCCATGTCAAGATCTCCACAAAGTCAGGCTGAATAAACATAACCTCTTCCCAGCGATCATACCACAAATCATCCCCTCGCCATACCCAATTCTTGTCATAACCAGGAAGATTGGTGTAGAACCATGGTGAGACGGGCATTGCATACGGCTTTGGAGTACCGGAGCTATTCAGGAACTGCAAGTATGAGGCGTCCACATAGGTGTTCATGTTGCTATTTCCCCATGGCCATGCTGCCCAACTCAGGAGCCCATCAGCTATGCCACCAGCGTTCTCTGTTGCAGCCTGGGCTCCTAGAGAGGACCAATCTGGAATGAAGAAACAGCCTGTGTCTTCTTTAATGGCTAACCAATCAGACCCACTACTTGGTCCTTCAAAGGTGGAAACAAAAGGTTTACCATCATACAGGTAGTACGCCGAGTCGGAAGCATAGTCCATCAAAAGGGCTGTCACATCCTGTAAAGGCCATGCTCCGTTACCGGCATAATCAAATGAAAAAAACAGTTTGAATCCCAGATTGTTCGCTGCAGCAAAAGCATACTCCAGAGATGTAGATACGCTTGAGTCTCCGTAAGCAATATTGAGTGCGAAAGCATCAATATGGGCAGCTTGGGCCAAAGCTATATCGCTTTCCCAATTGCTTTGGTCCCAAGAATAAACATTTCCAACCTATTTCATATTAGAGATCTGATTTATGAAACGTTCAGCTGAGTATGAACATACCATAAAATGAGCAAAAACTGCTTTTGTACTTGGTATTGATGTGATTGAGGACACGAAATCTGTACTGAAATTTGAGTGCGTTGAGAAATTCTGAGAAGATTGTGTTGTCGTCAATGTGGAGTTTGAATTTGCGGAACTTTGTAGCCGGAATTCTGAAACTTGGGATGCTTGCGATGAGTCGGAAGTATTGGGATATAAAAAATGATTACTGTTTCTCGTTCGAGTTCTTGTTGATAATGTTGATATTCCTGAGGAAGGAACGGGAGTTTTCAGGATCCCCGTTGGCAAAAGTGTCTGGCTTGAAGCTGCATTCATAGAAGGATCCGTTTTCCTAGCCTTCGGAGAGCTGTAAGTTGAGTTACCGATGTTTGAGATTGAAGCTATATTGTAAACACTGCCACTGGCAATATTGCCTTTCATGGCAGTGGACGAGAGTTGCCTTGCAGGATACGAATCTGTAGTCCTGAGAGAGGATATGAGGATCGTCAAGTGAAAAATTAATAAGACCTCTACTCTCAGGTAACGAGCCTGTGTCTTCCATGCGGAAAAATGCATTTTGCCACGAGAATGAGAAGAAGCAATATAACGGGGAGTGGAAGCTAATATAGAAACATATATAAGGGTTTATGGAGGTTTTATATTATCAATTTTGATTACAACGGAAACTTTCATATCTGCATTTACACAACAAGACGGGCTGACTTCCACCACCAAGTGTTGTGTAAAATTTTACCCTCGAGGATCAAATGCTGCTCGTCTCCACGATTGTCAAAAAGTCAATGATCTTGATCCTCACTTTAGACTTCTGATATGTGATATGTGATGAGACCAGGCTCATTTCCGTACCTTGCCCAAAGATCAGGTAATTCTAGTCAATATGCTCCTCACCTGCAGTCCACTGAAATCCATGGATGAAAGTCAAAGTTTCACAACGGATTATTGCACATTTCCTATTTTGGAAACTTTGTGGGAAAGAAGACAACAGCAACAGCACTGAAGATTAACCGCTGGAGACAGTTCACTCACCATATGGGTTCATTGTTGGTGATGGCTGTGGTCAGTGGTGAGGGGCCCCGGGCATGGGTATCACATCCTGCTCCTGGTCTATGCTCCACAAACATTTTGGTTACCTCAAACGCCGTGAAATTTGTTCTCGGTAGTCACACCGTGATCAGTGTTAGCTTAAATTTATGCATATTGTGACAGGCATTTTTGTGATCTCACCTCGGCCGAGCTCAAGCTTGCTAGGTAGAACCAGACTGCCGGTAAATTGCGACCCAACACAGCCCCACTCTAAGTGATAGTTAGCCTACCATGTATTGACATCAGACAAGCGACTGTCAACGTCGAAACAAAAAATTGGACCAGTGGACCAAAAATTCCAACTTATTAGTGAAGAACCTACTGACCAATTCTCAATCTTAAATGAGCATGGTATAGGAAATAAATACGATAGCCGCTCAAGTTCTCGGAGGCTCCATCTTGTGTCTAAATTGTCGATGCGCGATAGAAAGAAGGTTTGTTTTCTCTCAGGACCTACAGGGAATGCTGGTCCTTCCCCTAGTGAGAGATTTTAATACCTCTCTATCAAATGTAATATGTTCACATGATCCCGGCTTTCTTAGCAGACCTCGAAAGTTAATCTATTATTCCAGTCAAGCGTCCGACATGGATTACATCTTAATTCCATGTACGCGACCCCATTCTTCGTGGTTTCCGTTTTCATTAGCTCGTAGTTGTTCCACAGTGCCTGCTATCGAGGAGACACGGTATGATGACTTTGACGGGTATCCCGGAGTCATGGTATTTGAGGCACGAAGCGTAAAATTTTACATTCGACATGGGATAAAATCGGATTCCGATTCCAATATAAGTTGACTGTGGACGTGTCCTACTTTCCCACAATAACTCTCCTGATATCTTCCTTTCAATTTCGAGTCGTGCAGCTGCGGATTGTCTCTTCCCCCTTATTTATTATGTTATCTTCAAAGATTTTCGATTGTGCTTCCGCAACACATCTGCTGAAATGGATAACAATATGTCTCTTCGTTTCATCCTGCTCTGCGTCTATCAATGATGTGTTTACAGTGAAGAAAGGAACCGACAAAGGTGGCTGCGACAATTATTCTGACGTCCTTACGAACTGGTTCTCTGAAGTCCAGGTCTTGCTTGAAGCAGGACTCCAGGCTTTTGTCGACGCAGAAAACAACGATCCTGTTGCACTAGCTACGTTAGACGGCTATTTTGGGCTGAAGCGTAGATCCAGCAAAGGGGACCGTGCTGCTGTTCAAGGCGCGTGTGCATTCCCCCCTCATCATTTTCCACTGTGATGCCACTTGGCGGATCAATCAAACTAATACCAAGTAATTTTCTTTTTTTAGAATATTTGGAGCGAACAAGCAAATTTTACTCGGGGAACTACAAGGTCATTCAAGATGATCAAACTGAAACTCCATGGCTATTCTGTAACAGTGATTGGGAGCAGCCTGTTCAAAGAACAGATTTTGCCTTCCGGGTTGTAGCTGCGTCTGAAGCAGCTGGTTCAGAAATCATCGAAGAGTTCAAGTCCGAAGATGGCACAAGTCAGAAACTGATATTGACGGGAGTTGCCATACAAGATATGGATGAATATGAAAACGCTCTTTTCAACAAAGGAGATCGATCTTCACCGAACGATGACATCCCTTACTGGTAAGAAGCCTCCAACCTGTTGAAATTTTTAACTTATCGCACCTTCATGCTTCCTCATCCGGTAGATTATTTGTGCATCTAGTGTACATCATCACTTTCGGCGCTCTGCACATTACATTTGAATGGTTAATAGCTAGGTTCATTGGTAATCGCTAATACGAAAATGTGAGAACTAGGTCACAAGATCTTAGGGAGTACACATTCGGACCAGTCTATGGTGACGATCCTTCAACATCAACGTACTGTGGAACAGACACTTCCGATGCCGAGGATAAGAACCTAGCTGGTACCGACGATGCGACAATACCGGCCACAGTTACCCTTTGTCCATTGTCATTCAACACACCGAATTTCAGAAGGACCTTGAATTTCATAACACCAAATACTGACGAAGACGCTCCTGATTCAGTGGAGAATTTCTTACCTCGAAGTGCAACGCTGTTGCATGAAACCATACACTTAGTCCAATCTACCGAGCTAACACCCGATGCTTCTTGTATGTACTTTCCTGTCACCTCTCTGCAACTCTAACATGAAGTGATTTCTAATACATTTCGTTTTCCAGATGATCTTAGTGAAGTGAAGGCTGCAATCATGAAACCAAACAAGAAACCAAAGACTTTATCTTTTAGTGATCCTGACAACATCCTCGGAACCACGCCACTAAATAAAGCAGTACCGGGACGACGTAAATTGACAAATATTGAACTTGTTCGCATGAACCCGGAAACTTTCGTTTGGTTTTGTGTTTCGTACTGGTATTATCTACAGGATCCGATCCCAAACAACGTGGTAGCTACGAACTTTCGATACACATTTCCAGCCGGCAATGCTGTGAAGGTGGACGTTGTGGTTTAGGATTATGATAGATGACGGGAGTACACTAATTCGAGCCTAAAACCATAGGTTTGGGTCGATGCAACTCGGCAGCACTGAAAATTAAAAGTAATTCAATAGATCCGCATCGAATTCAGACTCCGGCGTTTAAGGCGTTCACTAGAAGCTCTCAACAAGGTGAATTTTGCGCTTCTGCGCAAAACTTGGTGAATTTATTGTGATTGAAATTCTGGACCAAATATTTTCGGATGTAGACGTTCAAACATCCCCCAGATTGATACCGACAAGATAGATATGTTCTTCAACAATCTCTTGGCATTCATGCCTCCTTAAACGTTGCTCGAACTCCTCCTTAACAGGAAGTGACTCGTCTCCATACACTCCAACTGATCGTTTCCTTCTCATAAACTGTTCTTCACTCTCAGGATCCTTCCAGAAATGTAGCCACAATAGAGCTTTCATTTGCAATCCACTTCTTTCCTCCGGATCCAATGCCCACATTCTCGCTGGCATGTGATAATGAGGACGGTCGACGTGCACGTTTGAAAGGCCGGACTTTCCGCCCCTGCTCTTCATATGTAGCCCTGAAAACTTACCAGAACTTATCTGCCTGATCCGTTCCTCCGATATAGACGATGGGAAATAACAAGTGATAATGGTGAAGTATTTGAACATGGGAATGAGATGGTGTAGATTAGCTATGGAGGGATAAAAAGCAGTTTGAACAGATGGTACATCAACGATGGATAATGCAGGCCAATAGACGTCGGTATATTCTTTGGAGTCACGGAAGCTATTGTACCATGGTTGGTCCTTCCATTCTGATCAAGAGGTTCCCGGGATTTAGTAAAACTTCTATGACATACTCAGCTACGATTGAGCTCACCAGTGAAAATTAAAATGGTGTCGGGCTTTTCAAGAATTTGTCCCCACATCGATGTTTCGTGCCCAGGAGCGCTGAGAAGTGGCTTCAATACATATAGCCATTTGTTGTTAGGTGGCTCTGCATATTTTATTTCAAGATTCTCATTGATCTCCGCCACTAGAGAATCGCCTCCCGGTATGCGAAATTTGGTGTAGGTTAAGAAGGGCATTGCTCGTATGGATGCAAGACTGGATAGAAGTAAAGTGTTGTTGAATTATGATGTTTGCTTCACTAGGAAAGGTAAAATCACGGATTGTCAAGTTGTCGAGGTAAAAAGATTGGGCCGGCAGCGAAATTGCCTAACCTAATTAGGTCACCGCCCTGGAGCATTCAGGGCTCAACAGCCTAAATGGAAGTCGAAACACCCTATCATGAAATTTTGCTGATAAATTCCCTAAATAGGCTTAAGTATTCACCTGATTGTTTATAAATCTCTTTTCGTTTTGCCGAAAGTGTACTGTCAAAATGTTTCCATTTCTGCCGGCTTTTGAATCTTAAAAGTATTAGGCAATCGTTTTGCTTCGATAAGCCCTGGCAGCTAGAAGACACCCTAATAACTCATCTAAATGTAATATCCTGCTGTAGGTCTTAAGCTGATGATCGTCCCATTTTCCACGATAACTCGGAGACATTCGCACTGCGAAATATCAATAGACACCAATTAAATGTCTCCCAAGAAACGCGTGTGCTCCAAAGTTGTGTGCAATGGCACTGTATGAAATCTACGATAGCTTTGGCCTGTATACGGTTTTATATTGGTCAGATTTCAAGAACATAACCTTATCATGTGATTGACGGGTTTTCCATCCTGGCTTGATGTCAGCTTAGCTTGGAAATCGTGACTTTGTGGCTAGTCTTTACCCCTTATGAGGGCATTGAGGAAAATGAAGACGGAAAATCTAGTATGACATCCAAAAAGCTGACTGGGCTGACGAGATAGTGGATAGAAAGTGTATGGAAGATTTTTGTCAGTGAGAGTCGGATGTTGGTCGTATATGCCGCCGAGATGTAAGATTACTACTCTCCCAAGAAGTAAACGTTATAGAGCTGTCACGATCAATTATTGCACGGCTAACTAGTGTGTCAAATGTTAGTCTTATTGAAGGTTACCAATCAATTTATTCTACTCTCGAGTGTCTAATCACGTCCTCTAAAACTTTCTCATAATATCATTAACCAAATCCCCGCCAAACGTTGCCCCAGCGCCAAGCATGGCAGCATTACCGAATTTCGAAGCCATTTTCTTTGCCCATTCATGATGCTTTGTAGGTTAGCTCCGGAGCGTAAACTGGACGCCAATATGACATACCTTGGGGTTTTGAGGATGTGCAGGATGGTTTGGATCCTGTGCTTCCTGGCTGATTTTGCTTGGATTGAAACCGCCGTTTGGATTATACCGAGGATCTATATAGTGGGATGGTTGTCCATTTCCTTGCTGCCTTCTGCGTTAGTGTATCCTTCGACATTTTACCTCAAAATCTGGTACTCTAAGGTGTACAGCGAATGGGTGGGAAATTACATCACAAGACCCGGATCAAATGTATGGAGGGCTAAGACCTAGACTGCTTACAGGTAGTTGTGCCATAATTGACTGAAATTGGGCTGGGGCAAGAGCACCACATTGTTGTAAGTATTCGAGCTCAGTTCGAACGGTGTTGAGAGATCGGTTTACAGATGCTTGGTCTGGCATGTTGAAGTTTTCATATATATTATGACTGAAATATATTGAGTAGAATTAAAGGGAATGCAGTGTATTTTATATCTATATTGTTGAGGTTAAAATGTAAGTAGCAAACCAGCTGAAAGTCGTTGCTGTCTCCACGTATACGTAGCAAGTAGGTCTGTTGTTATCGACGTCATCGTTCAGCTGAACAATTTTTTGCCATGTTTGACCGCCCTCTATGTTATCTCCTAGAGTAGTGTTTTGAGTGAATTACACAATTTCTATCTGCCAAACTTCACTTTCTTTACATATCATCTATAAATATTTCAATATGCCTAGCCCATCATCATTAAGCAAAACCATCACCCTCAACAATGGTCTGCAAATGCCCCGTATTCATCTCGGTGTTTACATGACTTCTGGTCGCGAAACCGAAACCGCCGTATCAGCAGCTCTCTCAGTAGGATATCTCGCCTTTGATTCTGCCGAATGGTATGCAAATGAAGTACAAGTTGGTTCGGCAATCAAGAAATATTTAAGTGCCAATAAAGAGGTCAAAAGAGAGAATTTATGGTTCACGACGAAACTTAAAACGAATACAAGCTATGATGCGACAAGGAAGGCTGTAAAGGATAGTTTGAAGAGAAGTGGGTTGGATTATATTGATTTATATCTGTTGCACAGTCCATATGGTGGCAAACGGCGCAGATTAGAATGTTGGAGAGCAGTTGAGGATGCTATCGCGGATGGAGAAGTGAAAGCTGGTGGTGTGAGTAATTTTGGCATCAAACATGTAAGTTTCCTTTCCTGTGGTCCTATCAAAACTTTTTGAGCCCGCATCAGCATAATCTTTTCCGATTGATTTCAAGACTCCTAGAGTCCTCTTCAATATTTCTCGCTCAATGCCTTTAAATGTCTCTTTCCTATACTTTCCCACCCACTTTATTCGCAGAAACAATACTGATACTCCGCTCATAAATAGTTACAAGATATACTTGACTCTAAGCCGAAAATAATCCCGGCCGTGAATCAAATCGAAGTCCATCCGTTCAACACTCGAACTAATATTACTTCATTTTGTCAATCGAATGGCATTGTAGTTGAAGCTTATGCACCTTTAGTTCAAGCTTTGCGAATGACACACCCCAAGATCGTTTCCTTATCGAGAAAGTATTCGTGTACTCCCGCACAATTGCTGGTAAGATGGTCTTTACAACATGGTTATGTGCCACTGCCGAAAAGTATAAAGAAGGAAAGATTGATTTCTAATGCTGATGTTGATGGATTTGAAATTGAGGATGAGGATCTGAAGGAAATGGATAGCCTTGATGAATATTTGGTGACAGATTGGGATCCTACTGATGCGGATTAGTTTGGGTGACTAGTATTGGTTGAAACAAAGTAAAAATATAATTCTCTTCGTCGCAAAGAGAGCCAGCTAAGACATTTGTCTCTTTCATTGTGCTTTGATTTCTTGTCGGAAGCATGCTAGGTAATTATGATCGCTAAAGCCCCTTCATCGTTCCCTCGCTCAGTGTACACCAGAATGTTGATGAAGTTTGCATGCAGCCATCTATGAAGGTCCGCCATTCACCAGAATGAAGCATTTTCGTGATTGTGCGGAATCAGATCAAAGATTAAAATTAGGTCGACTGTCCTGCTTCCATTTCCGGTGAATTCCTATAATATTTACAGCGCCTCTCATAGCCCAATTCCACGAATTACCCCTCGTCCGATACCGGCTGAGTGCTGAATAACGAAAGTATTCATCACAACTTTGACAAATATTTCTTCCTATCTCCACCAGGAATACAGAAAACGTTGAAACCCACCATGAGCCACCTTCATGAAACGGTGAATCTGTTTGAATTATTGATCAAGGTCAAGCAATTGCCGCAGAAAAAACCATACGAGAGTGAGGTGGCATAGTCATCTTCTTACGCTTCTGCAGGAACAAGATGAAGTATTACCAAATATTTTCATGGGTACAGTTCCAAGACTTCGGGACATGTAGGAAAACCTGAAAAATATCCGGATAAGAACCTCTGAGATTTTTATCCTGGCTTTGATGCGCAGCGCATTCGTCTTTTCGTCTCACATCCTTGACCAAATATTACCCCAGCGTGGCTAACATGCGCCATAAGGTTACATGCTTCGATGCATTTAAGAAAACTTTGTTGATTATACGTACTAATGCGAGATTTCGGCTATATGAAGCTTGGGCTGTTAATCTATAATTGTATCGACCAATAGGAAAAGCGCGATAAGAATTTCTATTTGATTAATCGGTGACTCCGTATTTATTTGCTATTGGTTAATTTTGACCTCTCTTCTCAAATCTCTGCCGTTTAAGATGAATTATTTGTTTATTTCCGCTGTCGATTTCCCGTTGTCGGGAGCATGAGTATCCAGTAAAAGTAAAGGGCGAGAGAAGAAGAGAGAACGGAAAGGTTGGGTTTACTGACTCTATGCTGAGCTTGGCTTAGGTCGCCCGGGTGAACGAATCAAACGCTCACAAAGATTTGATATCTCGACCATCTTCACTGTGCCACCCCCGATACCCCAAACATCAGGTGGGATGATGGCTTTCAGCCGTAGAGTATGTAGTGTAACGACAAGACCGATCACGGCGTTGAGGGTGTCACGTCATCTATCAGATTTTCTTCAATTTTCGCTTGGAATATCCAACTCCGCGTGAGATTGAAGGTTTTTACAGAACAGACTAGCAGTTTTGCAACGAGAACGATCATGCAAGCAGATGAGTGAGCCATGCTGATTTGCTAGGAAGAATGCAACTGGATAATATTTATCAAGTCATCCATCTCGATTACTTTCTTCACCCCTTCTTGAGTTTATGCGAACCTCCAATATCGGAGCCACAAAAATTACTGGAGATATGGAGAGCAAATACAAGCCATTACCTTGTCAGACAATTGACTAGCACATTTAATTGAATATACTATGGGTCATGGACCGGCACCAAGTGTTACTAGTTCGTACTTTTAGTTCACTCCACCTTGATACAAAAAGGACTCTTCCCTCCAGTCTTGCCTTGCTCTTTTGATATATCGTAAACCTCTTATTTTTCTTTTTTGCCTCAATAGACTTTCACTTTGTAAATTTATTCATTTGATACCCCATACCAGTAACAATAATCATGTCTAATCTTCCATCTGAGCCCGAGTTCGAGCAAGCTTACAATGGTTTGTTTTCCATGCATCATTCCAATATCAGAATTGACTGACCTTTTTCTCTTTTAGAGCTTGCCTCAACTCTTGAGAACTCCACCCTCTTCGAAAAGAACCCAGAATACCGTACTGCCCTTAAGATCGTTTCCATTCCTGAAAGAGTTATCCAATTCCGTGTCGTCTGGGAAGATGACAAGAACCAAGTCCAAGTCAACCGCGGATACCGTGTGCAATTCAACAGCGCTCTTGGACCATACAAGGGAGGATTGAGATTCCATCCTACCGTTAATCTCAGTGTTTTGAAGTTCTTGGGTTTCGAGCAAATCTTCAAGAACGCTTTGACTGGATGTAAGTTTCGACCATTCACTACTGTCTGGGTTGGGATCAAGTGAAAGTAACAGGGCGGAAATTATGAAATGGATAAGTTTACTAATTATCTTTTCAATAGTAAACATTGGAGGTGGTAAAGGAGGAGCAGATTTCGATCCAAAGGGCAAATCCGACAACGAAATTCGCAGATTCTGCGTTTCTTTCATGCGTGAATTGAGCAAACATATTGGAGCTGATACCGATGTACCAGCTGGTGATATCAACGTTGGTGGAAGAGAAATCGGTTACCTCTTCGGTGCCTACAAGGCCATTCAAAACAAGTGGGAGGGAGTTCTTACTGGAAAGGGAGGAAGCTGGGGTGGATCTTTGATCAGACCTGAGGCTACTGGTTACGGTCTTGTCTACTATGTCGCACACATGATTCAATACGCTGGTCAAGGATCATTCCAAGGAAAGCGTGTCGCCATCTCCGGATCTGGAAATGTCGCTCAATATGCTGCTCTCAAATGTATCGAACTTGGTGCCACCGTTGTATCTCTCTCCGATTCTCAAGGTTCTTTGATCGCTGAAGGAGATGCATACTTCACTCCAGAAGATGTTGGAAAGATCGCTGAGTTGAAGCTCAAGAGACAATCCCTCACTGCTCTCGAACACGGAGGAAAGTACAAGTACGTTGAGGGTGCTAGACCATGGACACACGTCAAGGTTGATGTTGCACTTCCATGTGCTACCCAAAACGAGGTCAGCAAGGAAGAGGCTGAGGCTTTGGTTGCTAGCGGTGCTAGATACATTGCTGAGGGTTCCAACATGGGATGTACACAAGAGGCTATTGATGTCTTTGAGGCTGAGCGAAAGGAGAAGAAGGGTGAAGCTATCTGGTACGCACCAGGAAAGGCTGCCAACGCTGGTGGTGTTGCTGTTTCCGGTCTTGAGATGGCACAAAACAGTGCTCGTATCAGCTGGACCCAAGAGGAGGTTGATGAAAAACTCAAGGATATCATGAAGAATGCATTCGAGAACGGATTGGAGACTGCCAAGAAATACGTCGAGTCAAAGGATGGTGAATACCCATCCTTGGTTGCAGGTTCAAACATTGCCGGTTTTGTCAAGGTTGCTACTGCTATGCACAACCACGGTGACTGGTGGTAAATGTTTATGAATTTATGAATGAAATGGCGGGATATCCAAAAATGTGTACATATGATGCGGGATTTGCGGGTTGGGTGGGAATTTATTTGCGCGGAAAATTTAGGTAGCCTAAATCTGTACCTTTGATGAAAATGAATTTAAAATAAACGAAGAATAAGTTCTTTCAATGATGATTGATCTTCATGCATTTTGTGATCGAAACCTTTTAGTAAAGGATTTAATGCTTGTTCATATTGCTTGCCTAGGCGAAGCGCTTGGATATCTAAAACGAAGCTACACCGCACCACCAACCAGATTCTATAGCTTTCTCATTACATTTTTGTCTGCTTGTTAGAACCTTTGGCTGCTTCAGAACTTTAATCCTTCCTGCTTTCATTCCGCAAGGTAACAGGAATTTGTTGAAAATCTATCTCTTAGTGTCTTTGGAAGATTCGCAAAAACAAGACATCGCGCACGAGCTCCACAGAGAGTCAATATCTTAAAGGGTTTCAGGCGGGGGCTTTTTGCCTTTTTCAGCATGTATGTAATCGCCATCATAGTTTGCGTCACGAAGAATTTCACACAATTTCATTCTTCTTTGAGTAACGGCAGATTTTGAATGGGCGCCTAAACATTAGCATATTGTACTGAACAATACCTGCTCTACTCCCGTCATTAGAATGTCCGATAGTAATCTAATCCTCCCATGAAAGAATTTGTGTTGGATGTAATACCTATGAGATTAAACTTCGAAGTCGACGTTGGATGTGAAGGATACCATTTTTAACTTCCGGCCCTATGAAATCTAGAAAGGCCTGCAATCTAGCGCCGCGTCCACTCGTACGTGCCTAGTGATTCCGATATGCTTATTTGATATTGCACGAGCAGATACTTTTTTTTTTTTTTGGCTTGATGACCGCGTTGGAACAAGAAAACTTTACGTCCATTGATAGATACGGTCAAATATCATGTGTGAGTTTTTTTGTCTGCATCTTAAAAGGTAGATGCACAAAAAAGTCCCACAAGCCCCAGACGAAGAATGTGTAACGTTACTGTTAAAATCTTCAAAAAGTGCAAATCTCCCGTGTACACTTCTCCAGATAAGTACGAATCCAATTGTCGGGGCTTGTATCCAGTTAAAACTCGGTTTGTGGAGTACATGCTTTCGCATGTACAGAAATTGGATAATCTTCTGCAGATCAACCGCATTACCCCGGATATGTCAGGCGCCTAGAACATTTTCACCATTGGAAGGCATTTAACCCCGGAATCACGTGATAGATTAAAATTTAGTAAGGTTCTGACACCAGGTACAAGATTCCTCCCCAAGAAGTCCACCAATCCAGAGGTTGTACCAGCTCTTAAAGTGTCTGCTCTGTGACGAGTAATCTCCGTGATCAGACTTGGATGTTAAAAAAGAGTCACAGTTGTACCTTGCATTGTTATCACGATTTGACAAGCTTTCCTTTTCGGCTAAATCCTTTCGGTAGAACCTTTCCAGTCATGCAGCCTTGTAACTGTGTGCCTGTAGCTCATGTGGTATCGTGTAACACAGAGACAATGACAAAGCCTTTGGATTTGAATGCGTTGATCCCACTTTTTGATTAACTTAATACTTAAAATTCATCCTTACCCCAGGTGGAATGATGAAACTCAAATACCATTTGCACAAACGTACAATTTCCCCTGATTATGCATTTCAAAAGAGCAGGTGTCTCCCAGGAGAACCAACATATAGCATCTTATGGTCTGGACGCATGGCTTTCGACTGTTCTCATTGCACAAATGATTTGGATTTCATCTCCGATGGCTAATATAATTGTCATGTGAAGTCCAATGAACGTGTTTTGAAGAGCTTCGGAAAAGGACCGAATATTTGGGACCAGCATTGATAGTCCCTTGTATACTCATCTCATGGACTTTTGTATTGAGGCAAATGAGTGAGTGTATCAGGAGCATCATTTGATAGTGTCGCAGGATAGCTTTGGATATAGGAAGGATGAAGGCAGGCAAAGAAATGTCTATAAAGCATCAACGCAGAACTTGAAGAGCACATTCTTCATCACGATCCTTACTACTTCTTGTGCATACTTTTAATTCTATTCCAAGCAATCATGATGTACTCACACCATATCTTACCACTCGGAATTTCCCTCCTTTTGACTATTCCTACCATTAAAGCCCAGTATTTCCTCGCAGCCACGTACGATGCGGCCAATTTCTTTGATGACTTTACATTCTTCACCGCGGCTGATCCAACAGAAGGATATGTTATATATGAACCACTCGCCGCTGCTGAAGAGGCCGGTCTGGTATCGACAGCAAATAATCAGGTATATTTAGGAGTGGATCATACAACACTCAATCCGAGCGGAGGACGCGAGAGCGTCCGATTAAGTAGTAACCAGGCATGGAGTAAAGGTATGAGAATTCCACAAATATAGGCAGAGAGAACACTCATCAGTCAAGGCGTTTTTATCGCAGATATTGAACATATGCCTGCTGGAACCTGTGGGATATGGCCTGCATTCTGGATGTTTGGTCCGAATTGGCCAAATTCAGGGTTAGTTTCCAATGTTTTCAAGTAAAATATAAAGAGTTGACAAATCTCTAGAGAAATTGATATCATCGAGGGAGTCAATCTTGGAACAACTGATACAATAACACTCCACACCGCCGCAGGTTGTACAGTCAGCAACGTAAATTCGCAGAGTGGAACGACCACCCTGACGACGAACTGTAATCAAGACAATGCGGGCACAGGATGTAGTGTTAGTACATCGGTATGTCAAGAGTCAAATGACACTAACTCTTATTATAAAATCTGACCAACGACTCTAGAACAACCTGAATTATGGTACAGGTTTTAATTCAATTGGCGGTGGCGTATATGCGATGCAATGGGCTAGCACTGGCATTTACGTCTGGTTCTGGCCTCGAGATTCCATCCCAGCGGATATTACTGCCAATGACATTGACGTCAGTTCCTGGGGAACTCCTTTAGCAACTTTCACTGGTAGTGGTTGTGATTTTGATACGTCCTTCGCAAATCAAAACATAGTATTCGACACAACATTCTGTGGAAATTGGGCGGGAAGTGTCTGGTCTTCGGGATCTTGTGCTAGTGCGGCATCCACTTGCGATGCTTATGTTGCGCAGAATCCGAGTGCCTTCAGTAATGCATACTGGTTGGTCAATTATGTTCAGGTCTGGCAATAAATGGATAACGGGTGGCAGTCGTTTTTGAATATGCGAGAAAATTGGGTAGTTCTGTACATAGCTTTCTGTAAATACCGTGAAACACTTGCTGAGCACATCGGGGCGGGGCAGAGTATTCATTCTTGTGAATAAAGAATTCTTTTTGTCCATACACAGTACAGAAGGACCTCTTTCCTACTGACTGAGACCTGTAACGATTTAAAAGTGGTGAATCATATCAATACTCGTAAGACGGTGAAATGACCATGCTTCCAGTGAAGACATAATGATGACACTCTCAGATACCTCTCTCTCCAAAATCTACTTCTCCATGTTGACCTCAGTTTGATTGGCTTCTTTCCTATGGAAGAGGGATTAATTCGTCCCGGGGTTGACATACCCATGCTTGATCCCTAATTTCATGATGATAGTCAAGAGGGGAGGTATGAGCAAGCCCGTGGTACAATTTTCACTGGGGATCATCTGAGTTTCTGTACGGCCCACTTCTCATGTTCGGGGCATCTATATAAGCTAGACTGATCACTGGGTAGTCATGCAGGACAACCAGGTAACTAGCCCAAGGTGTATGGAATTGGTGCTGGTGAGAGTAATATCAAGGACCGTGAGGAATTCCTTCAACTTCAGCCTCAACCATGGCTCCAAATCCGTTCAATTTGTGAAGATAATATACAAAATAAAATTTTTACGTCAATCATTGAATACTCAAGCCAGAGATATTCGATGTCACGACGTTGAGAGAAGGTTTGGCATCTGAGCTTGTTTTGTGGAGCTCATTTCAAGTCCTCATAAGCTTAATTATCCAAGCTTAACAACCCTGATAAGTACACAGAGTTATGCACCACTCTTGCACCATCACCAGCGTCTGCACGCAAAACATTCATCCTCTCCCTAAAAGAATCGAAACATCACGAAAGTCCGTCGAATAATAATATATGCCAAATTAATTAGCAGTCAATCTACGGATCTGCGAACAAATCCTTGGGATTGTTCGTAATGCTCAGTCGTCAGAATGTCTGGTTCAAATCCAAAGCGACAATCTGCGGCCACACAAAGCTCAATCTAGGCGTTTTCTGGCTGCAACAATTCACGTCGCACAGGAGACTCACGACGGCTAAGGAAAATACTTTATGAATGCGAAAGTCGAACTTAGAAGCTCCTTTGCCCAGTTTGTGGTGGAATACCCGGAGAAAGTTCGTTCGAGCAAGTAACACGAAAGCCCTAGTGCGATATGTGCGATGCACTCGAGACACATGGAAATATATGAGATATGCGGGTGGGATGAAAGAAAGTATTGGCATCGCATTGATTTGCGGTGGCTGTGAACCAATGTTGACTGCTGCATAAGACACTTTTAGCATGCGCAGAAGAGCGGAACATCTTGATGCCGTTTCCCCAAGTCCAAGGTATTGTCATGTCGGATACGATTCATTGCTATGTATTGGTTTACTGAATTTGACGACTACTACTCTTCATTTTTAGGCTCAACCATCTTCTGCAATTACTCTTCGCCTGTTTTGTTTCTAAAGTTTCTATTAAACCACAACTGCACGATTACCCTCACATCATTTCGCCCTTCTATCGACTCGCGAGTCTTGTCTTATACTCCTCACAACTCAATCGAATCCCCTCCTCCAAATCTACTTTTGCTTCATATCCCAGGATCCTTTTCGCCTTTTCACCACTCGCATACCTTACGGCACAAGCATCATTCACGCTACCTCTACTCAGAGTAGGTTCCTTCGACCCAGTTAACCACGTCGCCACCTCTGCCAATAAACCCGCCACCCAAGCTAAATTTTCCGGTATCGTCACTTCATAAGATGGGATATGTCCGAATTCCTTCCATACAGCTATGCTGAAATCTCGGAATGTGATGGGCGTATTGTTTTGTATGAAGAAGATCTCTCCGGCAGCAGTGGGTGTCTTCAGAAGGAGATTCTCAGCTGCAAGAATATGAGCATCCGCAACATTTGAAACATAGGTTATATCCCAGAGATTATCGGCAGATCCAATAATGAAGGGAGTCTCCCGTTTTGCTATACAGGCATGGATAGGCGGGATAAGCTGGTGGTCACCCGGACCCGTAAGGACTGATTGCCGGAGGATACATGTTGAGAAGGTAGGTGAATTTGCTGCTAGGACAATTGCCTCAGCCTCAGCCTTTTATTCGAGTCAGCCAAGTAGCCCTCCAAATCTATGAATGATTACCTTTGATTCGCCATATATTGATGATTTTTTTGGCTGTGGGCCATCTTTCATCGATGTTTGGATAGGGATGTGACCAATCATCTACCACACAACAACAGCTACTTGTATACACAAATGCACCTATTCCAGCATCTCGCGTGGCATTCAATACATTATGAGCCCCCTCAACATTGATTTGTTGTACTTTCTTCTCTATCCTACGATGGTATCTTTCACTCAAATGGGGAACTATTCCCGCCGTATGTATAACGACGTCTGGTTTGACATGCAAGAGAACTCTTGCTAAATCCTCTGGGTGTAGAATATCGCATACCACATAGTCGATATTGGATGGTACTTTCCAACCCTTTTTGGGATCAGAGGTATCGTCAGAAATGTCCAGAATTGTGGTCAAACAAGGAGGGTATTTTTCGTGAAGGGCATTCACAATTGCTGATCCAACAAACCCAAGACCACCAGTGACTATGGCTCTCCGAATCTCCATATTTGGAAGCAGTCGTCTCTAGAAGTAATGCGAGTTCAGGGTTAGAGGTAATGTAGATAAACAGGAGAGAACCTCTTGGTAAATGCGGGAAATCGTCCTGCGAGGTACTACCTATGTCTCACAATATGATGGTCAAACCTTCCTAACGCGGAGATAGCTCCGAGTCCACGTCCTCCTTATATCTCAATTCATGCCCATTCACCCTTCCTTCTCCTTTTGTGAATGAAGCGGAACTGACAAGCAGATGACGAATGATCATGGGGAATATTTTTCGCTGTGTAGACAACAGTAGATGATGACATTATACTGTATTGGCACACAAAAACGATCTATGAGCTCATAATGCTCTGGGGGTTTGAATTTGAGCGCGATTAGATAATCGTATACTAGGGCGTATTTATTGTCTTTTTGAGCGATACTATCTGATTGAAACATTATTTCCAAGTTTAATCTTTGGTATCGGTTTGATGAATAATTAAATCTATGTCCTGTGTCCTGTGTTCCCTATTCTCTATTCTCTATTCTGTAGTCGCTAGATCTCTAGATCTCTTCTATGTTCATTCCCTCCCATGTTCCACGTTCTACCCCACAACAGCAACAGGGCTGATAGTGGAGCGCAGCGCTTGTCTTAGAAACGAAAACGCCCTGTAATTCGGTCAAAGAATCGCTGGGAATTCCCAGCCACACACTAAATCTATGACTAATGTAAATATTTGTTTGCGCCTCAACCCGCTCAATTAAGGTTAACCTCGACTTTTTCATTCAACGTTTGTCAGTCTTCAACACCAGGATGCACTTTACTCAAGTCTTTGCACGACTTCGGACACTTCGTTTAACAGGAGAGATTGATAACCATTGAAATATGACACCTAATAGTAGCAAAGATGATGGAGATCATCCTCATTCTGATGATACAACATCTCACACGAGCTTAGGAAAGAGGTCTCGTGATCAAATGGAACGACCACAAAAGATACCAGCTTCAATAAAGTCATGTAATGAATGTAGACAACAAAAAGTATGTATTCACGCTCTCTGAAGCTATCTTACTGACATACCTCTCTAGCTTGGTTGTAATGTTGAAAAGGAACCATTCAAGGCATGTTGTAGATGCACTCGTCTTGGTATTCAATGCAAATTAGACTCGGATTTCAAAAGGGTGGCAAAGAGGCAGTATGATGATTCTAAAATTAATTCTGTTGCTACATACTAATAAATCTTCAGCAAACATGCCGAGATGCAAAAAGAAATAGAGGAATTGAGGGAATTGGTCGCAAAACAATCAGCACAACTTGCTGCAGCAAATTCCCCTGAAAATTCAGAAAAGGAAAATATTGCCTCGTCTTCTACAGAATCGAAACCAAAAGATCAAAAGATTGATGACATTTTAGTTTCTGGTGAACAACTTTCTTTCTTATTTGATCAGTTGAGTCTCTTCGTGTATTAGTTTGCCCGACTCAAACTCATTCTTTTCATATAGGTATTTCTCTCGATATCATCATATATGTCCAATTCTTGATCCTAATCAAACATGCGATCAAATGTTCGCTCAAGACCCAGTACTTGGGTGGGGAATCGTTCTTGTATCAGCTAGACGTTATCCACATGATCCCACTTTGGTATTAAACCTATCAAAGGCATATATGAAATTTTTATGGAACTCTATATCCGATATGCCTCAAAGAGCATCATCTATCAAAGCTCTCGCATTATTATGTACTTGGCCTGTACCTTTGATTCGAGGTTTCACAAAAAGTAGGAATGATAAAGCTTCAGCTACCATGGGGTTAAGTGAATTGGATCCAACATCCATGTTAAGTGGAATCATGATGCAAATTTCTCTTCAAATGGGGATGCATCGTCCTCGTCATGCACAGGATTTCCTCAAACAGACGAGAGATGTATCCGAAGCTGAACTGAGGGATAGAAAGTTGACATGGGCGATATGTAATATTGTTTCTCAAAGGTTTGCGTTTGCCTCGATATTTCTTACCATGGGCTTGACCGACTAATATTCAAACTAGCGTGTCAACCGCAAATGGTCAACCCACAATAACCATTTATGACTGGGGACTTGGAGATGGTCTTGAACAAAATTCCGAAATACTTCCTCCTGGTATCAAACATCGGTTAAAGATTGAGAAGTTTTGTCAAAAGGTTTCGAAAAAATTATATGGGAACAGTTCCGAGGTGACGGGAGTTTTATCCGATATAGATGAACAAATATCAGTTACTAGTATGCTTGAACGTCAATATCAACAACTAGAAGCCGAGAGCGTTTCGTTCTCGTGTAAGTACATCCCTTAGTCGCATTTTTTCTTGTCCTTGTCACTCACAATTTTAGCACTGAATAAATTATACTTACTTGCAGCTCGACTTCATCTGCACACGTTCGCATTTTATATCCCGGAGTTCTCCCGAAATCATTTAGCTGCCCTGTCTTCAGCCTACAACTCCGCGATAAAATTCATTCAAGCTTTACTTGACTATGATCTTCATTCTGAAGCAATTCTTCCTTATTGCTCGTATTACATTCTCAAAAACTTAATTTGCGCATCATGTGTCCTACTAAAGATATTAAACAGTACATACGCTATGCAGTTCGATAGTACACAAGGGAGATCTCTCTTCAATGCCGCAATTCTGGCAGCGAGATCAACAAGTTTAGCTACAAATGATTTTTCAGATCGCATTGCTGAGGCTCTAGCCAGAATGTGGAGAAGTGCAGGGTCAGGAGATTTGAATCGACGACGCGAGGATTTTTCTCCTATAGATATTAAAATTCAATCTAGATTGTCTATCAGTCATGTCCATGATTGCTTCTTACGCTGGAGAAAGACTATTAATCCTCCCGCCACTATTAAAAGTAGTAAGTTTTCTCTCAGAGTCCAGGGCAGTTTCTACTCCCTTGTCATAAATTCTTGAATGATACTAACTTCCGAATAGTCTCGGAAAACAATCGCAACCACCACATGAACAATTCCGAGACTTCATACAATAATATTAATGGAGATGTATCTCAACAAGATCAGGGTGCTACCGCAACATATTTCCAGCCGGGCTCATTAGAAGAAGCGATGAACTTTCCGCCCATGATTGCTGATTTTGATTTATTGAATTCGTTGGATTGGAATTTCGATGAAAATTTGCTTGCGGCGTGGACATGAGAAAGTAATCTTTTCTGCAATACGGCGATGCCTTTAGGCATGAAGCGGGTTTGCGGTGCTTATTTTCAGACGAAGGTGCTATCAATCCTAGCACTAATGGGATGGCTAGAAGCTCACCCTGGCGTTATCAATAAGACCAAATGATTATATACGGGGACTGGGGTGTGTAGTCGTTTGAAGTGGCTTAATTGGTACATAGGACGAAGAAGCAGAGTTGTTAATGGAACTAGCCATCAATGGACAATTTGAGGAAATATATACTTAGAGATGCCGACACGCAACAATAGGTCATGGGAGACGAGGAACTTTCTCCTTGGTATCACTATTGTAATTATTCAAAAATTGGAAAATTGGAAAAACAAAAAGATCTTAACCTCAATTCTCCATGTCCTGCGAATTCATTCCCTTGTAAGTTGCACCATTCTCAGTTATCCCCTACCTCACCGAGCGCCCTCAACTCCAGCAGCTTAACTCCGTACCTAGAAAGTTTTCGACCACTCTCTATTTCTCCTCCTTTTTTTCATGGCCGTAAAAACCACCACGCCAATATAAAACAATCCCATAAATGCCGCAATAACTCCATAGGCAATCTCTCCATTCTTCGTATTAGAAGCCAATTTCAAACCCAAGCCACCATTAATCACCGCGAGAACAATTATTATCCTACCATACCATAGATGGATATATCCAAACATTCCGCGACGTTGAGCTCGCATGTATCTCCAGTGATGGATGAGGCCTAGGAAGGGCTGTATGAAGAATAAAATTACTAATATGATGCCGAAGATCATGTGTGTTGTGTTTGTGATCTGATTGTTATGTGAGTTATGAGTTGGGAAGATACGAAGGATCATAAAGGGGGAAAGACTCACAATTGTGCCGAGATTTGGAGTGACGGAAGCGCTTGTAATCGCTGAGTTTCCAGAGCCTTGTGATGAAGCCCCGGAACCAGAACCAGAACCTGACGAGCTAGACCCAGACCCAGAATCAGAAGTCGATGTCGGGTTATTAAATCCACTTGTATCCGTACCCGTAGCAGTAGCCCAAGGAGGAGTACCCGTAAAAGTAGCACTTCCAAACCCACCAAACTGTCTCTTAGTAATTTCATCAATAACAGTACGCCGAGCAAGATTCGGTCCGAATGATCCATATCTCAATCCAGCAAGTTTGATTCCTAATCCTAGACCTGCGATCAAGAAGATAAATGAGATGATTTGGAGACTAGCGTGAAGCCAGGGTCTACCGAAGATTCGCATGGAGAGTGCTCCGAGAGGGAAGAGTAATACTACGGTTATTCCCATGATTATTCCGTGCGCCATATCGTATGATTGGATTCGAGAAGGTCCGCTAGATGTAGATGAGCTTGATGAGGTTGAAGAAGAGCCGTCACTAGATGAAGAAGAAGTTGTAGCTGCAGAAGTCGAGGAAAAGGGATTCGAATCAGAATCTAGCTGGGCTTGGGAAAGATCAAATGTAAAGGAGCGATGATTCGAACCCGAATGTTGAGATATAGATTTTGAGGTATCGGAAGAATCGAGTGCGGAGCCAGAATTCCACGCCGCTATCCAATTTGACGATGTGGATGTTGTGGATGATAATTTAGAGCTGCAGCTTGTGCAGAGGACATTGGCCACCATGTTTCCGTCTAAAATGCCACTTCCTGCAAGTAATTTAATAGTCATACTACTATCGTACTTAGGTTCAACATGTCCTGTGCCTTTTCGAGGAGAGAGAGTCACGTTTCCAGTGCCATCAGCATACATCACGAAGATGGTACTTCCGGACATTTGAGAACCAATGCCTAGAGCGACCCATTGGTATGAAGTAGGAGCTACGAGTTGGAAGTAGACATTGTTTGAATTACTTGAGGATATTCCGACTGAGTAAGAGGGGCCTCCGGAGCTAGTAGAATATGTTGCGAGAGAGGAAGTTGTGGGAACTAGGATTTGCATTAGAGGGATTTGTCCAAGCTTGGCGTTGAAGGGTACATACTGATGCTTATGACTGAAGCTAGGAACGGCAAATGGCTAAGTAACTTCATGTTGTAAACATTCAAATATAATCTATTCACAGTAAAATATCAACATCAGAGTAATGGAAAAAAAGTGTTTTGGAAAAGGGATTGTTGGGTCTTAAATATCCCAGATAGCAAAAGGATGTCAAAGAAGCAAAATCACAAGGAAAAGGTTGGGGAAATATAGCTGCAAGTATAAGTTACACAAGCTGATTATAACATGGCGCCCGCGGCTTGGTATCCCGCCGAAATTCAACCAACCAAAATCTATCGAGATAAAGAAATGTATTTGAAACAGACACGCAACTGAGCTGACTTACCCGCTTCTTCGTACTTGAAGTATAGGTTATCCACGAATTTACATATATTAGCATCTTGGTTGTGCGATTCAACAGTTGGTGTTTTTATTAAAACCTAACATCAAAATATCCTATGAGAAACTGATGGGATTTACAGGTCGTGCGCCGCTTTCTTTACGTCAGATTGCTCAGCCGAACTTAAAAATATCATATAGGGACAGTCATTGCTTTTGTGCAAACTACTTACTGGAAGTTGTGAGTGAGACGTATCGATACAGCCAAGTGATCTCAGTATTTATTGAGCTTGTCTATTAGTTTGTGTACATGATCATGACGATGTGGATGGATGAGAGAATATTGATTGCGCGTCCCATGCATCCATCAAGGAAGTATGAGATATACGGCTGGAACGCGAGGCGGTGTTAAAGGTTTGTGTAACGTAGAGTTTAAGGTAGGCTGTGGAAGCTGATATATCGGGGTTTTGTATTGGGGAAGTCCGAGTCAACAAAGCCCTTTTGTGTGGAAAGTGATCCGATGTGTCCAATTAGCTAGATTCAAGTTTTTGATGAGGCAAAGTATTTGACAAAATGGAAGAAAACATAAAATACTTAACGTTGAACGTGATGAAGGCATTAGAGAGGCCGATTGACTGAACCAGGAGCTACGTTGAAACTGCCAGAAATTTCCAATCAGAATGCGAAACATGTCAAGCAAGCCCTACCTATCTATAGTTCACCTGCGAAGAATATCAAGCAATTCGACGCGATTATGGACCGAGTGAAAAGAGGGATACAAAGTGCTGCGAAAAACGGCGGAAAGATAAATATAAAACCTGAAAGTCTAGGGATACTTCAAATAGAAGACCTAACCAGGCCAACGAAACAAAAGAGCATGATCATGAGCATTGACCGCAAGGAGGTAAAAGGGTCGATCAAATGTCATAATGCCTCACTTGATATGCACAAGTATAGTCTAATCCGTAGCCATACGGATTTAGTTCTCTCTTTTCCTCGCAATCTCGTTATACCATTCATTCTCACTGCTAATCCATGAACAGCTACCCTACCCAACACAGTGTCATTAATCCATTTTCCCGGCCTTGGTAGAAATACCATGTCTCACCTTCGACACTCAAGATTTAACGTCATAAGCTCAGAGAGGTGCGGTGCGAGCCACGCGATGCCAGCCGAACTAAATGGTCCCAAGTTGTTCCCGGGCTTATTCCAAACAAGGCAATGCCTCGTACCTGGGCGATGCACAAAGACGTCGAGTCTGGCGCGTCTTCTATACTCAATATATCCCATCCACGGAATTTGGAGATGTCGATCTTCATCCATAGGGGTCTCCTCCGAATCCTCTGTCTCCTATCTTTCCATCCAGTAGGCGCCCTTTTTTAATTTCCCAACTCAATATTCTCTTCTTTCTAGACGCCCGGAAATTGCCTCCAGCTCTTTCATAAGAGCATCCAACGATTCGCGTGCTTTCCTGATATTCTCTTCCTCTGCTTTCCTCCTCTCTTCCGCCTCTTGTGCTTCAGAGCATTTTGGAGCTTCGCTTGCACTCGATCCTCTCCTATATGAATACCGTCGTTCCCGTTTTCTCTCGTAGGTATAGTTGTCTGTTGCCTCCCATCTTTTATATTCCACATTAGGCCTCACTTTTTGAAATTGGCGATCGTAAACATTTCGCTGATCTCTGTCGGATAAGACTTCGTATGCCGTTCTGACCTTTTAAAGATTAGCTCTTCAAGGTTCCTGCGAACCACTTCTCAACGCTCCTGCTTCATCAGACAAAACAAAACCGACCTTCACAAATTCCTTTGTTGGTCCTCCATTATTTTTATCGGGATGGTGGGTTCTAGCCAATGCGAAGAAGGCGTTCTTGATATCCTGTGCAACAGCATTATAAGAAACCCCGAGGGTTTCGTAATGGTCCGGTAACGATTGATCCATTCTTTAAACCTGGGGAAAAGATCACTTTGGGGGATCGGTATTTGACTGCCATTCTGGCTGGGATCCACTCTTGGAAACTGCAAACTCGAATTCTTGTTGTGACCCGCAACTCTGCATGAGCGTGTGGCGATCATGGTACGTGTCAATGCTCTATTGAGACGGGGTAAATTCAAGAGGTAGCAAACATAACAAATGTTGGTTCGGTACTAATTTTGCAGCATGATGTGAAGAACTTTCTCGGGAAAGAACCAATAGAGAAAGGAAGGGTAACTCTCAACTCACTGCTAAATTCTCTTTAGGCTACAACTTTCTCTATCGCTTGATATAAGGCATGGGACCAGATTGAGTGGTACGTTAGATAATTGATTGAATTCGAAGTTGGCATAACAACCCTCCTCCATTACTTATGGATAGGAAGTAGCGAAACTCCACCATACTATGCGAACGTTGTGATGTCATAGCATCGGCTACTTTTAAACATAGTCACAGAGCTCAGTGATAGCACCTATTTAGATATTTGAGAGCAAAGATGCTAACATTCCGAGACCTCAACCTACCTATGATGGTTGCAACATGAGACATTGTCGTCCGATATTGCTAAGTGACATTGATCTTCCTGCTCTTCTAGCGATTGCTAGAATCCAACATGCATCTTCATTTTGATAGGCTTTGATTTCTATTATTCCCAAGGAAGAGTGCTGGTGTTTTTAACGGCTCATGATGATAACCAAACAACCAGTTTGTCTTGTTCGGAAGGTCTGGGCCCAAAATTTTGTCTAGTCCTCCTGTATCTAGAACCCCAGATTCGATCAAGTGCGCGTCTCGTGATTCGAAGTGTATGTTTCACGAGAGCTTCTCCAGCGGTGTTGCCATTCAACCTCTGAGCAGTCTTTCGACCTTTGACAAACTCTGGAATCCATCAATTCCCCTTACTTAGCAGCCATAATTTTGCGCCAGATCTCCCATACCACGCCTGGATTTTGCTTTATGTTGTTTGTAGTTCTGGAATCGTGCTCTGTGGAAATGCGTTACCTGCCGTTAAATGTCAATTTATGCTACGAGTGATCAAAGGAGGTAATGTCCCATGTAGGAGTACGCATTATGACAAATGGTAACCAGGGCGTGCCTACCAGATTTCTCTAAGCAGCCGATCGCTTTCCATGAAGAGTCTTAATACATCCCCTATACAATTGGACGTCTGAGTCTCGCAGTAGGTATGCTAACTTCCGTCTGACCTGCGCGCAAGTGTTATGCCACCATCTGATCAAATCGAGCCGACGAATTTGGCACAGAATGTTCCGAACAAAGATTGCAGATGATGCTCGCGACCTGGGAAGAGAACATCGTTTAAAGAAAACTCCGACGAGTAGTTGCCTTTTGTGTATAAGATTTGGAAAGGGCGTTCAGCGCTGCAGTTGATCAGAGATCGCATAGAGCGCCGTCATTATCGTGGCTTCCAGGAATAGACATGTGAGAAGACGTATTTAATTCTGAAGAAAGGCCCTAGAGGAAGATGACTGCCTACCATTAAATACATACCGAGAGTAAAAGTGGTATCCAAGTACCACCGGAAAAGTATGAAGTTACACGGAGTAGTATCTCCTCCCACTCTTCATCGATAAGCTTCTTCCGGTGAGATTCCGGCAATGATTACTAAGCGATAACTAAATATTTCCTCCTTCACCCCTCTGTTTATCATTACATAGTACGTACTATCATGGTGTAGAGCGCGAGAATAATTACCTATTTAAATAGAGAATCATGACCGAAAAACAAGCTACAAATGCCTTGGGAATTTCACCCCCGCTGATAAATTCAGCTAATCCTGTAAGTCTATCTCTCCACCCCACCACCGAGCTCATATCAGAATTCCACGGCGCTATACCTACAATCTTACCGAAGCCCTTTTTTTTAACTTCTTAAAAATAAATTGAATGTAGCTCCCTAACGGGATAGCCAAATATTACAGGTCATCGTGGAATTAAGAGCTGATCGTCATCACTAGTGGGCAACAAGTAAAGGCGACCTCCTTGCCCTTTACAGTAGTCCTCATACAGGTGCTGTTACCGTCAGAACGTCACTTCTCAATCCATTTCCACATGCTTCACAGCTCCACCAATACACATTTTTTGATCCTAAATCTAACTCAACCTGCGCTTCAATTTCTGAAGGCCGAAGTAATATCATTCCAGGCGAGACAAATAGCCTAAACACACTCGGTTACTCACCCATATCTCTGGACTCATATTTGGATATCGTTCTTGAACTTGCAAAGGATGAAAGTTTTCAGCTTCTTACTCCCAAACCATGGATAATTTCCGTTACTGGTTCAGCTGAAGAAGTTGCCGAATGCTATAGGCATGTTTTACGACAACATGGAAAAGCCAATCTCAACCTCATGATGGAAATCAACCTTTCATGTCCAAATATTGTGGGAAAGCCACCTCCTGCTTATAACGAGGAAGCTATGGCCTCATATATAAAGGTCATAAGAGGTGTAAAAGCCGAGGCGCCCAACAGCATTCACGTAGGCATCAAAACCCCACCTTACACATATTCCGAGCAATTTAGGAACTTGATTTCTGCATTGGAATCTGGAGCCTCGCTTGATGGAGGAATTCCCATATCATTTATCACAGCAACCAATACTCTTGGCTCATGTTTGGTAATTGATGAATCCGGAAACCCTGTACTAGGTTCTTCGAGTGGCGAAGGTATTGGTGGAATGGCTGGTGATGCATTACATCCAATCGCATTAGGAAATGTTAGGACAATCCGAAAAATGTTGGATGCGTCGCCCATCAAGGGTGTAAGGAACATGGAGATAATTGGTGTTGGAGGAGTGAAGGACAGTCCTAGTTTTACCAGAATGCGTATTGTTGGTGCGTCGATAGTGGGTGTGGGGACGGCATTGGGTAGAGAGGGCGTAGGTATCTTTGAGCAGATCCTTTCTGGGTTGAAGGAAGAAGTTTTGACATAATCTTCAATCAATATCATGTCTTGACATGGCTGAAATTTCACAATGTCAAGAGGTTACGCCAATGACTTCCTTTTCCAACCCGTGAACCCTGCAAGTGATGAATTGCTGATCTATACCAGTGGACCAGTAATACTACGCTATTGCTCAATGTTAACGTTCGTGTCATGGATGAGACCCCGAATAGTGTTTCAGAATTAGCACGTTTGTTTGAATGCTCGGCAATCTCCCATCTGTTCATTTTTCTCAGTAGGCACATGCCGGGTGGGATAACAGGAGTTAATACAAGACTTTCATCACTTTGAGCGATATGAGTCTGATTATAATGAATCCGATGTTATCCATAAGATTTTTCATACACTTTTCTATCCCACTTTCTTGCCTCGGATAGCAATTATGCTGCAGTAATTCTCAGACACGAAACTCATTCCACCACCGTTCTTCATCCACTAGTTGACCATTCTCGTCAAAATCCACCCCCTCACTCTTCAGCAAACTCAATTTCTCTTTTTGGTTCATTCCCGACGGCGCATCTTGCGCTTCCCCCTTGAACCCTCCAATTGCCTATCATCAACAACCTGATTAGCACTACAAGTGATTAAAGTGTCATCTTTAGTACAATGATAAAAAAACATACACCATCGGCGCAGATGATTCGATGACATGGCACTTGTGGCGCATAAGGATTTCGCCTCAAAGCTCCGCCGACAGCACGAGGCGCAGTTGAGAGAGCTTTAGCAAGAGAGGCATAAGAGGAGACTTTGCCCGAAGGAATCTGGAGAAGTAGATTGTAGACTTTCTGTGGAGGGATTAATGAAAGAATCGTAAAGAGTGAGGCGGACCTACACGTTGGAAGGCTGTAATGCCGATCATGGCGAAGTCACTCGAGGCAGATGGAGATTTTACTTCAGACATTTTGATTCCTTTTCTTAAACGAAGGCAGATCTTTGACATTAGTTTCCTGGACTTTGAAATTTCGATCTTTCCAAATAAACTATAAGCTGCGTAAGTCTTTAGAATATTTGTGCAGCCACTAACTAGTCGTGAGCCTGAGGGAATCGAGTTTGTCATGCAGATATCTGCTGCTGTGCCGGACTGGTGTTGCAAGGTGATATTGTAAAAGCAAGGAGAAGTTTAACATAAAATTAAATTTGAAGCTCGAATTTTAACAAATCAAAATAGTAGGCCTTGAGAAAATGAAGTTAGATAATCTGGTGGCAGGGATGTGAGCTTCTCATTGGTCACTTCTATCACAGTGTTTGCTGAGTCATCTCCGCATCAACGACACCCCGTCATCTTCTCATTATTGGTATATCCTCAACCATATTCGAGTCTATTCGAAACGTATCTGCGTCAAAACAAACTCCATTAAAGGCTATAATTCAGATGTCAAACAGACATCACTTCCTCACCTCAAGTCAACGGCACCAAGCACTTCTGTCTCGTGATTTTCTGGCGCATTCTTCATTCATCTACAGCGTCATTACGACCAAGATATACTGTCGACCAACTTGTCCCTCGCGACTTGCACGTCGTGCGAACATCATTTTTCATGAAACTTGGAAAGAAGCTGAGGACGATGGATTTCGAGCTTGCAAGCGATGTCGCCCGGATATTGATAAGGAGAGACTGAGGAGCGGAGGGGATGGCGGTATATACAGGAACCGTGTGACGAACTCTGCCGGCCATGTGAATAAGGCAATTGAAGTTGATGATTTGGGTGAGACTGGAAGGGGAAAGAGGATCGTCGATAGGGTCATGAAGTTAATTGAGAACGAAGTGGAAAATGGTGGGCAGAGATGGACACTAAGGAAAATGGCAAAGGAAGTTGGTCTGACAGAAAGTCATTTCTGTAGAATATTCAAGAAGGAGGCAGGTGTGACGATGGGAGAGTATAGGAAAAAAGTTGTCGAGCGGCAGCAGCTGGAATCCCCCTGGAGCAACGAGACTATGTCGGGATGGGATGCACCTCCAGAAACTGGAACGGTGGTTTATCGGAACAACTGCTGGGACGAGATCGGTGATTTCCATATTCCAGATATTGACTCCCCATCTCTCGGCGGTGCCTCGGCCATCGTATTTGACACTCACGCTGATGATGGAATGGAGTTTTTGAACCTCGAGTGCTGCGGAGATTGATAAAGCATACAAATCAATGGATCCGCGAAATTAATTCCACATCCTATGTGGCAGTTTCAATGGATTTGCTCGGATCCAAAGCTATCCGATCAAACTGTCCCAAATATGATTGCTATTTCTAAGCAAGACTATAATTGGGATACCAGGAATTTATTTTCCGCCAAAATCACCCTGACACGCCAACGCAGGTGGACGCAAGTAGCATACATTGACAAGATCATAGGATTATCCTAATCGCCAGTCGTAAGTCGGAGCACTGTATGATTCATGAACTCCTCATTTTTTCATCAAATAGGTGTCTCTGCTAAGCACATCTGGATGTGTAAGTCGTCAACTAATGGCTGTATTGGACAGTTTTGCAATCCATACTAGGAGACGGAACAGATACGATTCTTGTTGCTTGTCTAATAAACTAAAACAGCAATTGTGTTTGTACTACCAACGCAAAGGACACTTCTTGCTATTCCAGTAGAGATTCTAGAAGCTTGAAAGAAGCACAAGCCGTTAAAAAGTGTAAAATTGAACTTTGCTCTCCTTGAGACTATTGCTTTTTATTGACTCCTTCTTCATGTCCACCGACATCGGTGAAAGGATCGGAGAAGACAAAAAATGCCTCACCTACTAGAAGTAAAATACCAACTATGCGTGTCATAGAAAGGAAAGTATTTCTGTTGCTAACGTTAACAAGTGCTACTCGTGAAGACTCGTGAAGACTCGTGAAGACCAGTGAAGACTCGTGAAGACCAGTGAAGACTCGTGAAGACTCGTGACGACTCGTGATTATAGTTTGGTTATTTTTTTTTATCTTGCGCGCAAGTTTTTCTAATCTGGACTAGTGCCGTAATAGCTTAGGGCTTGTATCTTACCAGTGTTCGTGTAGAAAGAAATGCTCAAATTATGGCGCGGTAATCAAGTAGCAATCTTTGAAACGGTGTAGATCTTTTCTAGATGTGAAACGGAAAAAATATCGCCAGTTATCCCTCAAAGACTTTAAATCCCGTAGTGGCTTTACGCATACAGTCTAGCCCCGGACTAGCCCAACCTTAACTAAACTTCGTAGAAATCTTTCAAGCAAAATAAGATGACACATCAGATTTTCGACTGACTACTACCTTTTATTACTCGCACACAAATCTGTTTTAGTGATAGCTCACTGATAAGAAGAGCTTGGATGGCAAAACTGACAAGTGTCATTTGTTTTAGCTTTGGAGGAAAGATGTCAAACTGTACTATTTGTGAAGTGCGCATTGAAGTGCAGAGGAAGAGTGGTATGATGGTCCAGAATTAACAATTATTATGACAATGTGTAAACATCAAATAATATCGCATTTCAGTTCATGGAAGCCACGAGCAGAAAATACCTTGAGAATAAATACAGAACTGTTTTTTATAATACTTAGTTGTAGGTTTATGACTAGAAAACATGACCCCATTACTGCAAACTTCCAACCCTTTTAATCTAAAGCACAAAGATCTGGCCCAGTGTCTAGCAAGTTCATCACATCAACATTTCTCTACAGAATAGAAAAATGGCTTGAGTGTGAGGAACTCTCTAGATCACAGTTTGCCAATGAACACTCAAAAAAATTTTTGTAGAATACCACATTAACAACCAACTCCGTAACTACCATAAATCTGTGTAGACACCTGAGGAGTTCTTCGTAGAAAGACTTGAAGAGGAACCATTAGCTTTTTTCCGCCTACGGTGGGGCAGTAGATTAGGAAGAACTTATAAATTCAGAGTCTTAAATTGAATCTTAAGTTGAATCAAATTTCATATGCTCACTATGGAGCTTGGATCAACCTATTCAAACATTCCCTCGAGTCTCTAGATAGATTCCCGGTTTGCGGGTCCATAACCGCCCAATCACAATCCAAATTTAAATTGAAAAAGTGATAGGTGATCTGTGGAACTTTGCCGCAGAACCGAAGACCTTTTCTGTCGTCATATGCGTAGGCATATGAGTTCTTGCAGCGGTCGGAGAAGTGTTGGCTAGAGGCTCTGCACTCATCATGGTTGTAGGCTCCTCGGCAGCATGCTGCATCCGTTTTCATGACTCTGCAGTCGGAGGCACAACCCGTGTACGTAGGGTCTCTGCCAATAAGGACTTTGTGCGAATCGGGGCACCAACCGCCTGCAGGGTCCTCGGTACAACCATAAGGGAGGCACTCCTCGCTGTCAGGAACTATGACCATCAGGTATGTATAGCCGTCGACCAGACTATGATCCATGTGAGCTCCGCCCGCGTGAGGATGACCGTTATCCTTTGGCTGAAATGTCGCTTCGTTGAGGTTGTAGATGTCGCCATAGCCACTGTTATAGCGAAAGCCTTCGGTAACACACTCTTTCCCATTTTCGTTGCATCCAAACTGCAAAGTATCCCTTCTAGTGTAAGCGGTACCTTGGGGCCAGAAAATCTCAGTGTTCCCTTCGATCAAGACCTCACCGGGCTTGATCTCTGGACGGTTCTGGCTTCCTGAGGCGGTCAGTTGGACTGCATGGTAGGCATCATTATAAACGACACCTTCCAAGAAGACTGACTGCGCAGAGGCACCAACGTTCACATAGACATGGATTGGGCCTTGAGAAGCGAAGCTGCCCTTGGTGCTATGGAAGGCAACCATGCTCTGGACATGGGCAAGGAATGGGGCAGACGGAGAGTAGCCATCTGCGAAGGACTGAAATCTTGTGGGCATTTTCTCCCCATTATCCGTTGCGGTGATGCACGGTGTCAATACCACAGCAGTGAGGAGTAAAATTTTGGCGTTCATATTGAGAGGAGCTTTCGAAATGATTTGAATTCTATAATCAGTTAGTATTAGTTCTGTGCTTTCTTCATGAAACTGTGATAGAATGTTATAGGAGTATCCATAAACCACAGAGGTGGTCATGAGAATCTTTTGAAGTCCAACTACTTTCCTCGTAATATGAATGTGTGGGACTGGGGAGACTGTACTGAATTTTTCTGCTTGCGTGAGAAGATGCAGATTTGTGTTTCTAGATTGACCTTGGGTAGAGATGCCCGGTTATATACTTCATAACATCAACTAAAAGGCGGGTTCGTCATCGGTATATAGCAGATAACCCGTTACCCCATCAGATGCACAGGAGGATCAAATCTTTTGAAGCTAGCTTTGTGGGCTCCCAATTGCAGATTAGGTTGTGCTTCAGTTGTTCGACTAGCCGAAAAACTAGCGATTTTCGATTTTCGATTTTCGATATTGCGTGATTTTGAATATCATCTCTAATATGACAGTAATAGCTCCAATGTGACTCCCTCAGAGCCCAGTGTCTAGCGATGGACCCGATCATAAACTAATCAATTGTATAATTATATGATGTCACCACTTTGTCTTAAAGCCGTACAAAGTACCATGCTTCGGGTCTAGATACATCGTCTTCCATCGGCTGGGGACTACTTGACAACTTCGAGCCATGCCACCTGACTCGAAACTCTCCAACTCCGACAAGGTGGCCTCAGATGGACAATGATGTAGTATTGAAACCAATTAGCCCAAAAGTAAAAGCATGATCCTGAGGTGACGCTAGAGCTCAGAAACTGACCACGAGAATCTCAAATTCTCGTGGAAGAGGACTGAGATGTGAGTCAAAAGTTTAGCAGAAAATGGCGAGAGCAAAGTGAGCTCAGTAGAAGTGCCAAAGGATTTCTTGATTGCCGAGGTAGTGGTGGCATTTCCAGGTGAAAACAGTGATAATGTCGAAGATGAAAGGGCGCTGCACTCTCCTCATTGAGTGGTCTTTTAAAACTAAGCCTAATTGATCAAAATCATCGCGATCCACACAAACGGTCCTACAGTAACCGTGTACAGCTGTTCATCGTCCATCAAAATCACATTAAAACTTATGTAAAACACTTGAATTCTTTTATTTTTAAAATTAATAAAATATAAAAATTTGTTAAAGTGAATGGTTCCTGCGTAGCACGTGCACTAGTCCTATTAGGACTAGATTGAGAAGCTCTCTGTAAGAGAGCTTCGCACTTCCGTAGAACTTAGAAGAGTGATTAACCTACTAGACCAATATTACCTCAGTTCTGCCCTATCAGCTTCCCACTATTCCCTGTGTGAGGTCATTCCTTTTAACAAAATTTTAGATTTTGATTTGTTTATTTTTATTTAAATTTCATACAAAATTACATATTATTAAAAGATTGGGTGGAAGAGGCCTCTATATTGACTATATTACTACGTGTGTAGGCATATTAATCTCCTCTTGGTATCCTCTGAGGGGACCAATATGCCTGCTTATGGTTCGTCTAATCTAGCCTGTTTAGGTAACCATATTACTAATCACGACACGTGATTAGTACCGGTAACTTCTATTCCTTTTAACACATATTTTATTTTTGAAATTTTTAATTTATTATAATTTTTTGATTTGAATTAAAAGAATTTCTAAATATTATAATTTAGTAGTAAAATAAACGAAAATCAAGAATTTTTAAAATAATTCTTTCAATTATATAAAAAACTATATTAGAAATTTATAAAATAAATAAAAATATAAAATATCAATTATTTAATATATAATTAATATATCATTTTAATTTTTAAAATTAACTACAATAATTCTTGTATAAGAATTCTTCAATGGAAAATATAACAAAATATCGATTTTCGGTGTGATTTTGATAATTGATGAACAGTTGTGTGTAAGTACTGTATACGTTTTGGAAACTTGATGTGACGGAAATCCCTGCTTTCCTCCCACCCTTATTATATAAGAAACCTCAGGTACATTAACCATGTCCACACATGATACGATTACTCGAGATTAGTATGCGATTTAGGTGACCTGAGGATCAGATCCGGACAAGTACTAGGTATCAATGGTTATCGGTAAAGTAAGATCATTGGAGGAATAAATATGACTTCTTTTTGCCTAGCCATTGCGGCTAGGCCATTCATTTGTGTGTATATAGAGTAGCTATCCCCATCTACAGGTGCTCTTCACCTGTAGATTCTAAGTTAAATACAATTGCTGGTCTATAAACACCCTTTTGGTTACACTTGATTTGGAATAGCAACAGCTAAATTATTATTAGCGGTACATGAATCATTATTCCGTTATCGATGCATAGCAGAAGCACCTAATCATGTCAGTCGCTTCCGAAAAGAGCAAGTAGATAGTGTCTGTTGATGAATTTCGAGTCGTGAAATACCACGAGGTCTAAAACCTCAGACTAGATTGCCGATCATGATGTTCTAGGCCATTGAGCCTCAATATCTATACTAAAATCGGTAAAAGTGCATGACACCTACCCGGAGATATCCCGTTTCACTCGTCAAAAATGCCGGAGTTAATTGGTTCTATTGCACTACATGAAGAATTTTCATAGTTACTGTAGAACGTAGGAATGTGGCAGAAAATATTTCGTTCTGTGAGTATCCAGATTTTCATTGTAAATGCTAATCCGGGAAAACTTAAATTCTCCATCAGCATTTTCTGAAGGTATTTAGCAAATGTAGTGACATCACTTCATTTGATGACAAAAATACCATTTGCACATAGGAAATGAATGAAAGCCTTACTATTCTGGTCACCAAAATGCGCATAGATTATATCTAGACTTGACTGTTTTTGTGATTCGAAGTTATTTCCCATTTTGGAACATATCCAAATGCAACGGTGGTTCCTTCCGTCTACCAGGCATCTGCATAGACAAACCAACAAATCCATGTAGAGATTTACTTGTTTTTCCTGCCCTAATGACAATGTGGTATAACATTGCCCATAACCACATATGGAACCCTGACATTGGGTCTAATAACCAAACACACGGCAGTCTGATGGCAGGTAGAAGCAGACTCCGGTCAAATGAATATCGTGGAAACTAAAGGAAGTTATCCGAGAAATTCAATAGGATCGGATTAAGACTCTGGAAAAACTTGGGATTTTCATCAAGCAGAGTACGTCATGATGCTCCTTCCACTGTTACAACTCAGATTCTAGATCAACTGCTATAAAGGCCTCCTTTCATCCTCGGCGGTTCTAGTATCCGGCTGGATAATCGTAAGCCCAACTGAAAGCTTCACAACTCTTAGCTATCATGTGGGATATACTATAAGTGCAGTTCTCACTGTTCTTGAATGGGTCTCTGCGACAAGCTTCGTTTATCTGTTCAATGCTACAGCCAGAAGCACAAGTTCACCAGCTGGCACTGCCATCCGTATAGGTACAGAAGTTTTTGGGGAATAGCGATATGCAAGCCACTGGCTGGGAGGCCATACACTTCCTGATTGTCCAATGAGTTGGTTGAGCATATTTTCTTGAAGAGCATCCAAGATCTATGAAGTTTTTAAAGTGTAAGAATCCATTTACCCACACAGAATGATTGTCTCACCACCTTTTTTTAGACTTATATCTCGCTCCAAATGAATAATTGATGGGTGAAGATGATCAGAAGAATATTGTTGCCTGACAGCGTCTTACTTACTTTTAATGACAACTCGTATTTGAATGCCCATTCACATCGCTTCTCTCTAATACCTCGAGGCACGGAAGGGCTCTAAAAGTGATTCTCAGTTGATATTATTATAGCTTCAACCCGTCCTCGCCTCAAATGATATCAGCAGCTGTATGGACATTTGCTCCTATACAGCTTCCATAGAACCAGAAAACATACTGACAAGTGTTTATACTTCGAAGTACTCGCTACATAGTTCAACGTCGTTTGAAAGATGTCAAAACAATGGTAGAGCTGAGAAATCGTATGAATAAACCGTAGGCTAAAGGCGGAGGTTTCTCTAAATGTTAAACGCGATGAAACCCAAGAGAACATTGAATCATAGGCAGTGATTGTTTTTTTCTACAAAGCCAATACCATAGGATCAGCTATGGGGTGCTCATGAGTTTTGGATTCATTGAGTGATGTTGCCTCGACGTTGAGCCGGGTCCCGGTCCAAGAACAACCGGCCCGCGGCAAATTTCGTGGCACTACGTGTATATCACCATACTGGAATCTATGAGTGACATCAGACGCCCAAAAGGGTACGTTCATTTAGTTATTGCTATTGAGCTCATCAGCAATTTATCTCCTAGAAAACCTGAGCACTCTTAAAAGCTTACCAAGCTGTATACTCCGTGGTCTATCTGGAGCCACCTTCGGCCTATCATGCACAAAGATAATAAGACGGAACACTTTCATTTTCTATTTTTCTTATTTTGCTTGATTATGATGCCATTGTAGTTTAATTATATACATAATTCTATTAATAATATGAATAAGCCGCAGTTAGGCATAATAATGTGACAGCTGCAAATTTAGTGAATATACATACAGTTGCACTCATAGGATAATGATAAATCAACCCTATGACTCTTCACACCTACAGTAATAATCTTTTCTCCATAACCCTAATTACAACCCTCGCTACCTATGCTAATTCTTGTACAGGTTCATCCCTGTATCCGTATTCGTAAGTCCTCCTGCTAGCGTCCATTTCGTGTTTAGATTGAGTTCCGTGAACCTCATAAAATCCTGCAAATGTACTATCCGGCACAAACGCAGGAATTGGTGCGAGAGCCACTTCTGAATTTCTCGGACTCTGCTTCTTTTTTCGAAACATATACAAACATATGCCAGCGATAATAGCCACGACTGCGAGAATTCCGACAACTATGCCTGCAAGTGCACCAGGAGAAAGGCCGGTTTGTGTGTTGGTGTTGGTTGTAGCTGCAGTGGTTGAGCTGCTTGTTCCAGGTTCGGTTGTGACAGTACCATTCACTACCACTGTCCCATTGGTAGTTACATTAGCACAACTTTCGGCAGTATCTTTGGATATAGTAGGCACAAGGTCAGTGGCCGTCGATGGGTTTGCCTGCCAGAGAGTGAATGTATTTTCATCATGATTAATCATGAGATAGGCCGCCGTCAAGAAGTAACGACCCAAAGTTGATGGTTGGTTTGACGTAACGCCGTAAAGGAACTCCCGTTCACTTTCATTGAATATTCGACTACCGTTGCGATCAATTGTAACGAATGGTGGCATGAATTGACTATTTGGAATGGTGACTTGGAGCCCCGAGCTAAGCTTAATCGACATGTCTCCTTGGAAGCTGGGGTATTATTGTTAGAGTAGGAAGTAGGGTAAGTGGATTGATACTTACTAATTGGTTGTATCATACAATTGAGCGAGCCAGTGTAGTCCGTAGGAGACCCCTGTGGTCTGAGTATTGGTTTCGTTCTGGAATGTATCAAAGATTGACCCAGGTGCCTCGATTAACAATTGTCGTTGGGGAACAATGCATACAGGCAAAGCAAAGTTGGGAGGGAAAATACTGGTAGTGCTGCCAGTGCGGTCGATGAGTTCAATGTCAGATATTGTGACTTTCATCCCAGTCCAGCATCCTGTTGTGTCACTGTAGTCCAATGCTTGCGTGTAATTCTGCCCAATGACTTTTTCCTGGTCGTATCCTCCAATCACAACTTGTCCATCTAGAGGTTGATCTATCCACATTCGACCCCAAAAAATTGACCACACCTTTGATGCAATCTTTCCTGTTTCAACGAGGCTGTTTAAATATGTTGAGTTTTTGCCCATTCCCATAGCATGGAGAATGGTATAGCCATGGTCCCAGTTTTGTCTTGGGATGCCAATTGGAAAATTGCTGAGATTGGTAGCGCCTGGTGAAAATGTGTCTGAGCCTGCAAGACTGGTCGTCATGAGATCTGCGATGCCAGTTTCAGCACCATAGCCTGCTGTTTCAATGGTTGCCCCTCCCACCGCCACCATGTTGCTACCCTTGTCATAAGTTGTTGATCCATTTTCGTAAAAGAAGTTGCCGCGACGAACTCTACAAATGGTATCATCAAAGATAATGCTCGTGTCGCACAACGCATCATAGTCATACAACCAGGTATTGTTCAGTTCACTTAGGATATGTTAGCAGGAGGAATCAAATCTGGAAGAAAATGAGTCTAATTACGCCCAAGGAAGAACTACTATATTTTGAGCTGGAGTTCCGACGGTAACTGATATACCTCGCATGTAAGAATCTTCAATGTTAGGAAGGACTTGTATGTCTTTCAACGGCAAAGAAATGGCCGAATAGTTGCATGATGATGCCTCTGCCAGAGAGAACAAAAAGGTGAAAAGAAGGCTGAAATGCATAGCAACGAGGTTGGTACAGACACCACGGAAGATCAAGACTCACGGCTTTTTACAAAGAAGAGAGGTACACGGCACATTTTAGGGAGCACAAGGAGACCCCCAGAGCCTTACCTTGACGCCTACACGCAGGCTTTGGAGCAAACAAACAGTGTCATGAACCCCTGTGATAAGGGCGGCATACAGTGCAACGCTGCAGCTTTAGTAAATTATTGTATGTATTGGTCCTCATTCATTTATCATTTCTTTCGCCCCACACCCAGCACGGTCAATTGGTAGACGACGCGCTTTTGATCACTTTGTTGCGGGACTGCTGAAGTCGCTGTGACTTTCTGAACCAAACCGCTGGTACCGAAAAATGAACTTCATTGGCTGATTCTGATAAAATTGTGTGTTGTTTTTTCAGCAGCGGGATTTAGCCTAAAACGCAGTTCATTTACTAAAAATAGACCCCTGAGATTTTTGGCGGGTTTCATGCCGGCGCTTAAAGATACGAGCAACATGTCAGCACGACATTCACATTCAACGAGGAACTGAAAACGGGCCATTATCCTGCGCGCTTCTTCAAAAAAATGTGTTGGTAGTTCCTTCACAGATTAACCTCAATCAATATGTTAACCGATTTTGCAGTTCGAAGAAAAGATCGCATCATCTTTGTTGCTATCTTTGCTCTAATCGCATTTTGGCTCCACCATCGCGCCCAAGAACCCACACCCATCGAGCCTCCAACCTATAGAGCGCCCCTTGAATTTGAATCATCGGGTTTTGACTGGACTCATGCAAAGCAGTACTTTCCCGTTGATTCATTAACACCTCTGCCGAAGGGAAAGCCTGAAAAGCTTCCCTTGGTACAGCATCAGTTTAGCAAGACTCACACGGAAGATGCTACTACCAAGCAGCGTCGCGAAGCTGTTCGTGAAGCTTTTATAAGATCATGGAAAAGCTACAAGGATCATGCTTGGCTTCACGACGAGTTATCACCGGTGAGCGGCGGTTTCAAAGATCCGTTCGGAGGATGGGCAGCGAATCTTGTCGATTGCCTTGACACACTCTGGATCATGGACCTGAAAGAGGAATTCTACGAAGCTGCTGCCGCCGCCGTGCGACTGGATTGGAGTGTTACTACGGAGTCAGGAATCAACCTTTTTGAGACTACGATCCGGCATTTAGGCGGTCTCCTTGGTGCATATGACTTGAGTAACGAGCCAGCGTTGCTGGAAAAAGCGGTGGAATTGGGCAATATGTTATACATGGCATTTGACACGCCGAATCGTGTTCCTGGGTTTTGGCTTACTTTTGAAGACGCGAAGGCTGGAAGACAAGTCGCTGGGTACGTAGTTCGTTGAATATATTGGCAACTTCGAGTAGCTGACATGAAAGCAGAACGCATGACCCCAGTTCAGGGCCAACATCTCTATCACTTGAATTTACTAGACTGTCTCAACTCACGGGGGACGATAAGTATTACGATGCGATAGAGCGTATCAGACAACTTCTAGAGCGCACGCAAGAGCAGTCGCTTTTGCCAGGAATGTGGCCGACCATGGTCAATTTTCGGGAGGGAACTGTCAAGGAAGATAATTCTTTCTCGCTTGGTGCCCTTGCCGATTCGCTTTATGAGTATCTACCAAAAATGGTAGTACTCCTTGGTGGACGCGAAGGTTCTGCGTCTTACGAGAAGATGTATCGAAGAGCCATGGATGTCGTGATCAAATACGTGCTATTTAGACCCATGCTCCCGGAGAAGGACAATTTCTTGTTTGCGGGCACTACTTTCGTTCACCAAGATGGGATTCATCTTGTTCCTGAAATGCAACATCTCACCTGCTTTATCGGTGGAATGTTTGCCCTTGGTGGTAAAATTTTTGGGATTGATGAGCACATCGACATTGGAGATCGTGTAGCCCGTGGGTGTGGTTGGGTGTATCAATCATTCCCTACTGGAGTCATGCCAGAAATATATGCTCTCATGGAATGCCCCTCGCTGGAACCATGCGATTGGGACAACGAGAAGTGGCAAATGGAAGGTGATCAATCCTTGACTCATGGCTTCCGGCATGCTCGAGACCCACGGTATTTACTTCGGCCCGAAGCTATTGAAAGTATTTTCATTATGTATCGAATGCAAGGGAAGGAAGACCTGCGGGAAACGGCGTGGACTATGTTTGAGAGCATCATGAAGTCAACTCAGACGCCTTTCGCAAATTCAGCTATCAGCAATGTAACAGTCAGCGGTGAGACGGAGAAGGAGGACTCCATGGAGGTAAGCAACATGGTCAATTCTCAACAGGGTAATGCTAATGAATTTGAGCAGAGCTTTTGGATGGCGGAGACACTCAAGTACTTCTACCTAATATTCTCTTCGCCGGACACTATCAGTCTGGATGAGTACGTCTTTAGCACCGAAGCACATCCCTTCAGGCGATTCAGTTGAATTTCGTCCAGAGAAGAGATGGAATAGCATCATAAGATCGTGCCATAGTTGATATCCCGAGATTTGTGGATCCTACATAGGAGCAGTCGCAAAATGGGATACACAAATACATAGTAGCACTATAATGCTTCTAGAAAGAGCAGGAGCCAGGAAAACTCCGTGGGAATGCCGCGGAGGTATGGAGCAAGAATGAACTGTCTCGATAGGGCAATATTCATATTCACATCGATCAGCTGGCCAAGATATATTTATAGCAAGATTAGGCCGCGCAATAGTAACAAACAAATGACATCTCTGCATTGCATCGCTGGTATTAAGGCGTATATGATTAGCAAACTCGTCTCGTTTCAAATGTCCCGATGGTTAGTGGCGAAGCACGAATCCTGAATCCTGGAAGCACAAGTAAGCGGCATTGCATAATGGAGCCGGTACAAGGATTCTCTAGATGTCAATGTCTGCCGCAAGCGATTATTCGAGGGTTATATTGTAATCCACGGAAAATTAAAGGGTGTGTAAAACATATTAGCTGTGTCGCAACTGCATAGAGTAACATCAGACTATTTGATCAGAAATGGAAATTGCACGGTATCGAGGTCCTGAAATATGTAATCTTACTAGATATACTCGGTTGTTATGAATATTTCCTGTTTCTCAAGCGAGGGCGTGGGAAACAGTCTAGAGACAGAAAGAATACTGTTTCCCATTAATAGCCTTTTACAAAGCGATTGCAAGCAAAGCCGTATGTGAATTTAATATAAGTTTAGGAAGCAAAGGGTTCCTTGGTTGTTTGATGGATAAAGTGGAAAATGTTTCTATAGACACTCCCTATTCTACTAGACCTCAGTCATAAAGTTCTTATCTTCTTATCATAAGCGAGACAGCTCTTAGCTCCTAGCTCCTAGCTCCTAGCTCTTAGCTCCGAATCGCGTCAAGCGCGAACCATCAATGACCTTATGGGGAAATACCAAAATGCGATACAATCCACAACTTTGTACGTCCTCATTTCCTGATGTGTATCTCTGTAAAAGTTTTATCACTTTTTGACTCATGATGTTACGGTTCAAAGATTGAGCGAACTACTAAACCGCCCCCGCCTCGCCAACATCTAAATCCATCACAATGTCTCTTTGGACAAAACCCGCCGTGCCAGATGCCCCTCCTCCAAAGGGTGTAGCTGATGTGGCAGATACTGGTCTTGCAGATGTAGGTCTGCCTGCACCTGTACCAGTCTCCCAAGCTTCTACCGGTGCTTCTACAGCACGTCCGCAACTTGCGCGGAACCAACCTCAACCTCCTCCACCGCATCAGCCCCCACCGCCACCTGCACCACAGCAGATGGTTGGGAATCCGAACGATTCGCTCTCCTTAATGCAACTGAAAAAACTTGTCACCGAATTTCCAAAGGTCGATCCTATGTCATACACTTTTACATATGCCGACACAGCAACATATGAAGAAGAGGTGGACGAGTGGTTTTCGTACAACGACGCAGAGTTCAAGAGATTACACAGAGCGAAGGATACTTTTCAGAGAAGATGGAAGAAATTTTCTGCGAAAACTTGGGCCGAAGCTGATAGAGAGGAACAGCTGAAGTTCGTGAATAAGGAAGTTCAGGGTCTACATGCTACTGATTTACGAAGGAGATGCAAAAGCCTACAAACTTTATTACATGTTATACTGGGAATTTGGGATGAGAATGCCGGAAAGAAGGAGGAATTGGAGATTATGCATTCGAGTGACACAAAAGGGAGAACAAAAGCGGCCCCTTCTCAAGTCGAAAGTATGAAGGCCGGAGTCTCTCTTCTTTCAGAGAGTGGTGGAATCGAAATGATTTACGGTGTGATGCAGACCGCTTTCAAGCATCTATGGTGAGGATGGAGTAATCATGACCGTTGAAAATGGCTGATCACATGAAAGGGATGACGAATTTCGAGAAACAAAGATAACGGAAGATGATATACCATTTGTGCAGGATGAACTCGACAATGTCATGACTATCTTTTATTTGACCATAGAGGGCGTTCGTTGCCATCCAGAATCTTTAGATGTTGCAAAGAAGACTTTACGTAAGTTTATTCACATCGTGTGATCTTGAAATGCTAATGTTTGAGATCAAAGTGGACTTGCAGCCAAGTATTGTACATTATCTATTGACGATTTCTGGAAAATTACGATGGGACGAGGCAAACGAATTACCACAAACACGAGTCAGTATTCCAAGTATCAGAAAGTCCATTAGCTTATTTCCATATCCACAGATCTTCCTCCTCTTCTGGAAATCCATATTGTTTGTTTTTGGAGGCACCGAGGAAATCGATAAAGTTAAAAGAGCAACCGATGAACTGGCCAACACTGGTGGTGAGAAGATAATTACCGCCTCACCACTTGACTATCACATCTTTCGTCAAGAAATTACTTCGAAGTATCCCGCATACATCCCTCCAGAACCTTTAATACCCCTTGAGCCCGATAATAACTCAATACTCCCGCCATTACCGAATCGACCAAGCCGAGCCAGCACAACTGGTATCCTGAATCCTCCAACAAATGTCAATAGCAGTGGAGCTTCAATCCTTCATCAGCCAGTTCACATAGCTACGCCTGCCCCATCGCCACCTCCTTCACCACCAGTCGGAGGCAAAGCAGGCAAGAAACAAAACTATCAAACAAATCAAAACTTCCCATTTATGTACCCACCACTTGACAGCACTAGCAATAGTGCAGGTGGAAAAGGCACAGCAGGGCTACAGGATCTTCTTGTGGGTCGTAAATGGGAAGGGAGTGACATTCCCAAGTCAATACTAGAAGCCGGTGAACTATTTGCAGGCAGAATGCGGATGACTAGAGCGATGCGTCAATTGTGGGATGAACGAGAACGTTTCTTGAGATTTGAACGTGGGTGGGATGACAGAGATGATGAGGATATTGAAGAGCTTGATCTCGATCACATTTTGGCTGATGGGCTCAAACCTCAAAAGCTAAGGTCACCAAAAGTAGAAGTTGACTACGGACCACGAAAAGATATCAGTGATGAAGTAAAGGAGAAACTGGACTTGATAGAGTCTTTCTATGTAAGTTTTCAATTCCACGGCTCTACAATCTTGTCTCCAAACTCATGTCTCGATAGCAATATTCTATACCACACCTACAGTCCCTTGTCATAGTCCTTATCAAGGCTCTGTTGGCAAATGTTACGAGTTTGATGAATCAGCCAGTGAATGTACAGCCACAAAGCAGCATTCCTATAAATGCACGAACAAATGGCGCGCGAGGGCCAGGTCAAGCCCAAGATCCCGCCAATATACCTCTACCCAACCCAATTGATCTTGCAGACCTCACAGTAGATGAAATAGAGGCCATGAGATTCAGAGAAATCACCTCAAAAGCCGTATCAGGCATTCTCCTTATTCTTTTGAAATGGCTCAAAGTTTCCCGTAGGTCCTAACAGTTCATTACATGTCGTCTCGCATGCTGACCAGGTAGATATTCTCAAATTTGAATATTTCACGCAGCTCCTACTAGACTCTAATTATCTTCCCTTGATACTTAAGATGTTCGCCCATCAAGAGATAGATAGAATCGTGGACAGCAGAATAGATCGTGAAGACTTGAGGTTGGTATCGTTCTGAAGAATTTTTTCATGGCTAATGACTCTCAGCTTCTTCGCGTTTTGTAACGGTAATAGTAAACATGCATCAGTCACCACCGAAGAAGAAAGTGAAGACGATGCCGCTCCGCCTCCAATCAAACTACAGCGGGATAATGCCGCAAGCAATATCGATGATCAACTTCCCGCGCTATCTTTTCAAGAAGGTCAACATGCAGCTCGTCGAGATACAGAAGTCGATGAACTTGGCATTCCGACGACTGAGGTTATTTCGCAACCTATCACTGAATTCTCCTGGCGCAACTTTTTCTCATCTATAAACTTTCTTCGCATCATGCAAAAAATCTGTAAGAACAAAGCCCATCGGAATTTACTACTCGTTCAATATAAATCATCCAATATCCTCAAAAAGTCTTTCAAAATACCCCAGCCTGAGCTGCGCCTTTATACTCTCAAATTGTTCAAAAACCAAGTTCCATACTGTGGTCGTAAATGGAGACAGGGAAACATGAGAGTTATTACGGCAGTATACTTACATTGTAGACCCGAATTGAGGGATGACTGGTTGGCAGGTAGTGATGTGGATGCTGAAGTTGAGGAAGCATTGCCACTGGAACAGGCATTGAGAGCATTGACACATTGGTTTAACCTGAGGAGATATCCGGAAAGAATGGGTGCAGATACCAAGTTATTGCAAGAAGAACACGATTTTTTCACTAGAGAGTTGGACGGGATGGAGATTGGATTGGAGGAAATGAGTATGGGAAATGGGGAGGAAAGTATGGATGGCAGCATGTGGGGCGACGGGAGTAGCGGTTGGTGAGGTTGAGGTAGGGTACAGTGAAGCAGTCATTGCTGGTTAATATGACACGGCATTGAGATGAGGTATATGTATATGGAATGAATGATGAATGATGCAAGACGATGATTCTTCCCAGCCACCCATTCACAATCAATCGCCATGCAGTCGATGGATGATGCCAATATTTGCATATTGCAATACATATCCAAAACAGAGCTAAACGACTGTGCCTCCCATGTTTCACTCGAAACGGGAACCACTTTCCAAAGTCACTTTGTTACAAATTATTAATATAGGCAACTTAATTATTTCTATCGCAAGTATTACTTTTTTCTTACTTTTGTTGCATGTCGGCAATATACATTAATCAAAATAGGTTGGCAGCTTACTATTTTCATTACTTTTTAATGTTCTTCGCTTGGTTGAGAATCGTTTAACTTTATATTTACTAGGAAGACGCTTACCGCATCCTATATATTGAGGGGTTAGATTGATTATATTATATTGAACATACCCCGCTTTTTATCCGCACAGGGATTAACACGAGATTTAGGGTTCGAGGATCTCATGCTGCACCATTCATAAGTCGCTTGTGGAGTATAGCTGAGATTTTATGGTGCGTTGGTAATATATATATATTTTAGTTCTTACGGATATATATAAATGTTTGCTAGGTAAAAGGTCATGTGCTCTAATATCTTCTAGGGTAGCATGCTAGGACTTATTTCCTTTTTCGAACAAAGTTTATAGTGTACTTTGTTCGGTCTTGTTTCGTCTTTAGAGACAGAGGTTGGGAAGGGGCGTCTGGTTGCATGTCGGTAATATATTCTCCCACAGTGTGTATCATCATGTCACCCTGTGCATAGTATACTATGGACTTATTTCCTCTCTAGAACAAAACTGTTGGTCTGGTTTGATCAGGGGCTGGGATAGCAGATTTTGTTGCATGTCGAAGTTTGTTTTCCGGCGCGGTAACGTCTATCATTGGGTGAGCTAATTCATGGCTAGTGGGAGGTGAATTTGCTGATTAGATGTCGTGGAGATATTTCCTTTTCTATTTGTGTTGTTGTTTCGGTTTTGCAATGCGAGATATAGGATGGATATGAGACAGTTGATGAAGGGCTTGTTGCATGTCATAAATATTCTCCCACGTCATCGGACCAGTCACTAGGCATTACTCGGGTTGATGGAACTTCTTGTTGCATGTCAGCAATATATAATCATATATCATCAGACAAAGATGGATATTTGCCCGAATTTTGTTGCATATCAGCAATTTATATATCTTACTGGATGTTATGGAACTATGTCTTTCACAGTATGGTCTCTATTCATATTTTGTTGCATGTCGAGGATTATTCTCTGAAGTATTGCAACCAATTATTGTTCATTTTGTTAATATATATAGTTTTGTTGCCCATCTATAATATATGTTCATTTAAGGCTGTCCTATGTGCTATACCAATTCTTACCCACATCAATGCCTACAGTTTTGTTGCATGTCGCATTATATACCATATGCAACTTATGCAGAAAGATATACGTATAGCTTTAATTCGCCTCACAAACGTCGAGGTGTTTAAACAAAAGACGAAAATCCATCGATTATTGAACATAAATTTGGAGAATAAAACTGCGACATGCAACAGATGCATGTCAAGTTTTTTTACTCGGCACTTTGAAATGAGATCAGATCACATATTGACCATGACTACTGATCTAAAAGCTTGATTCGTCATGGAAGACTTTTGTTGCATATCGATGGTTATTCTCCGAGGTTTGGCAGAAGTAGCGATTGACATAATTATGCCTGTTTACCCCGGCAAGACGAAACTTGTTGCACACCAACTTTCATTATTCGACGTCTGAGATCGTCATACTATTGTCCATTCCACACGGCAATGAAGCCGGCATGACATTTCTAACTCCGACGAAAGGTTTTTATTTTGAGCTGTGAAGGGAGATTGAAATTTCTAGGTAGAATGAACGACCGACCGACACGGACATATTTAATACGTCTCCTCATTAAACCCCGCAAATATGATGAACTGATGCACCGATCCATCCATGTCTCAAGCACAAATCCACTTTATACCCACGTACCGGAGAAATGATCAGACCCACGAGTGTTTTTTGTTGCATATCTTCTAAACTTCCAAAGAGGGAGATACTAGGCATATGGGATGACTTATCCACCATGCGCATCACATGAAATTAGACTCCAATATAAAATGCCCTTGACAGATTATGCTAACGAGATTCTTTTGATTGTGTTTTCCTCACTTAACATGAGACGAAGACTTCGGAGCTCCTAGGATTCTCTATCTTCTGAACAAATAGGAAGCACTTGATGACCTACCATTATCAAGCCCACAACACCAGTTCCTTGTCAGATGGTAAAGATATATATGTCTTGACTCTGATGTTTGAACAACAAGCAACCACAAGACTTCATCTGAACATACTTCTGTTGCATGTCTAATTCTCCGGTTCTAACATTGACAGAAGTGACGGTTCATCCTGTGGTCTTGTTCTTGCAAGCCTGAGCACTTTGTTTCGTCTCGTTTTTATATACCTGATACTGCACCAATGACATTCAAGGCACGGATATATTAAACATGTGCGCGAGAAAGTTAATGCAAAACAGACAGCTGTAACTTCTTAGGTCTCCCCGGCCCGAGGATTTGAGCTGCCTTGTCTTAGGTTCATGTCAGAGCCACAGATTGCCTCGATGGCCAGAATCCACATTCGTTCCATGATCCTGAAATACAGCTGCCGGGTTTTCTTTTAAAAATTCTGAAAATGCGTTGCCTGCGTATCCATATCTATCATCACCATGATTTCCCAAAATATTGATTAACTTGGTGCTTACCTGAGAATGCCACCTTCGGGGCAAAATGTCTAACCATTTTAGTTTCAACCATAGCTTGACGTTTAAAGTTCTTCAGCCGTCGTTTCTTATCAAACTTTGGGAAGTTAAAAAATCAGGAATAGTTCATCACAATTGGAACTTGAGAGACAAAGGTAACGTTCATGTATTTGCATGGTCTGTGTAAATGTTCTGGACTATGTTATCTTGGCGATCCACATTTTATATGAAGATCCGGGAGAGACCAGTCTCGGTCGACAAAGCATCAATATAGACAAAACGCTGTGGAGAAACATTTTGGGGAGGTTTGAGGTATAAATTCTATGACAAACAATTTGTAAGTTGAAGTGGGTGATTATTAATTCTTGTTATTCAAAATGATCCAAAATGTTGCAGTAGGCACAAATCTGCATAGTTAGTCAATTATCACTTTGACATTTTTAACATTTGCGAATGGATGGATGGATGCGATGTCCAGATTAGGGACAGGGCTGACAATGGCATTGGCAGCTGGTCCGTGATTATGCTATCCATGAGCCGAATTAAGATTGAGTAAAATTAGATTACACCAAAGGTCTTCAACATAGCTTAATACTCTGTTAACGTACTCCGTATATATTGTCTTTCCAAACGTGGCACAGCTCGTACTAGGGGTGGCTGGTTTCTGATTAATGAGACCCACACATCCATTTCAGCGCCCTTTTCAGCGGTGATGGGGTACACCGAAATATTGTTTCATCGTAAATGAATCCGATCCTTTGAGGTATGATATAGATGACGATGTGCTTTCTATATAGAACCGAGTAATCCTCGCGGAGAAGGCTGGACTCGTATATTATATGTGGTATAATCTAGAGTGCCTCAAGCCCCATCCCTTCGTAAAATCGCCTTGCCATCGAGCGGTTCCTAGTTGATTTGCCCAAAATGCGATGATATCTACCCTTTCCAAAAGCCCGCATGATAAGTCTGCGATGATTTTAGTCAATCGTCCTCAGTTGATGCTTTCCAATCCTGCTCTCTTTATTTCCATTTGTGGTACAAGTTAATGAAGCGTGAATCGGGGCAAGAACAAGGACAAATTTTTGGACTGCATTCCACACGTGCTGTCAGAAAACCTGTGATCGCAGGGCTTTTCCCGGCTTACGGGTTGTCGGAAGGAATTTATCAATATTGCCGCGACAAGCATACACGGGTATTCTACACTGCCGATAAGTAGCTGCAGTGGGTTATGGTAGGCTACTGAGAGCCTACTACTGTGTTATCGAAATCTACCAGCGATTGGTTGAATGCGTTAGACAGTTTTCCAAAAAGAGAGAATTGTCATCCGCGGCTACGACTCTATACATGAGTACAGGACATACATTTACGCGCGCTTCTCGTGACTTCAGTAACGATGCTTGAAGGCTTCTTGAAAAAGTAGCCTTAGAGTAGGCACCTTCTCAAGGACATCATACGAACTCTTTTCAAGTTCCCATTTCAGGGCTGAGGAAATCATGTTTTACAGGGGTCATCGCTTATCAAATATGCCTGTGGATTGAGATTGGCACGTCCAAGATTAGGTGTGATAAGCCATTGACCCACTAAATGTCTCTTTCTTCATCAAGTCAAGAACTCCCAAGTTTTTACAACTGTTATTGTTGTTGGAGAACATGCAGATACGTTGTTGTCGCTGTTGGTTGCGGAGACTTTGAGATATATCCAGAGGGCTTTTCCCCCTTCACATGGCAAATCTTTTCATCATGCTTGCTTATCCGTGTAGTAACCCTGTAACTACCTATCATGTGTTCTTTTGGCGTCAAATATGGGCGGCTAAGCCTCTTCAAAGCGGTTCGATGTAACCCCATGAAACTACTGACCTTTCTTCGTGTCCAATTGCCCTCCACAGATGATCACTAGCCAATCTTTCGGTTCGGTTCGCAGTGTTTTCACTGCCAAGATGGTGGATGAGATTGCTACACCTGCATTGCACGAGCGGGGCAGCTGTGCGAAGTCACATTTGGCCCAAGTTAGGCTCACAATGCTGCGTCTATTATTTAGCCCACACGCTGACTTGTGTTACATATGAGTGCTTGCCCTTCGTTCATCTTTATGACTGACTAATTTTCTTTGATATTGATTATGTCTTCGTTAAATGAACGGGAGTTATCCACGCGAGCGGGGTTTACTGATGTCGCCATCAAAAGCACGGATGGATTGCTACACGGCCGAAAAGTTGGGAAGCCCTCCCATGCCTATAGCACTAGTTTAGGAAGTCGATATGCTGGTTTCCTTGGTCTCATCAGTACAACAATTTTCAGCAGTCTCCTTTTAGTGGCGGACAAACGAAATGCCGCAATATCGGGCGGTATCGTGTATGATGCAATCGTTCATAACCGAGCCTCCGTCCAGATTATAGTTCAAGTTATCGCAGCTGCACTTGGACTTATTCAGGTGGCGGCAATATGTCGCCTCTTTAACTATGCTACTAGAATCCGCCTAAAGCAACGTGCGATCCCCCTTGATCTGCTGAACTTCTGGAACGGAATCAGTCTATCTTCGATGCGATGGAACTTACGTTGGATGTATCTTCTACTTCTTCTTATATTTACGTCTGTTTGTGCGATTCCTTCTGCATTGTGGGCAGGTGCAATCACGCCTATCGATACTCATAAAGTGCGGCCGGCAAACGTCACAATTCCTCAATATTCAAACATGTCCTCAGTCAAAGAATGGCCTTCCGAGATTGATGCAGACGGTCCGCAATTTAGAACCGAGAAAGGATATTTTACTTATTCCCCTGCTATGCATTACCTGGGGCTCCTTTCACAATCTCTTTCTACAGCGACAACTATGGACGGTTCGCCACGCCAACATGGAAAGTTTGACAACACAAAGTTCTTATACATCGGTCGATCATATGGAATAGGCGCGTCAGTAGGCCTCGCCGATGATGATATCCTAAGCAATACGATTACCACGGGATATAAATATCAAGAAGTAGGATACTCAGCTGCAACCAAGTGTATCTACAACCAGTCTTCCGATTTCACCATAATTCATAACGGCTTGCAGTTATTTGCAGCCAGGGGTCGACTACCCGACTCTGGTCTCAATACTACAGGAGAATATTCTGTTTATCTTGGACATTCAGTCAATTCGCTTGTTGCCATTGGTGTTGCTGCCGCAAACACGGGTTACAATCCAAGGTACCTTGCGATTGCGGCTGGAAGCGATTATGGATATTTGAACACGACTCAATGCAGAACTGAGTTCATTCCATCACTCTTCAATGTATCCGTCGCACTTGCCGGGAAAAACATCACTGTAACACGAGCAAACGCGACGACAGAAGATATCGAACCAAGCGGAAATCTAACGCATGTCGTTGAAAGACAATTTGAGTTAGCCTCGAATGATCTGACGGGTATTTATCAGGTATGATTCATGCTCCTTTTTCACATGTTTGAAACAGAACCTAACTATCTTCAGAGCATTCTTGGAAGTGCGCTTAACTTCAGCATCGCCGATTATCAAACATTTGTCAATAGCTCCTCCTTCAATGAGTTGAGGCCAACAGATGAAGAGATAAATTTGACGGGAATACAAAATTCTGTCACAGCAATGATCGATGACCTTCTCGTCGCATACGCGAGCGCGCAACTGATGATCGCCAACGATACCAAGACGGTCGATGCGATAGTCACTTATGCTGCCGTACGCCTCGGTCAGCCAATCTACGTATACTCCGTCTTTTTCATCAACCTTGCCATCATACTTGTGGTTATGATTGAAGCGTTCAGAACTCGGAGCTGGACTCATCTCACACCGTTTGATTATATTGATTTGAGTGCGCTTGCAGTTGCTAGCTCTAGAGGTGGATATCATTTGTCTAATGCACTTGCGGCTGTTGGTAGAAAGGTCGAGAATATCAATACGGATTTGAGATTGCGACAGACGAGTACTGGGTTCAGTTTAGGGCTGGCTAAGATGGACCCTGATGAGAATATACAGAGTTGGATATGATTGATAATTCTATTAGATGATAGAGATGGCATTGTACCACCAAGATTCCTAGTATTCAAATATAGACATTTAGATTTTGAAGTATAATTATAGTTGACTTGACTAATACTCAAAACTATCACCGGTAATGCGATGAAATCCATGACACACTATCCGATAAATCCCTATACGGACTCTATCCCTCTTGGTCATTCACCCCAAAAATTAAATTTGCTAAATACAAACAAAGTCCGGTCTAATATCTCGTGATCGAATTTCTATCCTGAATGCTACCAAATGGCGCTTGCCGCACTTTTTTAGAATAAGATATTACGTGAAAGGCTACATAAATTTTTGCTACACAGACCTTTTCAACTTAAATCTTGGGTCAGACATCCTCAAATTAGCGGGGTGTAAGTATCCGCATACTATAATGTACATTTCAGATTCTGTCACCACAACGTCATATAATTACAGCTTCCTCTGCCAAATATAACATAATAATGACCTACATCCATTATCATATTCCGTTTGTCTAATCTATTTTTATTCTGTAATACATTTGCATGAACCTGACTGCTTCCACCCTGTCGCTCTCAGCTACTATGTAAAGTTTTGACAAAATGGGCTCTGTGGTACGCCCATGCCGAACTTTAAACAAGTATAGAAGCCTATAACTCTATTGTCCCTTCGAAGCTTCAATTTTGCTATGCGTATGACATTAGAATAGAGGCCAGGGAATTCACTGTACATCTAAAGAGCCGGTACCATGGACATGAGCTTTTTAACATCAAAGTTCTCCAGAAACAACATCACTTTGTGATTTAGATATTACTTTCACGAAAACTACGAGGACAAGGTAAAATGCGGCGTGTATTCCACCTCTATTCCGACAGAAAGCGGGAGATACTATAACAAAAGTTCTTTTTGGATCACAGGTATGGAAACCGGTAGGAATTATTCACCATTGAGATCGGGATGGCAATATCCGGGCGACTGGAAAATCCCGAAGCGATATTTTGTGGATATGGTTACGTTCATGTGATTATATGTTGGATAGTTACATATTTCACTATAATTGAGCTACTTTGATCTAATTCTCTACATCTAAAAGATTGACATGGATTCATAGGCATAATTCAAAGTATGGATACTTTGAAATCATTTGGTGGGGAATAAGAGGTTTGACCCGAATGTAATTTCGATTCATTTTCTACAGAATTGTGGAAAAGTCGCCAATTTTATACTGAAGAAACCCCTAGCATAAGAATAACTCATCGCTAAACCACTCTTCTCTTTTCTCAATCTTACCAGGTGTCAAAACTAATGACCGCCCTCTTGGTTCTCTACACCGCCACTGGAGTATAAACTGGCAGCAGGCTTGACATTATAAGACTTAGAAACATCAACGCCGAAAGCCAACCATCCAAAGATACCATCGGCAACAGTTTCACCCAAAAGAGAGTACTCAATCATAGGGTCAGAAGAAGCAGCCTCATCGGCCAAAACACCATCGGCAGAGTTCAAGGTTACTGGTTGTCTATTGGTGTTGTATGGGGAAATGGCCTCGGCTTGAGTAATGAGATCTTGATCAAAGAACATTTGTCCAACGTGTGAGACGACCCCGCCACCATAGGTACCGTTAGCATAGGTAGTTCCATTGAAGTGTACGAGGACGTGAATATGATTTGAGCGAGAGGTGTAATGACCCGGAAAGAGAGTTTTGAATTGAGCAACACCTTCAGCGTCGGTTGCTTGAAGACCGCGGAGAAAGGTAGAGTTTATGTTGGCAGTATCGGCTGAGTTGCCGTTTGTTGATGCGACAATACCACTGTATACACCTGTAGAGTTACAGTGCCAGATCTCGACAACTGCGTTGGTGACAGGATCGCAAGTAGACATGTCAATCACTTGGGTGTCGAGAATGAGATCGATTCCTTGTTGATCTTCGACAATGTCTGATCGGACATATTCACCAGAGACATCTGGATTGACCTATTAGACCCTGCCTTTATGTTGATAAATGAGGCGTCAATCTAGACTTACAGTAAGGACCTTGGGTAACTTCTGGACTGAGAATACAGGAGTTGTTTCCTGCGAAGACGATAGACTCGTCGGTTGAAGCATCATAATCCTCGGTGGACAAATGTGTAGTGTTCAGAACTGTGGCCTCATCTCTTGCTTTCAAGTAAGGTTTTCCTGTTTACAGAATCAGTTAAGTCCCCCACCAAAATTTAGAAGCGATAGCACGAAAGCTAGAGCGTACCAGAACTAATGCCTCTCTTCTTCCTCTCATTCTGGGCAATAGCAGAGCGTCTTGCAACAGCTGCCTGCTCAAGACCTCTAGCCTTCAACTCTGCAGAGCAGTGGCTAAGATCACGCGTCTTCAGCTGAGATATGAAAGAAGCTCTCTCGGCGATTTCTTGTTTAATATCATGGCCAGGATGAGCCATAACAGAAAAAGCCAAGATGGCCGAAATAGCTGCTGCTGAAAAATGCATTATTGGAAATGAAGGGTGTGTGATTGTTGAATATATTGAAAAGGTTATTGAGGTAATTGAGAATGATGATACTGGTGATGAGGAGAAGAGAACATTTTCACGTAAACATCACAGATATATATATCTTCATTCCTCTCTTACCGATGCACTCCTTCTCAGACTCCTGGATAACTTTGACAGAGGCTTACGAATAACCTTGAACCGGCAGTCATGTCAAATCAAGGATTCCAGATGGATTAATTAACTTCTACGTACCCGTTGTCAATTTCAAAGGTCATTACCATCTTGCCTGTGGTAGAAAGGACGAAACAATACTTCAAAAGATCCACAAAGATGTCACCGTCGCCCTCCTAATAAAATATACGGTGGAAAGTCATGCTTAAAAACGTCTTTCAAGCATGTTTTCATGCAGGTACCTCGTCCCATCGTCCTTGGCATCTTAATAAATAGCTTGAAATCACAGTGACTTGTATCGAGGGTAGTAGACTTGTGAAGATATATTCGTAACGAAAAAAACCTCATTGGATGGAAGAAGACAGGCTGACGGAGTAACTGAGCCACATAATCACAGCGACCATGCCGCATACAACAATTGACGCGAAACCCCTTCTGAGTGATGTGGAAAGTGGGGCGAAACGCGCGTTGTGGGGCTTGGCATCCAGACTCCCCCCCCCCTCATTAACATCCAAGCGGAAGACTATTCAGTCCTCTGATATTCAGATATGTTTGTTTGATGCTCACATTAAATAAAGTTAATGCAACAAGAGTAAAAATTATTGACAACCACAGCATGATCCAAACCCCAAGGCAGTTTATTCTTCGCTTGGAAGTGCCTTCAGTTCGTCCTGCGTATCTACCTAGGGTCCTAGACACAGATTCGATTTGCCAATATAATGAATATACTCACAAATCCACGTTTCTGAAGTTTCGACTTGATATTTCACATACTACCGATAGTTACCGCATAGTTAAGATCTTGTAGCCCTCAACTCGTCGGTCTAGATTCGTCATTCGCTGATGTACGAAATTAAGTGATGAGTTTTAAGAACATGTATCTTGCTCTCCATGATGGCAAGGTGTATAAATCTACCCACCTGGCTCCTCATGTGTCGTGATGAGGCTCATCCGCTAAGAGGAGATCGAAAGAAATTCTCCAATACTTCGCAAGTTCTAAGTGAAGCTTCACTTCGGATGATCTGCTTTTACTCAATCCCTCGATCGTACAACGGTTTTCGAGTTGAATATGGAATGCTATCATGATCGCCGCACTTTCATTCCTTGGTGACCACTTTGACCTTATGCGTGTTCCAGCAGAGGTCCTTACCAATTTGAAATTTGAGGGAAGGCGGTGTGTTGAGTGTATAGCATTTATGTGAGCCACAGATGACCCAGCAAGTGCGCAATATCATCGACTTAGATATGTATTATTATTATTATTTAAAAACCTGTTGGGTGCTTCCGTGAATCTAGGGGCACCAATGTAATCGGCTTCGTAGTCGAATGTATTAGAACTCCGTTTTTCTTGTTGATGGTGTCTCCAGAAGACAAAGCGATGACTATGTCATGTTTTTAGTGATTATGGCAGAATATAATACCAAAAAAATGCTGCTGGCTAGCAGAGCAGGGAAGGGATTCTGGCCAAATATAGGATAAATGGACAAGGCTGAATCTAAAGCCAGGCCATGTCTTGATTTATCGGCAGATTGTTGTGAGCGCCGTCTTGAAGCCTCGAAGTAGAGCAAGAGTCCACTTATACAAGTTCCGGAAACAGTCCGCAACCCTGACACATGATATAGATAATACATACCATTGGGTGGAAATATCTCCGTCCACGTCCTTAGAGTTCTTGATATCTTATGCTGATGAATAGCGAATACCTTCTTCAGAGGTACAAAATAGCGTTTTCTCAGAGTCAAAATTGCTCAAAAGTAAAGTAGCAGACTTTGGGGTTTCAGAATACTGTTTTGTCAGATATTTTTGTTCCAAGTGTTCTACCTGTTGCGCAGATTTGTTCGTCTAGAAATCAAATGGTCATGTGACGTCCGAATCTCCCGAGCTAGCCGTTTGTGGAATCCAACAGTTGGTCTCGCGACGTAGTATAATTTTGGGATTTAACCAGCTTCCGGGTATTAAACACTACAGGGCGTTCTCGAACAGGAACGGGACTCGCGCTTCGGTGTTCGGATCATCCGAAAAATTCGGTAGGGATTTAAACTGGTGTTGATGCTTAAGCCCCTTCCAAAAGGAGTCGGTCGGGAATGTATTCCATGGCCGAGAAGTATTTGGCTAATGACTCTGGAATGGTACTCCTTTAGTGGTGCTCGATGTTGAGGAAGGAGTTAGCAAGTGTATAGTGGACCAGAACTCGGAGGAAGTAGTAGAGGCTGAGTTTTTCGTAAAAAAAAAACAATTGTGGGGTTGCATTGATGAGCTTTAGAGTTGGGAGTGCATTTGGGAGTCCATTTGGGTGTCCATTCGCGTATTTGAAAGCGACATCAAAACCTGGAATTAACAATTTCCAGCCTCAATCTTGTGGTGCAAGGTCGGAGATGCAGAGCATAATTCCCCAGGTACAAATGTAACTCTAAGTGGAACCTGTCGGATTCTCAAGAGGATTAGCGTTTATCTCCATTGAAGTTTAACAGAGCCCGTGATGAAAATTAGTGCGGTGCAATACATTACCAGTGCCATTCAATTCGGCCGATGCAACATTTTGAAAACACATGTGAAAGGCGTTGTATGTTCAACCAACCCCATTTTTCGTCATAATCGCGTGGTGGTGTTATTTTTGCTGACGGTAGCAGCGGGATCAAGGCCCGGGCTACAGCAAAATCTCATGGACTTGCCAACCTAGAAATAAGACGGCCCCCTGCAAATAGTGAGGTAGAGATACTCCAATCACTTCCTTTTCTAGTTTAGATGTTCTTCAAGGCTGAACCGATTTCCTTCCTGCGCCATGTGATTTGCTGTTATTTTGGAGCAAACTCCTTTCTGATAGTCTCCGTACGCCTTGCGGGGATCTATCTATCCGATCGTAAATCGGTTATATCATAGGCTTGCTCATGTAGATTCTAAGCGAGGCATGTGTCATGCACCTTGGAGCGTGCGGCGAGAAGGAAGGAGATGAATCTCTGGAAAGCGCAGCCGAATCATATGGCTTGCATTCTTGAGCCGCGCGAGCATCAAATATTATCATCCAGGCAAATTGTAGATCAGGTGGCCGAAGGCAACCGAAGTCCGTGATGATTTTAAATCATCACATCATTTACTTATATGAGCAAGAAATTTCACGCCAGCAAGAAAACAAGGACTCGCGAGCATTCTGTAAGTCCACGGGACAATAAACTCAGCGTCCTCATGCATGCCAATACCTGTTTAAAGCGATTGATTGGTAAGATTTGGTATTTGCATTGCAGAAACCTTGGCGTAGATAGGATTGCATCAAGACATGATGATAGCTCCTTTGACCAATACTTCAATTTATGCGTCTGCGCATGCATTGTCGGATACGATGGTAAGCCTCGGAGAAATAATCTTCTCAAAATTCCTACAACTGTTCCACAGCCTCATGACAGCATCTAGACGGAAGGAAAGTTCCATTTTGGTGATCCTGCTACATGTATAAAATGACTGCATGATTATTCCCGCTAGGGCAACGTCTAACTATCGAAGGCGAAGTGCTGTATGGCGTTCTCATCCGGGCGGCGAAACCGCAGGTTGCAGCGTGGCAAATTATCGGTCATACTGTGGAAATTCGGTGAAGAACTAGGCCTTCTAGTCCTAAAACCAGATACTTTCCGAATGGCGGTGAAATTTCCCATAAGTCGGCTCGGTACAGAGTGATATCTGTGGCAACAGGAAATGACAAAGATAGCTGTTGCGTGATCCTGACCACTTAATCTGTAACTGTTGCACGATTATGAGTGATACTGATGTCACTCCAAGATGTGACACCCAACATGCATAGGAGATCATAGTCTTATCAAGACGCCTGGGAATCCGGGGCAATGCCGTGCATATTGTGGCATCCAAAATCTTGCAAAACCATGTTTGTGTGTCCTTGTGACTTTGATTTCATACCGCCAGCCCAATTGATATCAAGATTCACAGAGCGACGACGAATTGAATGAATCCCAATCAGATACGGGTTTAATGTATCTTAACTGCGCCAAATGTATCTAGGACATTTATATTTGTGTATTGCAGAAAATAATGACCACCTAGAACGCCGTCGAAGCCCTTTTGATGCAATGCAAAATGTACCTGGCCACTCTGTGCGACGTAATCTGATCTTACACAAGTTCCAAACCCAAAGTATTCCTGGATATGATAATATTCTCGGGAACTAGCCAATCGTGCATGTGTAACCTTAATAAGTGAATTATTGGGGAACGTTTACCACGGATTTTTATGCAATGGTCATCAATGCCACACCTATCTTCCACAAGTTGGCCGTACCTTTTTGCTTAGCTACCTCTAGGGGCATTTTATGAGGGGGTGATGGGAAATAGTGAAACATACATGATTTGTGACAGGCCTGCATACATAAGCACCAATTAAGCAACTCTTTCTGGTGACACATAAAAAGGCTCTCAAGGTAGGGTACTTACCAATAATGTAAGTGCAGTTTATCAACAAATCCGTTAAGCGAGCCAGATTGATGGGTCACATCAACAAAAACTAATGCACCCCACTACGGTCCGTACCCCTACTCCGAAGCTCCTTTTCGACCGAATCAGGTTCCGGAGTCCACAAGTCTGTTCGTCTTGGACCATTATTATTGGGCAGCAATTACCCTGTCTGGAGTTGCAGATCAACTCCGGACTTAGAATAGTGGGACGGACGGTAAAGATTGAGATTCATCAAAGTGCGAGATTTGGTAATCTTCTCCAAAGAGTAATCAATTTTCCAGTGGGTCGTTTTCCCAGTTACACAAAGATGGGGTAAGAGATCCGATTACCAATGATCATATTTCTTACCGAATTCGTTGATGAACATATGCATTTGATATTAAATAGAATTCAAAAGAATGATCATACGAGATTGCTACACCTAAATAGTTCGAAGGTTTCAGTAAAAAAGCCTTGTGTAAATGTTGGTAATATAATGAAAGATAAAGCAACTTGATACCCATGAGTGCAAATTCGTACACGGTAACGGTTTGTTGTGGAATTTCGTACCTTTTGTCTCGTGCCCTTTCCGGAGTCAAGGCATGACCCCATATGCATCGGATTTCGTATAGCGGCCATTGATAGGGGCAACTTTGTGATACAAATGTTGATATAATCCCTTCTCCTCGGCAGCTGCGAAATTTTAATCTTTGACACCTTGCATTCTACACACTCCACAAAATTCCCGCTAGTGCCTGCCCCAAAAGTGGGTTCTCAAATATCTCAACACTCGTGTACGCATCACATCATATTGCCAGACTTCCAGCTGTAGGCCTGTATAGCATCATCTATTCACGTTGCGAAGTCATCGAAGTTCGCGCTTGCAGAAACATCATTATGTCTTCAAGGTCTTCCACATCAGAGCCGCCGACACCCTCTTCTCCAAAGACGACCCGCTCATGCACCAACTGCCACAAGACAGAAACTTCTATGGGAAGCTTTCCCAGTTGCGAACGATGCAAAACTCCGTACTGTTCTCGTGATTGCCAAAAGGCTAATTGGCCAATTCATGAACCGAATTGTAAAGAGCGCTACAAATTCAGTATCACGATACACGGCGACACCATTCCAGATGGTTTAGATATTGACGCCTTGAAAAAAAGGGCGGAACAAGATGGAAAGGAATTTCAGTTTATACAACTGCCTTCAGGTCAAAAGGGCAGGAGGCAGACAGCAGTTTGCGATTCGAGCGGAGAAAAGAAATAGAAGATCGCGGTTGGAGAGCGCCTCACATTCATGGTCGGACAAGTAGACATGGTGTCTCATTGAATTGGTGCGTCGGTAGAGAGGAGGGCTTAGGCTATGTAGGGATTGAGAAGAATAGTTTGCAGACTTGAGAGTAGGCTGAAGATAGGATTTGTTACTGGGCGATAGACTGGTATAATGAACTGAAATGATTTCCTGGAATATTTGAATGGAGTTGTTCGTCAATTGTAGTAGGCATGGTATGGCAGGCGTTCTGGCTTTTGTAGTAGTCGGCAAGAGATCGATGCATCGGCAGATTCGACTCGACGTTGGAAGAGGTGCAATAGGAATCACAGTGTGCTACCAACATGACAAATCCATTTCCACAATTAGAATAAATGCAACATAGAAATGTGACATGAGATATGATGGTCGGAAATCCGGAGTTACCGTGGGCTATATCTGAACCCATTCCCCGCTTGCAATAGATTCCACATATTTAACTTCAGGCTTGCGCCAAGACAAATGCGATACCACCTGGAATCAGCAATTGCCCATTAGAGACAATGGAACAATGAGACGGAGTTTGCGAACTTACAAAGCCTTTCGGAGAAAATTGCCGGACAAAATCCGTGCAAGAAACTAAAGAGAATGTAAAAGATGATTTCTTTCAACAGAGCCAACCATACAGAGATGCAATGTTAGAGCCAATTGAACCTACGTTGGGTATACTTCATATCAAAGACAACATCTCGCAGAAGGAACTCATCGTGCGCAGTCGATGATTTTGTCCCTTGGCCCTGAAAAGGCCGTATCGTCTTTAATGTCCGACATCGTCATTATCTTCCCAAGACTTGTGGACAAATCCACCGCCAAGAATCGACTGACATGAATTGGACTTGGAAGAGTTTCTGATCTTCAAAAGTTAAATTCCGGTCAGTGACAGAACTAATCCTTTCAAATATCTACTATGGTTGTAGGCCCTCGTCCCTGGCGACAAAACATAGCTTTCACTGGCCGTTCTGAGTCCCAGGACCATTTCCAATGAACCAGGGAACGTTCTAGTTTTAGCATGGAGTTCCTTGCACGGCATCTATTCCGAATGAGTTCAGACGAAGGTCCTTGTTCTATAAGCTCATATGTGAGAGGACTAAAGATTCTTTGAGTGTAGACGACCATCTGGAAACAACCTCCCACTCTCGGAAGCAGAACCGGATGTGACGCCGATGTACTTTACTTCCAATCAATCAAACGATGCCATCTCGAGACACCTAATTAATGAGCCCTCGTTCATGAACCCTCCGGCACTTTTTATTTGAACGGGGTAAAGTATGGGAGCTTCAGCCTCATTCCCTCTGCTCGAGACTCCTTACAGATTCGTATGGTGGTGTTTACTTTGCTGTCGCCTACACACCTATTTTCATCTGAGAAAATTGCCGCAAGCGCGATATCCCATGTTGACAGAAGGATATCTGTTGGCAATTGCGGGAACGGAAAACGCGTAGCACTGGCCTGGGAGGTTGTTGAGATTCGTTTTGAAAGCCTGGATATTCAAGTGGGTGTCTAGAAACTTCGTGTAGAAGTTGAAAGACTCAAATTTCCAAATCATTCAAGGCGGGTGAGGCGAGTTCGCGGAATTGCAGCGATGTGGTTGCTGATTGTTTGTGGGAGATTTTTGGTCCAATTGAGGAGATCTTGATCATATTATGACGTCTAAAACCGTGATGTCATTGAGGTCATGGCTCTAAAAATATTCTGATGTTAGCTACGGGAGGACCCGAGTCTGAGGGGTGGCGATCAGGGAATGGCATCGACACGTGATATCATCTGACATCTTATTGGCATTCACTTTTTTCTTTTTTCAAGAAGTTTGCTTCTAAAGAATTTTGTGATTGTGAGGTTTCGGGTATGTCTTCCCTTATAAAAGATGTGTCCTTCTCGAAGCAAGGCTGGCGATGAACAGGACTAACGGAGTTCCACATATACACGTACGTAAGGACTCCAAATTTAAGCATACCTGGCGACCGGTATCTGCAAACTTTTCACGGAATCTTACTGTATTTCGAAATTTCACCCAATTGGAAGATCCAAGAGCCATCATATATTCAGAAGCGATTCCCGAAAGGTTATGAGTTTCAGGCTCGACTTTGAAGTACGAAGGACACGTGTGACTATCGAGGACACTTTTATGGCTTCAAAGTAGTTTCAGCTGAGATGTCATGCTGGAATAAAAGATGCTACAGGAAAGCGCATCTAGGATGCAAATTTTACATGTTAAATACCGCTGGAGCTCAGCTCTGGCTGAAGGTCATTTGGTTGCAAGTGCGACCCACTTCTACAATCTCTGTGGTCTACAAATTTGAGGAAATTTTACCGCTATTATCTGCCAAGCACAGAACTAATGATCCTTCCTGTACATGCCTTCATCTTGGCATCGACCTCGTTCATCTCGGTATTTCGTTTGGCCATTCATGGCTTGAAATCGACTATCCAAGGCTCCACATATGGTATTCTTGAGTGGATTCAACTAAAGAACACCTAAAAGAGAAGACAGCCAAGTCCAGGTCAAACGATTTGGTCCATATGCTCGCATTATGGATATCTATGGGGCCGGCATCCTTTCGAAATCATCATTTTGATGTTCCAGCGTTTACCAACCAATAAGATCGCTTGGATTTTTTATGGAGCTGCAAGTTGCATATGCAGTATCAATTTTTGTGCATATGTGCGTGCATATGCTCTAAGAATTCCAAATCAAAATTAGAAATAAGCCTCTCTCTCCAACCATCGAGATTCAAGTCATCGTGATAAGCCCGGCCCCCAGGGAGAGGGTAACATAAATGTCACTAATTCCACAGCAAACACAGCAAAATGGCAAGCATAGAATTATCATAGAGAAGGGTCAAAGATGATGATCCAATGATATCGTTGATGGCAAAAACGCAAGTCCGGATAAACTTGTGTGCGGAGCTGCTAGTCAATCAGCCATCAATAAGTTTTCAAATCTTCACCAACTGATTTAATTGAGTTCCTTTTCACCTGCTGGTTAGATAATCAATATAATTTATTATCTGTTAATCAATATACACACAATTATTATTTAGTAAAATTAATTAAGAAAAAATAAATATGTTTGTTAAAGTGAATGGTTCCTGCGTAGCACGTGCACACGGCACTAGTCCTATTAGGACTAGATTGAGAAGCTCTCTGTAGGAGAGCTTCGCACTTCCGTAGAACTAAGATAATGAGTGATTCATATAAAAGGCCAATATAGCCTCAGTTCTGCCCTATCAGCTTCCCACTATTCCCTGTGTAAGGTCATTCCTTTTAATATTATAGTTATTTTTGATTTTATTTTATTTAATATCATTTTCTGTTAAAGTGAATGGTTCCTGCGTAGCACGTGCACAGGGCACTAGTCCTATTAGGACTAGATTGAGAAGCTCTCTGTAAGAGAGCTTCGCACTTCCGTAGAACTTAGAAGAGAGATTAACCTACTAGACCAATATTACCTCAGTTCTACCCTATCAGCTTCCCACTATTCCCTGTGTGTTACGAGGTTTGCCGTCTAGATCACGTGGAAGTGCTCTAGGCTCTCGAGGTGGTTTATAACTAGGCGTCAAGCAGGGACTTAAAGTAATGACAATAATGATATGCAATTCGTAACTAATAGTAGAGTATACTAAATGATTGATCTTGAGCACGAAGCTCTATACAAAGGAAATCCATCTTGATTATATAGACCTTCATGCCTATGGCTAGTCAGGACCGCGCAGCGGTCCTGGACAGCCAGCGTTCCTCAGCGGTCCATAACGTGACTTTAATCACGTTACCTTGGCTTAGTCATGTGACGCGGCATAGAAGATAGCCGTTGTAACACATATATACATACTATCAAAGTATATGAACAGATATGCTAGATCACCTTAGATCATCAGTGATCTTAAGTGATCCAAGAAATACGAGGATCTATATATTCAATATAAATTCCCTCTTATAAAGCCTCATACTCAAAATCAATCATTTAGTATACTCTATTATTAGTTACGAATTGTATATCATTATTTGTCATTACTTAAGTCCCTGCTTGACACCTAGTTATAAACCACCTCGAGAGCCTAGAGCACTTCCACATGATCTAGACGGCAAACCTCGTAACATCATTTGATATAAATTTTATTTAAATTGAATATTATAATTAATACTCAAATCATTTGTCATCATAGAAAGAATATAATTGAAAAAATCTTTGGAGTAATCTTCAGAGCAATTTCAAATACCATGAAAAACAAGAAATTTCAAGTAGCTGGCAGGAGGGCAAGGAAGTACTAATCAACTACAATAAAAGAATCATACGCATATAACTATACTGCAAAAATACATCATCTTACAAAACATAACATTCAATTCAATTATACAATTTCCAGGTAACAGTATCCTAAAAGATAACATCCACTCATTCACCCATCCATCCGATCATAACAAACACCAAACATCAACACATTCTCCAAACCTGAGCATCAACCCTCCAACCCCAATAATCATGTTTCGTCCCTTGGAGCGGCATCAAAAAAGGCCACGGACTTTTTCTGATCACATAATTCTCAAGTAATTTCGCAAACGTTATTTCTGTTCCCGGAACTGTATTCCAATTCCAATCATATATATTTCTTCTATCGTCATAGGTCAGGAGTTCGAATTTCCAGAGCGAAAGATTATTTCTCAAGGAAGTGAGGATATCTTTCCATTGGAACCGTGTGAGATGGTTCCAGCCGCTTCCAGGTCCGCATCCATATCCCCCGCTGAGATGTAAGTTCTTCAGCGTGGAGCGATGTCGCTCGAGGAAGGAGACAAGAAGTGGTCCTGGAACATCGGTTTGGTGGAGACGAAGACTTTCTAGATGAGGCATGGTGATATTATAAAATGAATTTTTCCATGCAATTTGGAATTCTGGCGTCGTGTTCGTAGCGAGATTCATTACAAACATTAAATCCAGTCTGCGAAGTCGCTGTGCTGAAAGTAAAAGATCGGTGATTCGTTGGGCAACGAGTGAATCCTGCCAGGAAGTAAATCCATAGTCCCAAAATCCAATTGACATTTGCTCTAGAGGAGAAACCAGGCCAGTGAGGGACTTGTATGGATGACCAGGAAACTCAGATAGGAGACAAAGTCGATTTAAAGAAGGTTTTAAGGGTATGAAAGGGGGAGATCCAAGTTCCTGGGATGATAAACAATCCGTGGGTAGGCAATCAAATTCAACGGATGTAAGTGATACATTAGCTGCATTGATAGCTGCTACTATTGAAGTATAATACCATTGGGATAAATCATCTGCCATGAATTGTGTTCTCTCTTCTTCAATTGTTGAGTTCCAATTAGGTACCCAAGTTGATGTCGATTGAAACATATCCTCCGAAAGTGGATAACTAAGTGAAGTGATTGTAAGGTTTCTAAAATTAGGGAGATTACTGAAAGCTTTCGCCAAGTGAACTGGATCACAAAAACCAGGTTCATTCGCGATTCTCCTTCGAAGGATTTCTCTCGCATCTGAGAAGTAAAATGTCCATTTTCTCGCATCGCTTGAGTCAAGAAATATAACTATGGACTTGATTGTTTGAGCTAGATGTGGGCATTCCGATACTTCGGCAAGTCTATCCATATCCGTTGGTTGACAATGAGGATGAAGTTTAAAGCCATCTCGAAACAATCTTTCGGTCCCAGTTATAGCCCAAGCTCTAGATGTTAGACGTAAGGATCCTGCATCTTTGACACTGAGATAATCGAATATATTTGCTTTAATCTCGGGGGGGAGCTCTACGCCTAGACCAAAGCCGAGACTAAGGTCAGGAGCCGCGCTTGTTTTTTCGTTTTTGGGCAATTCTGGTGATTTTGGGTGTTGGGACTGTTGTGCGTTCATCCGGGCAGGCATTTGTCAAAATGGAAGCACAAACAATGAAACTTGAACTCGATACAACAAGAGATGATAGGAGCAAGACAAACATAAACATAATCAAAAGCGGAGCATAAAGAATTGCGTGGATTTTAGGAATATTGCTGGAAACGAACAGAATAAAATTTTCCGAATATAATGTGAAAAGGCTCGAAGGAAAGAACAACCAAGAGCAGGCTAGTTTCAACAATGGCCTTCCGTTCGATTAAAACATCTTAACTAGGTTTTTCAGGGAAAGTAAATGCAAGATTGAAATTCAGGGCAAGAATAATGACATGTAAATACCACATTGAAAAATAGAACGAAGTGATTTGACGATACGTCCCATAGATTTTTCTTCTACTCGAATATAGGACTTCGAGTACTACTGGTATATTGAAAAAAAGCCATTGATTCGACAATTATATTCGACCTCACCACGGTTCCAAATCAAAACGCACATTTTGATTTGTATTAATGCCGAAAAATGATACATCAAACCCAGACCTCAATGATACTAGGAACAAAAGCTCTCGACCAAGTGGTGTTGCTAGAACTCCATCTCCAAGAACCTGACGCCCATACTCAAAAAGTCCAATATTAAGCCCATCTCCATGGGCATTTGGATCATCTCCCATTATGTCCAACGGTAGATGTTCGTATGTAGATGTATTCCGTAAGCTTTCCAAAAATCCAGCCGAATCCATCAACATAACCAAAAAAATCCATAACCCCGCGATAAATTATATCGGATATCCACAGCCCCGCAAACCCCCAACCCCGCCAACAAACTTCACATGACGCTACAACCACAACAACAGCAACCTGCTGCACACCCTGCGCAACATCCCAAAGCGATATCATCCTTATTATGTTTCCTTTCAACCTGTTGTTGCTGTACATATACTACTTCTCTCTGTCCTCCCCTTCCATCGTTCATTGCATAAGTTGGTCGAGGTAGAGGTTGAGGTTGAAAAGGAGGTTTGGTTTCGTTCTCTTGTGTGTAGGCAGGTGGCATATTTGCGACATCTGCTGGTTCACGATCCCAGCGACTTCGATGAGGTTCTTGAGGGTTTTGTGCCATTTCTGATCGTGAATAATAGTCGTCAGTTGAGTTGGTTGGTTGGTTTTGTAGTGGTGATTAGGTCGATGAATGCTTTTTGTGGTTTGGCATTCAAAATACTAAAAGGTTGAGTTTGTTGCTTTTTCCCGCCTTGATTAATTATGATTCACTTCAATCTTTCTTTCCCTTACTTTGCGCACAGTCTTGAGTCAATCAATCAAACAGCCAAGCCTTCCATTGCACCCACAGAACAAAAGTAAATGAGCGACAGCAATATAGGAGATACATAAATACTTATTTCGGTTCATTCTCTCACTCAACAATAGGCTGTGAAAAGGACCCGACTTCGTCCCTGCTTGACTACTCAGCCTCTTGTAATATCCAATCATGAAAGACCACGGCTGATGATGATTCAAAATGAGGTTGCACACTAGATGCGATACCAAGCAATTTTAGGAAAAAGATCAGTTGATGATTCCATATATGGTACGGCGCAGGGATCTTATATAAGCCCGGTGAGGTTTGATTACTCGATAAGATCGTTCGCGGTTCCGTACAGCAAGGGATGATCTTTATTTTCCAAGGTTTTCAAAGACTACACCACGAAGGATCCTTGTAGAACAATCTACCAGCTTTTCATTCTTTTGGATTACTTAGATAAGGGAAAGGATTTATCTAAACTTCAAATGATCGTCGCGATTCCCCAAAACCACTCATTTCGACTCCACCCCCAACTCTAAGTTGTCGATCAATGCAGCCCTGTTTATGGGTCTGTTGAAATAAGGACGTCACCGAGTACGAAGCATCTACTACTCTGTCCAGATCTCCCAATTTCAGGTTCACAAAAAAAACATGGCTCCTCGAGGTCCTCGAATACAATTCAAGCTAATGTTCTTCCTCATCGCTTTCCCTCTAGTCATAATGAGCGTTCGAAAGCCTCATGTGCTTCCACATAAGAGAGCATAATTTTCGTGGCTAGAAGTCCAGAGGGTATTCGAAGACCAAAATAGATCATGTGTAAGCCTTAGCTGGCCGATATATCTGAATTAGGCTGAGGCTGATGAATAGGACCACCAGGTGAACGACTCATTGTTGGACTTAGAACATGCGATAAATCAGCCTCAGCCTTGGGATCACATAACAACTTGTTTTCATATCAGACCTATTTATTGATCCAAGTTGGATACGATCAATCGTAATGGATCATCGATATCATCAGTAAACCTATATTTTACCTTTGGATATGTTCTTTCCTATTCTGTCCTATAAATAGCCATATTTTGAGGTTGATGCATCCTTTGAGGGAAACAAAGCCGGCTTTCTATTTTTGCTATACCTGCTTTGAAATGACGCGGTGATATTCCTGCCTCTCATGGCGCAGGTGTCTCGTAGCTTGCTACCTGACTTCCAAAACTCCATTGAACCTAACGGTCATCTACGGCATTATACCAATGTCACCGATGTCCATATCCAAGGTTAGAAAGCACAAATCTCGGGCCCTACTTGTACTTTGGGCCGCTCTAGCAGTATTTGACAGTAGGGGGACCACAACACACAAACAGACTGCTAGTTTTGACAAGGTAGTATAGCCAAGATGGCCAGCTATTTTGGGTGCGTGTATTTCGACAATCGGAATAATATCTTCTTCACAAGAGCATCACCATTTGCGGTTATATTTAGACTCATTCCAAGTAAATTATGTGTTATTAATCTTGTTTTTATATTATATTTTACCCTTCATCTGGCATCTGCGTCGCATGATATCGTCACCCTCTTATATTCTCCATCTTATTCACATCGACTCCAACCCACGCCTTACCATCAAATTCTAAATCCTCCTAACTCGCAAGCCCAGTATGAAGAAACAGGTCTGGTGATCAAGCTATCGATACTTTGTCTTGTTCAAGTAGTTTCTTGACCATGGTATTCCTCGATATGTTGCACCTTCTGAATTATGTTTTCTCACTGCCTTGTTCGTCGTTGTCAACATCGGGGACTTGATATTAAGTCCAGTGACACTCGATTCCTTGCTCGGTCGTCTCTGCCCTCTGAAATTTTATACAAGCGTTTATTTCTTATCATTGCCAACGAGAATTCATATCTCTCCAGTATCATAGCCACAATCCTAACTTTTAACCCCGGCAAAGTGTAGCGGGAAAACCTGCCAAGAATATCATCAACAACACCCATTTTGAGTGAATTTCTGAGCTGACTTTTCTTACTTAACCTGGTCTTCGTTGTGAGTATTTTATATCTTCTATTTTAAAAGATTTTTCTGGTATTCACTTCGTGGGGAACCCCTGGCCAGGTTTAAATGCTTTTTCGGAGTGAGGAATTGTTCTATGACCGGTCATATGCATGGAAATTGGTTCAAGGCAAGGAGCTGGGAGCTAGATTCATCCTCAGTTGAAGAAAATCTATATAACCCAATGAATCAGCACGTTGTGTCTACAATCATTCTTGGTCTTAACAAGATCCAAAATTTCTGATGATATTTAAGGGACCTCTTCTGCTCGTATATCCTAGCGTCGTCAGAGTAAAGTATACAAAACACCAACCAATAGGATCGAGTATTTTCTTGCTCTTGCTAGGTTTCAAAAAGGGAAACCGTCTTTCTTATACATGTGGCGGTTATATTCAGATGAATATTCCAAGTATTGTCTTTTAAACTTGTTGTTATAAGTCCTCTGATGATCAATGATTCTTTTTGTCGTCATTGATGAGAATCATCAGAAGATACAGTTCTTCCACGATATGATGACTAGCTACCGATTCGAGGGCGATTCATTATTATGAAGGAAATGTAGGTGAAAGTTGCAATGTACCACGATGTGGCCAACTCACCACAGCGATTCCTGAACCACTTCAAACCAGCGGTATAAATAATAAACAAATTATTTCTTTCATTCCATCCTCATAACTTATACAACTACTCGAGTACTAATCTATACCCTAGAATACACCTATACAAATTCACCAAAAAAAAAAACAATCACCTTTCTTACCCCTCCTTTTAATAAGCCCCGCTTCCACGTGCTCCAAAGTCTATCTTTTCATGATTGATTCTCATTTTCCAAAAATATCTTGCGGATATATGTATAAAGCTCGCTTTGCTCCTTTCATACTTCTCTCCAAAGGAACCTGTATGAAAGATCCACAAAATGAAATAAGGATGGTGGGACATCATTCTCTATTTAGCTAGGAATGTATTTCATCGTCGTAATGAGTGTACGGATGTTAGCATTATCGTATATCGCAAGTAGACGGGAAGGGCTTTTTAGTTTTGTTATAACTGTCTATATAGTCTGATTTTAATGTTGCCAATGCATGGTTTTTGCCGTTGTTTAGAAAATCTACATTTTTTTATCATTATCTTAGATGTAAAGATGGAAGTGATTCCGTTCTGTTTTACGGAGTACTATGAGCGCTTTCTCCATACCATAACCCAAATGAAATGATAGCACCATATTGTTTTTGACTATAATCCAACCATAGTAGTGCACAGTTAGATGGATTTGATATTTGTTAAACATTGTTGTACGGGAACTCAGGGGGTATTTATAGTATGCTCTTGATAACCTTATGTGTCATTTCTCATTTAGTGAATTACAGCATGATATCTTAGTTTTCCTCATTTCTTGTCCTGCTATCCAGTACCCTGTTATATCAACCAAAGCTAGCGCTTATGCTATCGCTGCCCTAAGCTACAAGAAAGAAGTTTTAGCTTCAAATAAGTTTGGGAGTTGAAGCGTTGGTGCCATTACGAGTTTTTAATTACTTCTGACAAACACGAGGGATGATGCAGGCTTTGAAGCTAGATTTTTAGAAATCCAACGACAAGCAGATAGATTACAGAGAGATATTCGAGAATAACGTCGAATCATCTTCAATGGTGTCAACCCTGCCCGTCTAGTGATATAATGAACTTAAACTTACTAGTGTAAGCTTAAAATTATCAAACTGCTGTCTGAATAGGACTTTTACTACCTTCTTTATTAGTGCTGTCAAAAAGTATGATAGACAATCTACAAAGACCGGTGTTTCGAGAGGAAGATTTATGTAGAACCCGCACCCGGATCTTAATCTTTTGCCAGACGCTCTTGGATCTCACTTGGCTCTGAGTGACTTTCCGAAGTCCCCATCGGGGATATATTTGCATACGGTATGGTATACTATGATGATTGGAAAACGGATAGTATAACTCTTATATAGAAGTCTACCATTGCTTTCGAGCTGTTGACAAGTGAACAGTGAATGTAATACTTACTTTCTTCTTTCTGTAGCATCTACAGGATCTGGTCGTTTGCACTATCCTGCTTCATATATCGATCTTTTAATTGGCTATTGAAAAATTCACATCTAGATGATTCACTGATCGTATCTAACGTACCGAAAATAATTAATGGTTTCAATATTATATATCTCCTTCTCAGAGCTTTGTCCGCATTAACTAATTTGCAGTCAAAAACGTGACAATAATGCCAGTGTGGTCACAGTCCGGTTTGATTTTTGAATTCTCTAAATTTCCTTGGTCGAGTTTTTTCATACAGTCAGTCTTAAGCTCTTCTCATCCTTTGCATCTGAGTTGTTAAGCTGTTTGTTGAGCGCTACGTACCCGTCAGGCAACAACAACATTCATGAAAATAGTGTCGACAGCAATACATTTCATCAAAAAAACAAAAACTAACCACAAAGACATATTTCACATTTCGAAGGAAATACCCACAAGCATCTATGTACCACAGAATAAGCCACACAATACAAAGGGATATCAAAGAGCAAGCATGAAAGTCTGAACGAACTGCACAAGGTTGATTTCCACCCTATCATTGTCTCGCGTATGGTAAAGCTTTAATTAGGAATTTGATATGGGAAAGTGGTGGTTTATATACCGATCAAGGACTTCAGAAGGAGGAGCGCACTTGAAATTGTGTGTGGGACAAGCCACAAGCCAAACCGAGATAGAGTGGTAGTTGCACAAGCGAACTGAGAGGATTTTAGGGAGAATAGTGTGTATTATCCCCAGCTGATTCACTCTCCACATCAATCCCCATAACCAACAAATCGTAAAGACCTAATAATCCTCACCTCCAGGCTCAATCTACGCAAAAACTGTGCGCCCACCAGTAAGAATTCCATACATATTCAATACCAGTAAAATAAAACCACGGTCAACGGTCGACCACTAATGAGAGAAAGGCTTAAAATATAAAAGCTGGCTGGCGTAATTACAACAAGAATTCTGTGAACTTGGCGAGTTTAGAAATAGTATTTGAGTTTTAGTCCGGTATCATTGCTAGAGGGGATATCAATTTAACAACAATGCCAACTCCCTCCCTCCCATCCCACCACAAAAAGCCCTTCCACTTCATTTCTACATAAATCATCTACTTGATTATGAGTATTAAAATACTATACTCTCCAAGCATAAAAATAGTCTCAACTCAATCTCAAAGTTGGAAAAGCGAGTTTTGCTTTGAACAATTACCTTTCTATGGTGGGGCAGCTTATTAGTTTATATAGTAAGAGTATATAAATCAAGTTTGAGAAGTACACACGAAACAACAAAAGATAACAAAAACAGCACATCCCAACTTAACATCAACCAACATAATCCTACGAAAAGAAAGACATGTAAAAGTAAGATCAGAAATATTTACAGAGAACTCATTCTCGCAGGACTGGGAAAATTCTTCATACCCCATTTCATGTCAAGTTATCAATCTACCTTTAGCGAAGAGAAAAGATCGAACTCTCGAATTTGTACTATGGATCTTTAATTTATAATTTAAATAAGGGAATTTTTGGATATAATTCTGTTTGCTTCGGAAAGGGGATAAAGATGAGGATGAGAATAGGGCGGGGAGTGCTACTGGACGTGGAGATTCAATTCAATCTGAGGGGGGAGGGGGAAGGAAGAGCTATGGTGTGTGTGCTGGGTAGAAGATAGGATAGATACCTTGGAAATGATAGGGGATGAAGGGAAGTTGAGTACTACAGTATGGAGGGTGTGGGATGAGGGAATGAATGTTGTGGGAAATTGGATGATTGGGCTGGAGGGGATGTAAAGATTTTAAGACTTATTATGTTGGTGGGTGGGAAGGTGTTTGGAAACTTTCAAAGATTCTACCAGATCATGACATGGAACCTTAGCTCATAAAATCAGCCTCGTTTATTAATGATTCTCCTTCAAACGCCAAATCGTATGCTGGGCATGGAAAAAGTGGGCTGCAAGTCAGAAAACGAGAGCTCAAGTTAGATGCGCTGTATATGGTGGTATTGTGTTACATGCTATATCTACACATGATCTACATAGTCTTATCTACTTCTTTCTCGAAAATATTGAATTTAATCAACCAACTTTCCATAAAATGGAATACCCATGGCGCTTAATAAAAGTCTAGCATGACGATCAGATGTTGCTGTTGTTTTGACTGTGACGTGAAATCCGGGAATCAACCTAGGTGGATACATCTAAGGAATTGTGTTAGTTGCGGAACAACAATGAAAACCCTTAAGATCATGAATAAAATTCTTACATCATAGTTGACCTGAACTTCAGGGAATAGAATAGTACCCTCTCTATTAAAACCAAATGATAGATTTCCACTACCATCTCCAGTTGAACCTATCTCAATTAGCCTTATTCTTTCTTTCAACATCCACAAACGTAACTTACCCTTTACACCTTGCCAATCCTTAATTTTTGGAAATACCACATTGATACACTTATCAAGGAACTCCAATGCATCATTATTCCTCATAGTACAAGTTAATGAAACTGGCATGCCCTTTCGAATACCAAATTGTGCAACACTATGTGATGCCTTGTGAACTTCCGGCCTAACACCTGTGATTGATTGTAGTACAATACCAGCAACATGTAGATATGCGGAATCTCCAAGTGCTCCCTTAATCATCGAATGTACAGTAATTTCTTCGATTTTAGGAATATTCCGCCAATTGATATCTTGTTCAATAAGACGTAAAACATCTCCACCACGAGGTCCTCTCTTTGGTCTACCTTTATGGTATGGTGAAGAGTCATCCCATGTTCGTAAACGATCGCTTTTGGGAATTGTGACGGTTCCAGGAGGTTTGTGAACATATGCCATGGTCATGATATCGTGGGAGATGGTGGATTGGTAGGTTTGTTCGAGACGATTAGGACCAAATGGACCAGGGACGAATTCTCGAGATGATGGATCGGATTTTGGTGGAGGTTGATGAGGATGGAGGGGTCCTCGGTAGTATCTTGGTGATCGAAATTGGTATCTAGAGGAGGTATAAGCATTCCCTTCTATTTTCTCCTGTGAGTGTTGTCGCAATCATACCGACTAGAAGGAAGTTCCCTCTTTCTTCCCTGTGAACTCTTTATAGGGTCGAAACTTTCAATGACTTCATTTGGCACAGATGTTGAAGTAAATGAAGATTGCGATTCGAGATCTTGAAAGTCTTCTGGGATTTCCTTTGCTGCAACAGCCTCTCCAGATGCATATCTGCGACAATTTCTTCCTATCGATCTTGGCGTTGACCCTATTTCTCTTCTAGAAAACCGACATAACGTCGATGGTATATCTCGTAAAGCCATGTTGTTGTGGATATCCAGAGAGATTGGTCCAAGTCTCCCAATGGCTGTATCAAAAAATATCTCGAGATTTGCCTTAATTTCCGTATGAGGCAACCAAAAATAATGCTGCTTACCTAAGACAAGATAGTTGATTTGCACTGAGCACGCACACACGCACACACGCACACACCCACTCGAGCATCGGTTTGATTTACCAAGCAGCCAATGGTGGATTATCACTTGATTGGCCCAAGGAAGCTTTAATTAGTATGTAAACGCTCATGCGGCAAGGATCACCATTTACCCATTACGAGTGCCGTACCTCTGTACCTCTTACCTCCTACCTCCCTGGGTAGTGATACATAACATAGTACCTATTTACCCTAGAACCATTCGGAGAAATTTCACACCCTGCACCGAACAGATGGTGGAGTGGAGTTCTTGTTCTTATCCTCCCTCTTATCCCTCTTGTCCCTCTTATCCCTCTTACGTTCGAATCCTCTTCATTCAGAAGAAAAGATAACCCACCACAAAATAACAACAGCTGCAACAATTTGTGCTTTTCCACTAAACTTGCCACACATACTCTCGATATATCCAATACATCCATCCAATACACACAATACACACACTCAATACATACACCCACTCACCCAGGTCAAGTACGCATAGCTCCAACACCTCGAATCCATCTGCGAAGCTTCAAGGAGCAATCAATCACTCGATTCATCTCGTCTTTAGGATATGGAGGATAACAATCCATCCCAGCGTTAATCGTACCCTGTTGTACACCAGATCGAACCCCACCACTTCAAATTCAGGGTCCAATTATTCCAACGATTCCTCTGCAACAATTTATACATACAAAGTCTGTTAGGGAATTGCGAAAACATCCTTCATCATGAATGGAATGGGGATAAGATTCACTAAGAAGGATAAAGAGAAGTGGATTTCGCATAAACGGGAGAAATCAAGGGATGTAAAATCTCTCGACAAGCCCGACAAGAAGGTAATGCGCCGGCAAAGTCCATATCTCACACCATCGTCTTTTGGCCATTTGACACATATCCAGGACATGTTTGTCTTCTATTCATTCCAAATTTCAAGGCGCAACTCTGTTATAGCTCCGTCGGAACAATACCAAATTCTGCTACCATAAGTACTAACTCCGCGTCCTTTGTTAGAGCCGCTCCGCGTCCGACATCTTCACCTCGTTATTTGGATATATCAACAAAACAAAGTCGGAAAATGAAGAAGATGAAGAAAAGGAAAAGGTAGGGTTACTACAAAATTACTTGAGAAGCTCCGCTGATAGGAATATAGATTGCACGGATCAAAGCCTTGTTGGAATCAGAAGGTCGGAACGATGTGAAGGATGACCAAATTTTGTTCTGTTTGAATTCGAATTATGCCAAGGGAGATCCAGACAAAGCACACCAAATTTTGGTAGTAATCCAAAAATCGCTTTCTGGAGTCATTTATCCATATGATCCAAGTATAACCATGCTAGGAGCCGAAAATTCTCGCGGAAAAAGCTGTTGGCTGGATTCATTCCTGGCTTCCTTATTCACAGTTCCTACCCAATTTCAAGAGCTACTCAGCAACTTTTACGAAGATCCCTCCAAACAAAAATTAATTCAATTGATTCGTCTATGGGTAAATCTTATGAGGAAAGGCATTTTGATCGAAGTTGCCATTGTTAGCCATCCCTTTCTATGCTTGACTGACTTACTAATTCCGAACAGACCGAACGCATATTGGATTGTTTGCATGAATGTGGTTGGGATGACTTCAAGAAGGATGAAGAGCAAGATCCGACAGAAGCCCACATGAAAATCGGGGATATCCTCAATTGGCCCATGCTCAACTTGAGAGTTGATTATGAACATGGCGGTATCGTCGAACAGGATGATCATAGAACTTCACAAGAGCGAACGATACCGGTTTCAATTCCAACTGATCAAGATTGTCAAGGTCCTCTGAAGCTCGAAAAATGTATAGAATACTCCTTGGCTTCTTTTGTGAAGATCAATAGACGTATCGAACCACGGCTACCAGAAACGGCTGAAAATCATGACGAGAAACCCATCCAAGAGCATGTGGAGGACGTAGAAGCCGAACCTGCTACTCCTCCTGCGACTCCTTTGGAGATGATAGGCCAGTCATCTTTTCATAACCAACTCGTCAGAGAGGTTACACAAGACCGAACTTCATTATACCGCAGTATGAGTCGCAATTCTACTCGTAAAGGAGCTGATGGAGAGGTCGAAGTAGACGCATTTATATTATCTAGACTGATTCGTCCGTCCAATCGTTGGTCCCCCTTTTTTTGCCATTTAAACTCAAATATTATTCCACCTAAGACTGTTCCTGTACTAATTGGTAACATAGTTTGGTCTTCCAAACCTGCTCCTGCAAACAACCAAGAATTCGCTCATCGGATCCAAGAACATAAACCAATGCTTGGGTTTGATCTGAAGAGATATTGTATGGTCATGGGAATGGACGGCAAAGAGATGCTACAAAAGAATAAAACTCATATTGACATCCCAAAGAAAATGAAACTACCTCATATTGTTGAGGGAAAGGAAGATGAAGAAAATGAAAACGATATAATCATTTCCAATCGTTACGAGTTGGTCCTTCGATCCATGATCTGCCACAGGGGAGAATCTATCAAACGTGGACACTACATCTCGCTTGTTCGCTTGGATGACGAGACAGATGGTGAATTGGATTTTGCAGGATCTAACGATAGTCAGCAACCACCAGATTATGTCGAGGAGCGCTGGGTAGTCCACGATGATATCGCAAGGGATGGGAATAGAGTAGCCCGCGTTGATATCGATGAAGCGCTTGCAACAGACAAATACGGCACGCCTGTTACCTTGTGGTATGAATTTGTTCCTATTTATGCGAATTTTTCGCCCGAGGAGCTGCAAAACTTCCTCGGAAATTCGACACCTCCGTCGTACACGAATTCCTCCGTTCCGAGTATAGATGTTAAGATTTCCAAAGCAAGCCCCGATGTAAACAATGGCAATTGCAACGATGAAGGATATTTTAGCCCTCGACCGAATGATGGACAGACCCCAAGCGTCAGATTTTCATCCGAAATCGATCGCCCACGTTCAAGTCTTAATCTTCTTGATGATAATAGACGAGGAAGCGTTGCCGCCACAGATACAAGTAATGTAAGCGCTGATAAGTCAGATTACGATTCAGCTCCTGTTACGCCAAGTGAAGAACCAGCAACCCCCAGAACGTCACGAACATTTCGGAGGAGCAAGACATCACGAAGTCGGCCACAAAGTTCCTCGAATGAAAACCGCAAGTCATTAGGATACTTTAAGGGTTTGATATCAAGGACAAGTAAAGAGTCTCTACAAAAGCCAGATCTGAGCAAGGAATCAATACCTCCTGTGCCCGTAACACCCGGATTAGATGGCTCAGTTGACTCTAACTCCAATGTGGAAGCCACAAAGGCAACCGAGACAAATGTTACGATGTCTCGCAAAGGGAGTAAGAAGGGCAAAAGGCGAAGCAGGGCTATAGATTTTGAAACCAAAGACAAAGAAAAAGAGTCAAATCACACAGATAGGGTTTGTATTATTATGTAAAAACATGTTTGGATAAGAGCATGGAGCGTTGGGTTATGCTTCAAATTATTTATAAATTATGGAGACTTGCATTATGGTTGATTTACATGCCAATTATTGGCAACGGCGTCGGAGGACTACATAAAGATATCTTCATGTTCATGATATGGATATGGAAATTACACGTCAGAAATGAATACCAGCGTTGGTTTATTGTTGGATTATAAATGCTATTAGACAGGGAGTACAATGGGATTGAACAGGTTACAATATAGGATAAGGATGGAAGGTTGGATCGGATTGGGATATTTCATACTTGGAGGGTGGTATTAAGATATATATTGTTTTTTTTTTGGTATCAGTTTTTTTCTTTTGCCAATCATGTATAGTGTGGTCTGGGTAACATTGGCGGAATTTTCGCCCACTGAGCATGAGATTAGAGGATGGTGATAATAGTTTTAGGATTGGGAATGGGATTGAGTATGAGAGAGAAGGAAGATACAGAATTATGTAAGATCTTAGATGGAATTACACGTTTTTCATCGTTTTTATTATGTTATGTCTTTTTACTCGATGGCGGTCTTGTTTTGTTTGGGTTGGATTTGTGTTTTGGGTGTGGTGGGATGGGGTAGGGTGAGTATGATGGGATGAGATGAGATGAGTGTGATGAGGTGAGATCAAACAAAATAGATAACGTGGTTTATCAGCAGTCCGCCCACTTTTTGGCCATTTCCAACTCTTCCACCTCAATACGCGTTTTATCAATAATTACTTATGGAAACTCATTCTAAAGAAGTATGAATTATCTTAGCTATTGAAGCTATTAAACTTAATCCACAATTCTTAATTCGGAAAATGGCAAACCTTTATAATATACCTCGATCTAATTTGAGAGATAGAATTAAAGGTTGTACTAATATAGCTGATTATCGACCAAAAGGTTATAATTTGACCAAATTAAAAGAGGAGGTGCTTATCTAGTATATAATCGATATAGATGAGAGAGGGTTTGTATCTAAATTGAGTAGTGTAGAAGATATAGCGAATTATATCCTTGAATCGCGGGGTGCGAAGAAGGTTGGAAAGCTCTGGGCTCATCGCTTTATCAAACAATTCCCAGAGTCAAAGATGTGTTTTAATTATGTTTATGATTTCCAAAGAGCTCTTTGCAAAGATCCAAAGCTTATTGAAGAGTAGTTTCGATTGGTATTCAATATACGGGCGAAATATGTGTTGACCTCCTGGGATCTTGGCAGCATATGCATATATATTGCATGATGCATATAAGGAGCAAACAAAACTCAACTTTTAATTCATTCTTTTCTTTTTGGTATACTGTTTGTTTGCTTTCAATATTTTGATTTCAAAGCACTTTAATTCCGAAGGCCGAATACCCAACCCTATTCCTTTATTTTTTGAATATATACTCGCAGCTTAACTGCTTAGCTAGAGAATCAATCAATTCAATCTGATGCTCTTTCTGGTCTCAAGAAACCCAATAATATGGTATTTTCGATTCCGATTTCTACAAATTCGATGAAACCGGCTTTATGATGGGTGTAATATGCCCTGGAATGGTCGTAACTAGTACTGAACAATGTGGCAGAAGCAAGACAATACAATCAGGCAATCGAGAATGAGCTACAGCGATTATATGTGGTAATGGAGAGGGTTGGATTATACCTTCATTCTTGATGATGCAAAGGCAATATCATCTTTCTAATTGGTATACCGAAAGCGGTTTTCCTACAGATTGGGCTCTTAAACCTACTTCTAATGGATGGATGAATAATGAGATAGGCCTAGAATGATTAAAGCATTTCGATAAATATATTATTCGTCAAAGGAAGGGCAAATATCGAATTCTAGTATTGGATAATCACGAAAGCCACGAACCAATACCTTTTTAATCATATTGCAAGTCAAATGATATTATATGCCTCAGATTGCCATCATATTCAAGTCATTTAACTCAAACACTCAATGTTGGGTATTTTGGCATACTCAAACATTCATATAGTTGTCAAATTGAAGGATTTATCAAAGCTCAAATCAATCATATCACCAAGATTGAATTCTTTATAGCCTTCAAAGCTGCATATTTAAAATCATTTACTATTCAGAATATGAAAGCTGGTTTTCGAGGAGCAGGTCTAATATCATTTGATCCTCAATCTATACTCTCAAAACTAGATATTAGGATTCGTACTTCTACCCCTCCATTTACCTCCTTGAAACTTACCAACTCCTGGATCTCTCAAACCCCTCACAATCCAATTGAGGCTTTTTTACAATCAACTCTAATAAAAGCTCGAATAGCTTATCATTAATCAAGCTCTCCTATATTTATATTTGAGATTGTATAAGCTTTAGCTAAGGGTATAGAGAGATTAACGCATGAAAATACATTTTTGAGTGCTGAGAATCATATACTTCGAAGAACAAATGAAGTATTAAATAAACGTCGACACGCTAAAAAAGTTCAACTACATAATGAGAGAATACTTACTGGACAAGAAGCTGAAGATATATTATCACAATAAAAGGTTGATAATCAGATTCAATACAACGAGCGTCAAAATGGGGAAAATTTTAATAGGGGATCATTTACTAGTCGATGCTGTAGTGTTGACCTCCTGGGATCTTGGCAGCATATGCATATATAGTACATATGCATATAAGGAGCAAACAAAACTCAACTTTTAATTCATTCTTTCCTTTTTGGTATACTGTTTGTTTGCTTTCAATATTTTGATTTCAAAGCACTTTAATTCCGAAGGCCGAATACCCAACCTATTCCTTCATTTTTTGAATATATACTCGCAGCTTAACTGCTCAGCTAGAAAATCAGTCAATTCAATCTGATGCTCTTTCTAGTCTCAAGAAACCCAACATGTAGTAAGTGTGGAAAGACTGGTCATAATTCAAGAACTTGTCAAAATAGTATAATAGATCCTAGATTATTAGATTCTTAATAGTTTGAATCAATTGAATAAGTTATGATTGATTAATTAGAATTTGAAGTGGTTAAATGGTCAAAAAGTGGGCGGACTAGTGATATGGGCGGACTGCTGATAAACCACGTTATAGATTTGTAAATTGACTTATAAGTAAACTACAAAATCATATCTAAAATTAACATTTTCAAAATAGATATTGACCAATTTTGTTTATTGCAATTATAGGTTTTAATAAAAGTTTTATTTATTATATTACATATACTTTGTTAAAAGGAATGACCTTACACAGGGAATAGTGGGAAGCTAATAGGGCAGAACTGAGGCTATATTGGTCTTGTATATGAATCACTCATTATCTAAGTTCTACGGAAGTGCGAAGCTCTCCTACAGAGAGCTTCTCAATCTAGTCCTAATAGGACTAGTGCCCTGTGCACGTGCTACGCAGGAACCATTCACTTTAACATACTTTTATAATCATATTATATAAATTTGATATTTCATTTAATTATTTATAATTAATAACTTATCAGTCAATTTTTTTTTATTGGATATTAATAATATGTATCAAATGTATTTTTAGTTTGTCTTTTGAGCTAGATCATATCTTGATACTTCCTTGAATGAGAGTAATTTTGTGGTGATATTACTGTCAGGAATTGTATTGCGGTTTGGAGATGAATATTTGGTTGAGCTGTGCAAGCTTGTGATAATAATGATGACCACCCTGTATGCATGAATTTCAATCATGGGATGAAAATAAATCGGAGAGTACATGACTAGCTGTAGTTAATTTTAGAATTGACTACCGAGCACTAGAAGAAACTATACCTGTACTAAAAATGAGTTGCCCGTGCGGCTGGAAAATATAAGACTTTCCATTTATACATGGTCCCTATCAACCTTGTAGTTTACCATCGCGCGGTATGTGCTTACCAATGGAGAGATTTATACTTTCTAGGCGCATGAGTAGGTAATAAAAGTGACGGAAGGGACGGAAGTGATGTTTAACGTTTACTAGCACGGTGATTCCTTCTTTAAGTTTCGCTAAGGAACCTAGCGAGAACTAGCGAAGACTTTAGCGTGGATTATCAAAGATTGGTAGATTCCATTGGTGGCTTCTGTTAGGTTAGTATCAAATTAAGAAATTGAGAGGTCTATCATTGAACCTAGAATCTATAGATTTAACTAGCACATCACCTTTTCATGATTTTCTGTTCGTAGTGATGATCATTTAAAGTACAGCATTAGTGCGCGGTACTTGGACGGGTGGCGTATAATAGTTACCCATGTGGGGTGCTTGGAACTTGTTTAAACTTTTTATTATCAAGTTAATTTTTGAAGGTTTGGATATAGTGATGACGATCCTCGATTGGAGTATACTTTGTAAGTCTTAACTAAGAAATCAATGATAGGAAAACTGAACAATTCCTCCGGAGATATGCAACAAAATCTATATTGTTGGGCAAAGTATCCAATTTGGGTAAATGATTGGCTGGGTTGATCATATTTCGATATCTGATGACATTTTTGCTCTGCACGGGGAGGGAAGTAAAAAGGCAGATGATGTCAAAGGAAGTAGGGGAACTTCGAGAATTCATCCGACGACGTGCAACAAATGAAGATTTTGGAGGATAGAGTTTGAGATTTCCAAGTATGTAGTTGACTGGTGATTATATCATGTTTTGGTACCTCAGTCTCTAGTCCTTGCCAATACGCATGACTCGTATACCAGAAAAACAGGGCAACATTAGAGAGCTGAGGGGAGTTAGGGAAACTTTTGTATAATTTATTGATGGTGAAAGGGTTATTGCTGCAGATGTGAAGAAGGTTGTCTTATTATTGAAGCTACGATTCATGATTTTATAGACCCACCATCGTTCTTGCCACATTGAGTCTAACAATTGTCTGGATATGTGCGGAAAGGGGAAGGACTTTGGGGACTTTATTTGAGATGATGTAATTTGATCGCTGCGTCAGGTTTTCATCCTCGCCGTACCCTATCTATTCCGTAAACTTGTGTTGAACGTGAAATTATCTAGATCCTATGAATGCATATTGAGCAATGAGTACAAACTCTTCAAGTTGATATTGAATAATATCTCTTGCTGAGAGGACTTCTTTGAAAGCATATACTAGAATAGTATGGGGTCTCAGAGGACTTAAGCATTTCCCAAAGAGAAAATGGCAGCGAATGAAGAGGTGCAGCCAAGAAATCAATTTGATGGAGATAGACTGTGCAAGGAGCCCCCACGGATATTTGTGGGTTGCAGATTATTTTTGCGCAGCCTAGAGGGAGTATAGGCAAAGATCCGGTAACTCTGTTTGGCACGTTGTTTTTGTGCGGGTCGTTGTGTTGTTTACAAAGTCCATGAGGATGATCTACAAATTTCTTGATATTAATGCAATGACATTGGTCGTCCGGATTCGCGGGACAGTTCAGATATGCAACAAAGCAGGGAAACTTGTAGGATATATTTCAGCATCCTGGGCTCTACACTACAAATGGTATCGTTCCGGTCTCTAGCTTGATGACACTCGGGAGATGTGCAATAAAGGATGGATTTTCGGGATTTAGTTTGTTATTCATGGAACTCTACACCATGTACGGAATTTTCTTGTTGCGTGACTGGATATTTATTAGAGAATAGCTGGGATATACTGATAGGAGGATTCAGAGGCTAGTTTGATATCTATGAATCTCTATAATTTTATTGGAATGGTTCTGATCTTCAAATAAACAATTTCCCCAGAGACATGCAACAAAGGGATGGATGAGAGCGCAGAAACTATTGATTAGTGTGTCATATTTGAACGGTCTTGAATGACCTTGATATTTTTATACTATAGCTATGCCGGTCTTGGTTCCAAACTCACTAGATCTATAAGATTTAGCGAGACTTGGGATAATTGCAGGGTTACTAGCTTTACCCAGTTAACATCTGACACCTCCAAATTTTAAGAGGTAAAAACGTGAATTCGCCAGAATTTTGGAGGAAATTCGGGAGAAAGGCGGATGGGAAAGCACGTCTTGATTAACTAACCTTTCACGTGTAGAAAGATATGGAAACCCGAGGGAGGGAGAGCGGAGGCGAAATTTATTCACGCGGCTAGAGAGTACACTACTCTTTAGTTCAATAAAAAAACAATTCCTCTTGCAGTTTACTATTTTGTGGCACACACTTTGAGTACTCTGGTAAAATGCTACATACTTCCTGGCAATACAAACAGGGTTGCTGAAAATAGAATGTACCATAGAATTAATGAGTTCGAAAGTAATAATACGTGTTGTGTTGGGGTCTGATTGGAAACCTGATTGTTGGTTCATGCGATATTGTTTCGATGAATCATGGATATATAAAGGAGATAGATGTGTTGAAAAAGGGTTACCTTTTCATCATTCGAGGATATGTATGAGTAGAAGATGGGCTTTTGTGAGCATTATTTCTATTCTCGGATCGTAAACATCTACTCATTCCGCACAACAGCAAACAATTTGACAGAAGAGCTAGGCATCTAAGAAAAGTTAGAATGGTATTGAGTTAGCTAAGCTGGCTCAAGGGGAAGATGCATGTTGGCTATGAGAACTATCTCTAAAAGGTGCATAGATGGTTGATCATCATACTATCTTCTTGCCATTCTCCAATAATATCTTATGAAATGCAAGATAAATTTGTTGCACATCTGAAATTCATGCAGGATGAAATAGTTAGCTGTTGCAACGCCTTTTTAGCTCCATTAATCCACTACACTCATAGCATTCCTCCAATAGTAAATGCAGGATGCGTTTGTTGCACATCTGAGGTTGACGCACAATGACATACTTGGTTGTTAAGATATGTCTTTAGTCTTGCCTTTGAGAACCTGTCGGGGAAACATGAAGGGAGTCCAGGTAACCGCAGCATATCTAGTTCCTCTAGAATATGATTCGTCACTTCTCTAGTCATCAATATCCCTCCAATAAAATTTCACAAAATAAAGAAATACATATGTTGCACATCTAAACTCTATGCACAATGACATATTTATGGGTCAAGATACATTTTGGCTTATCTTAAGATCTACTTAACAAAGTTGACGGGAATCAGTTGGTTGAAAGGTATCGGTACTGAAAATCCTGGTTGGCAAGTGAAAGTAGATAGTCAGGGCTAAGCAATAGTAAGATATCAAGGAACACTATACCTTTACTGATGTTCTAGACTTTGGTTCAATGTATTTGTTGCATATCTAAGCTTCATGCACAATGAAATAGTAATGATTTAGATTAGTTTTAGCTTTCCTTTCAAGTTCAATGGAGTTAGTATTACGGGTGATTGAATCCATTGGGTTTGAGAGGCAGTGGTGGTAGTTTTAGTCTTCTTGGCACAACGGAAAGAATAGACGAAGACTAAGGAAATCTGGGGTATCTTATCAGATCTATCTCAAATCACTACATCTCTACCGATATTTTAGGCGGAGTTTAATGTATTTGTTGCATATCTGCTCATACTGTGGCTTACGCCAATGATTTAGATTTTGCTAGGAAATTCCACTTGTCAGAGTATTTGATAGGCAGATCAATTTGTTATACAAGGAAGATAGAAATGGCACAACCTTGGCGAAAAGTCTCACATACCAAAAAAGACTTCTATCTACATACCACTAGCAGGAAACCTGATTTTTAGACTCCCAGATGATTGATCGTCAGATAGGGAAATCTATTAGATACTCTTGGCAAATCGATAATACCTGATCACTTTGATATTGAAATAACAGGGAATCTTTTCAGGAGCGATTCACGTTTCCAAGCGTGGGGCCAGTCGGCAGAAAAATTGAAGGGATGATTGGATTAGACACCAAACCTTAATGGTATTATCTGCTCTTCATCTTGAAATATTCGATATGAGTACTCTCTAGCGAAGAAGAGTCCAAAATTAGGGGAGAGGGGGCTTAACCGGTTGCTTAATCCATTACTTTTCTTTCTTTCTTTGCATACTTATACTGCCAGAGATTCTGCAGAATTTTCATTCTACTTAGTGTGGCTAAATGAGGAGCAATGAGAGAGCTCTTCGAAATCTCTCAGATAATAGGCTCCCTTTGAAGGAAGCGAAAAATTCATACTCAATCTTCTTCACCATCTCATTGTTATCAAGATATCATTATCGATCAAGTGATTAAATTGAAAGGTTGATTAAAAGCTATTCGTCAAGTATATTTCATGACGATATTAGGCAAGGTTTATTTTATATATTGCAGCCATTCTTCTTGTGTATTAAAGCGGAATATAAAATACTTCCCAGCCGCATGATTAGAAGATAGACGCAAGCTCATACCAGTATCAGAGCCCTCATCGTCTTCATCTTTTCAAGACTCCGGTATAATTTATGATAGCAGGAATCTATATGGGTTCAAGCCCAGCCCGACAAACCGTACGTACATCTTGAAGATAGATATCACGTCGTCAGAATCTTGCGGCTTCTCAAGACTTATAGTTCTGAAATTTGTTCTTAAAGCAGGATAAACATCTTGTCTATTTGATATAAGTACGACTAATTCGCCTAATACTTTTTCAAGTCGTAACTGGCTTTTTCGCAATGGACGGAACCATATCATCGCAACCTTTGCTAAATTTCCTGCATCCGATGGCCAAGTACAAAGATCTAAATTAGCTAAAAGACGACCGCATACATTCATCACTTCCATCTGCACTTTGGACGTTCTTCAGAAATAGAAAGGCATAGAGACAACAGCATCAAAATCATGGTACCTTCCACCACGATATAGCAGGCAAACTGCACCTCAGGGCTTGGAACGCACATTGAATATCCAAAGCCAACTAATTTCGAACACATTAGAGTGATCATTCTTAAACCACCACAGTCAAATCCTAATAGCCTCTTCCACAGTGTTCACAGCAGTAATAATCACTCTCGCATTGGCTCTCGGAGTTACCTTCTTGGACATCTTTGTCTTTCTGTCCTTCCCCGTCATTATTATCATCATCCTCACAACTATCCTCACATCCGCCATTGCTCTCTTCTTCTAAATGTTCACACGAATCCATTTTACCAGTCTCAGCATTATACTTACCGAAAGAAGGCTCATGAGGACACCTAATATCCCAGAAGAAATGACAATTACAAGTTAACATTCGACGCATCAAAGAGCCTTTATGACTGAACTTTTGTTCTCCATCTATCAGTGGACCGATCCCAAATGACCTCCATATTACCAATTAGCTTTTTGTGGCCGGAGCAATCTTTTTGGTTTGAAGCTTGAAAGGCCTTAGATTTCTACTTACATTTCAAAGTCTGGTGATCTGTGAGGCCTCCGTATTCTGAACGCGGTAGCCTCATCATGTAAAAACCTGTGCACCGGGAGATACGACAGTCCGCGGTTCACGTCATCATCCCAAGCTCCAGGCATTCGGTTCTTTCGAATTTGTAAAAACATGTTCCTATAGTGATGGCGATAGTCGCACCACTCGAATTTGCAAGAAATATTTTCGGTGTTGCGGGCATGAAAAATATGCATATACCAGAAACCCCAACGCCCAAGCGGGTCAATTATACAACGCTGGTAATATTCCCATTCTTGAAGGATGTAGTCTTGTAGATCGTAGTCAAATTTCCTTAAGAATCCAAACCATGTCATGATCAGTGAAGGCAAATTCTCCATAACAGTCGAGTAGGATCGGTCGTTATAAACATCCGATTGGATTACCCATGACAATGGTGACCCAAAAAATTTGTCTTTGCGATGGACATCCACTCTCATTTCTAGAAGGGCAGAAATGAACGAAATAGTTGCGGTACATGTGTGGATGTCTCGACGATCATGTAGATTATCAGTTAGTAAGGATAACAAACGATACAGGGCATCTGGGCATCTAGGAAAGCCGTCCTTCAAACGTCGAGACTCTGAAAATATAGTACTTATTTCCATCATGTAATTGACAATTGTCTCTGAGAGATCAGAATTGTAAAATACATGGTCTCCCAGCACATACGTATCATTAGGTTCTTGCGGATCAATGGAGACAAAGAATTCTTCTTGGGTTAGCATGTAATTGAAAGGCTCCGCTTCACCACGATAAGCATGTAAGGGTGTCTCTGGCCACCTCGGATGTTGCATTGGGTCGCATTTTCCAACTTCTACGAGGACTCGGATGGTGCTAAGGGCATCGCTATTATGGCTTAATTTATTAAAATATCGAAGCGGCCGCAAAGGAGCGGAGTCCAAATCCCAGCGGTTTCTCTCACTGGGAACGGAGCTTGCAACATGCAGTGCAGTCCTTGAATGCATCAGTCCAGATTAATCGGGCAACAAATTACTGATGTAGCATACCATCCGTGCCGAGCGTCACGTTCATTGCCCTGAACTCCTTGAGCAAGCAACCATCGACATAGGTCTGCGCGTAAGTGGCAAGCTGCGAACTATTATGCTCTCGCCAGGCTAATGTGAAAAAGTTATGGTTAGTAATCTCACGTGTAGTAAACTCCATCCTTCTTGGCTAGTATCGAATACGCTTGCCATACCACTCTGTATCAGACGGATCACTTCACTGACATCCCCATTCCTGCAAACTTCAAAAATTGGCGAGCTGTCGGGAACCACAGAGATGGGCCGAAATGAGTATTTCCAGCTTCCGAATCGTCGGCTTTGCTTGGTAGAAATACCTCTCATTCTTATCCAAGCTCTTGGAACAATCTTTGAGTCGACGTCGATTTCAGAATCATCATCGGCAACTATCGCGTCAGCAGTAACATCTGTAAAACGTGTCTTTTTCCTTTGCTGGTATGTTGTTGATGTGGTAGAACATGAGGAAAACAGCCAATTTGAATTGAATGCCCATCCTATCAAAGATTTAGTTTCCTTTTTGGAGACTGGAACGGGATAGTGTTCCGGAATGGTAATCGATTTGTTCTTCTGCATTGCGTTCATTTCCGTCGTTGAGTTATATACTTGGATCAACGTCTGTTGCATCGCTGTGTCCAATATTTATTAATTGGAGAACCAAGGAGCTTGGAGGTCAAGGTAGAACCAACTTACATGCTCTGACAGTTTGAAGCCAGTGTCAAGAGTAATTTTGCTCGTTCTAGCCTCTCCACCAGCTCTTCCAGAGCTTTACCCTTAAGAACTATCTTCAACGCTCGCCATTGCTTTTTGGCCCTTCCACCATCCTTGCTCAAATTATTCTCCAAAACCTTTACTATACCATCCAGGTCTTACATTGCTGTTTCACAATGCTTCAAAATCTTGAAATGTGCTGGATTGACCTGTGATTCCTGTGTGACTCTGATCACCATAGTCACCAGTATTTCTCCAAGAAATTCAATCTCTACTAACAAATCGCCCAATTTCTTGGGTGCGTCCTTTATTTCCGAAGTTAGAGAATATATCTCCCGAATACTCTCAACGATTGCACTCGCTACTTGAGCAACTGCGATGCCGCTCGCGATAACGCCGAGAATTTCTGCCATTGCGATATGATTTTGTGATCGAAAATTGACTCGAAAGAAAGGAAACCTTCACATTTATATAAGTTAATGAGGACATGTTGGCGCCGGATACGCAACATATGCCGCTGATGAAATCATGCTGATAGTGGATACTCAAATTTTCGCCATTCACAAAACCAATAGGAAATAGAAACATGGACTGCATGTACTCATCGCTGATTTAAGTACCACACCACCAAATATCTTTAGAACTAACTGACACTTGTCCAAACAACTGGTCAAATGAAAGTTGATGCGGCTATCATGTATTTCTAAAGTAACCAAGCAAAAGTGAGTAAACCTGAGAAGGATAAGACAGATATTACCTAGAAATTCAACACTAAAAGCAAGGGAATCGATTATCGCAAAAACGCAAAGATGAAAGGGGGTGTTTTTCTACAAAATAAAAAAAAGATAAGGAAAGATTATATTCCACAATCATTGGAAAGAATACAACAACGGTGCACACTTCTTCCAAACTACATTTCGCGTCTCTTATCTAAAAGAGTAATCATTTTCCCAAATTTATATCTTGCATATTCTAGTTTAAGTACTACAAAAGCCGGACCAAGAAGCTGACCGTTAAATCTAAACTCACCCACTAGCGAGTCTCAACAATGCCCAGTATTTTACACATTCACATTGCATCAACATAAAAGTCAGAAAACATATATAAAGGCAACGTGCATTTAAATATATATATTCTTCGTCTTGCAGCCGGTGCATCAGTCCTTTTGCAGCTATCTACTTTTCTTTAAACAAAATCAATGCACCTAAAATCCAATACTTCTTCATCCTTCTCTCGCTTAGGTACTTTTTTCTCTAATCGAAATAATAGCGAAGATCATCACAGCTTGTTGAAAAATAGCCCGACATGCGGTATCAAGCAGATCCGCTTCCAAAGGGGCGATTTGAAGAAGGCTGGCCTAAATGGCAATTAGAGCCAGATCTAGAATGATGAATCGACTGTGAGAACTACTTTCTGCAGACATGTCTCATGGGGCGGTTATAAGAAGTGTCTTCCCAGCAGGAGTCTTACGATGAGTAGATATTTACACTTGATACGGTGGTCGGGCCGGGACTACATTTGCCATGGTCTAGCTGTGCTGTATATCGGCTCCGCTCGCCGGGAGATCATAATGTCCACCCGCAGTAGCTTGAGATGAAGACTATCCCGCTTCCCAATAATGCACAGAACCCACAGGGCTAGAAGATTCTGCTGAGCCTCAATTAACTAGCTTACGAGAAAATCCCGCAAGTTTGAAGTTCCATGAATCTGCTCTCATCCTGACGCCTGGTGATCGAAACATCCAATCTGACAGTATTCTCCTCTATCTCTTCAAAGATTTACTCTAGGGATCCCGGATCCACGATAGCAAATTCTGGGAAAAACTCTTCTAGAATGAATGATGGTTTATACTTCGATAACAGATCCCTCGGTGTGATATAATTAGAGGTATATATCCAATTACAAGTATACGAAATTCAATTTCTCCCTTTCAATGGCGGATTTTCTACCAGCGGTTAATGGCCACAAAAACTCAGCGAATACTCTGGAATCGCATCCATAAGATACATTATTGTATAGGATATCAGTAATTAAATGATAGGATAAATTATCTATTAAACTCAGCATTTTATATCCACAAGATCACCAAATCGAAGGGTCCCTAGTTTCATCACAACTGATGCTACATAAAACAGAGCTCTGCGAGGTGGGCGCATCATTGATGAAACTAACTCTACTACCAGTCCTGACATCGGTAGAAAATCTTGTATAATCCGGACACCTTTGACATTGATTAGTTTCTAAGAAATTTACTATCTATTGGTTTATATCTCTGATTTTTATATACATCTAGCAGCCATACCCTAACATAATGAAAGCTCTTATTCTAACAAATACACTTTGTAGTTACCGACAGTCTATAATACTAATACTAATACTAATCCTGCAACTTGAAAATGTCACAAATATACCAAAATTATTTAAATATAAATAATACTAATAATGTAAATACTTCAAAATATACAAAAATAGACATTGATTAATCAACTGATAAGAATCTGAATTAAACAAAATTAAAAAAGATCTAATAATAAAAATAAAATTTTTTATCTTAATTATAACATTTATTTATAAACTCAAAAAAAATATAAAAATCTTATAAATTTAAAAAAGACTTTGAATCCCTGAATATTTCAATTGTACTTAAGAATTCCCAAATAAAAATAAAATCAAATTTAAAAAATCTATTGATTTTATAATAATATATGACTCTTTTCTTTATAAAATATTTTTCCAAAAAAATCTTTTCAAATAACTAATTAGAAAAGAATTTTAATCAAGAGACAATTTGACTCTTGTATATAAATTTATTTTGACTTAAGAATGAGAATTGAATAAAGGATTTATAATTTGAAAGTTCTCAAAGAGTGTAAGGAATATAAATGAACATAACAGATATGAGATATCAAATATTAGATATCAGGATAGGCTTACTTTGAGTATGAAAGCGATGTGAAAAGTGTATGGGTCAGTCTTGCTGATATACTCATTTCATCGTTCGAATCGAGAGACGATGTGATATAATGAACATGGCAAGTTCGATTCTTTCCACAAATAGTTCAATTTCAAGTTCATATTCATATTCCCACTGCAATCTAACACTTCGCAATCCTATCCATAATTTATTTCAAAAAAACAAACAATATTTATTACCCATCCATTCATCCATCCCCTAAAACATCTAATCCTGCGCCAAAGGATTAATTCCCGTTCCCACCACTTTACCCTTTTCTCCCCCAATACTACTACTCTTCTCCCCAAGAAACTTCTCTCCACCACCAACAGGAGTAGCTACTCCACTTCCACCTAAAGCTGGCGTACCAATTCCCGGGAAAGGGCTTTGAACGCCCGAAGGAATAGCCGAAGGGCCAGTGGAAGGAGGTACTGGGATTCTAATATCTTCCGGGGAGCCGGGGATGATTTCTGGGGCGAGTCCATCGATGTGAATACGTTTTGCTTCGTTTTGGTAGGAGGCGGGAATTATCTATGAAAGGAAGGGTTAGTATGTGCTTATTATTGGATGACAGACTAGGGGAAGTTTGAAGAATAAGAAGGGATGATAGAGAGAATCAAATTGAGCTGAGAAAAGAGGAACAATACATACCTCGATAATTTCATTTCTAGGAAACTTAAGGGTAGGGATATTCATAGCATCACAAGCCATTAGATATCCATAAAGAACCCTCAAAACAGATTCATGAGCAATAATTAAAAGATCATTTTGTTCTCTCTCGAGCTCGAGAATAATTGGTTCCATGCGGACTGCGAGGTCATGGTATGACTATTTCTTCGTCAGTATCCATGTATTCAACGAGCATTGATAACAAGGTCTAGGAAAGGAAACATCAAAAAAGAAGAACATACCTCAGCACGAGGATACCTATGATGATAAGGATCCAACTCATGCATCTTCACCTCTTCCGGGTACAATCTTCTCAAAGCTCTCTCACTCATCTTTTCACAAATACCCGGATTTAACTGACTCATCTGACTTCTCTGTCTAACTCTAAATCCTTTTCCTCTAAGATACTCCGCCGTCTCAACTGTTCTCTTTCTGGTAGATGTCCAAACACTTAATGGTTTAAGTGGTTCATCTGAGCCACCTGCTGCAATAGAAGCTGCTCTTTCTTCTTCACGGTGTTTGAGTAATGCATCTGACATCTTCTGGGCATATGCTCGACCTTCATCTGAAAGTGATGCATCGGCTTTGTAAGAATCATCTAAGCTAGATGTGCCGGCACGGGCGAAGAATGTTTGGCGAGATTTGATATGAAGGTTCATAAGGTAGAAGACAATTCGATGGGATAGGTAGCCAAAGCTAACGTTGTTATAATCGATGCGCTCGCCGGCGTTGATCATTTTAACATAATTGAGGTCAGTTTCAGTCATAGTTTCAAAGTGAGGAATTTTCATATCAATTCTTTTGAGATAAAGTTTGGCAGCATCTTCGGGATCCATGCCAACGAACTGCGATTGTGATATCTTAGCATCATCCTGATATTTCCAACGCTCTGAAGGGAGGTTTACATCTGGAGATGATATTTTGACACTTCTTGCATTTTCTTGAAGTATCTTCTCATCTGTAACATACGATTCAAGGAACAAAGTCTAGAATAAAATTAACCACTGCTCATCAGGTATCATATTGTTGTTATACACCACATACCTGTACATCATGCTTGGCAAACTCTTTTGCAAGAGATCTACGTCCACCTGAAAGAGGGTTGACAGCATCATAGATAGCAACTTGGCCATTTTCATGATTGAGCCAAGCATAAATATCCTCACGACACTTCTTAAGAATTTTCTGTCTAAGCATAACTGAAGCGGCAGATGCATTAATGAAGAAGTAATCATCAGGAACATCCTGACCTGGGCCCATTGTAGCACGTCGATAATCTCCCAAATGGAAAATTCTGGTCTTAACACCCAACCTAGAACAATTAGCAAAGAAGACATTTCGGATCACAAATCGAACTTACCATTGTAAATAACGGGACAGTGAAACGGAAATATGTCTGCGCAAGAGCAATCAATTAGTAGGAGTAGATCTAACACCTCGAGTGGGAAAGATAACTCACGTCTTTCCACGTGCAGGAAGCCCAACTAGAACGATAGCGATTCTTCCAGAATGAAAAAGTCTACCCGACTCGGTTGAATACAATTGAGCCGGGGCCAAAGTGGCCTTCTCATCTGGCAAATCATGAACTCCATCAATGAAAGTTGAAGATCTCCGACGAAAACGAGGAGAATTGGCTGCGATTTCCGCGGTTCTAAGCTCTTGGTCAGTCTCAGCAAAAAAAGTATCGATACGGTCGAGTTCCATCATGAGAGTGCTAGGAGAGCGCCCAGGAGAAAATCGTGGTAGTGGCGGCGATTGAGAAGAGGAGGAATTCATTGCAATTTTTAATTATTGTTGGAAGAAAGTGTAAAGCAGAAAAGGAAAGAGGTATGGTGCACCAAAATAATCACAAGGTTGCCTCGAACTTAAACGAGGGGGTAAAGTGAATAACCAGAGAGTCATAACCACTCACAATAAAGTATCCATCTTTCTCGATATCTTGCTAAGATTGTTCTGAAAAGTAGTTCTTCACTCAGAATCTGTTATGATTGGTCTTTGTCCAGCAAAATTGATTATCCCGAAAATTGACAACGATATGAATGTGTCTCACAGTAACCTGTGGCTCCTACTTTCTTGCTTTTTTCTGCTTACTCCTGCTCACTCTTTCCTTTGAAAATCCCGTGACTTTAAAGTGTACTCCGGTCTATCGTGTGATGAGGTACCTTTCTCTATCCAATGCACCCTTAAAGATCTCGCCTTCACAAAGAAGAAAGATAAACAGACGGGAATATCGTATACTCGTTCGTGGATTCTCAGAAGTAATGAAGCGGAGCTTTATTTCAATATTTTCCTTTCGTTTCGTTTCAAGAAGCCTCTGTTGCTCCACCGGCTCTCTTAAATATACCCCTCCAAAACTTCTCGACGCTTGGTAGTTTCAGGTATGGTCGAGCAATCTTCTCGGTGATGAACTCTTAACTTCTTTATCTCGTGGTCCAACTACCTTCAAAGTCTTTCAAAATCGATTATCAGTGGTGGATAAGTTTTCACGAGGTTGAGGTCGAAAATGCGGTTCAAGAATGTTGCTTAGTTGAGAACTTTGGGTTTAGCTAATAATAAGATTATGAGATAAGTGGTAATCAATGCGCTGAATTTGACCAATCATAAGTCTTTATTTCCGAAAAAAAATTCAATTTGGATGGCCGGGATGAAGCGGGGTTTTAATTTATCTCTGCCTGGATTGGATGTTTGAAATGCCTTAATATAAAAAGTATTGATGTTTCACTTCAGTTATATGAATTATCTTACTACATCTTCGACTTTATGAGACATTCATTCATATCCTGTCTTTTTATACACAGCTACATATCTACATTGACATATATTGTCATGCCTCCATCCCATCGTCGTCGCTGCAAAATCGAATCACTATAATACAGAAGCACCTATCCTCATATAACATCTTCCTCATGATATCTCATGCATCATCCATGCCCCGATTTTGTAAAGAACCTATCTGCTATCTTAAACAAAAGCACTCACAATGCTTTCCATTCCAACCCAAATTTCAGATATGCTGCTCCAACAACGCAGAGTCCCCGAGAACATGAGGTATAAAGAAATTCTATGGTATGATAGAAGAAAGAAAAAAAAAATTGGATCATCGTCTTTTGGTTCGGAAATGTATGCAGAGATGTACCGCCTCCCACTATTGGTAAAGAAACGAGGTTCATCGTTGTAGACATCTCGAAAGAAAATGAAGAAGCTTTTCGTGTAGGTTTGGCATAGCAGAAATGAGTCCGTTACGTAGATGAAGTAGGTGGCTAGTCGGTGTACATGTTCTTGCTCGTAAAAGGTTTTAAGTTGACATTAAATTCCATTAGTTTTGGGAGTGGAGGATGCGCTTTAAGAAGCATTGTATCGAATCGTATATGTTTAAAATGGGATTTGAGGAGGAGCGCCTCCAGCTGCCATTGCTTGTTCTTCGACCGCTTCGTCGCCAGATTCGATGGAAACTGCTACTCCGATCTTTGCTGCTTGCTACAGAAATTATTAGTGAACATTCGGATCCGAGGTGAAAATTACATACCTTGAAATGATCCATCTCGGCGGCAAAGGTAAGTTGAACAGGTGGTGCAACTCTCTTCTCTAACAAGCAGCTCAGCTTTCCAGTTGAATCAACTTGAGCTCTGAAAGTAGACATTCGGAAGTCATACTTGGCACCAACAGTTGTGACACCCTCTTTTCTAATAGGTCCTCCCATCATACCAGCTCCAGACAACCCGGCGAATTGTAAGTTAAGATCCACACCAGCTTCGACCTTATCTGTCAATCTTCTCCAGAAAGATGTGTTTACGGCTCCTTGGGCTTGTAATTGAGCACTGGCGATCCAATCACTACCCTTGTATTTGGCACAGTATGAGACTGCAGTTTCGGGACCTTGGTTCATTGCCGCTCGTTGCCAGACAGCCTCCAAACCCAAAGCGAGATTTGGAGTAACAGCTTGTAAGTATTGACCAATAAAGATACCTGTGAATCCTCCATCAAGTATTGAAGGGTTAAGAGATTTGATCGAAGCTGTAAAATCTTTTCCAGTATACTCGTTGTCTAATTGCATCATAGCTTGACCAGGGGCGACTTGTAGTTGGGTCTTGGTAACGAAAGCTGGAGTCCATCTGTAATTGAATCGAGTGGTGAGTTGACCTTCATTGTCCATGTTTCCTTGCATAAAGATCTGCCAACCGCAATGTCAGCTTCTTTTCTAAAAATTGATAGTGGGAGCCTCGTATAAAATGGTGAGGACATTTTCACAACCAATTACTGACCTTGTTTGTGCCGAATAAAGCACCAAATGTATATGGTGGTAAACCTTGAGATCCCATAGAGAATGCATGAGAGACTTGGAATAATGGAGCCATGCTGAAAGGCTTGGTCAGATCCGCCCTCAGACCAGAGAATGTGTAATTGTTGAGAAAAACATCGCGTTGAACCTCTCTAGCAATATTCTCAACTGTTCCGGGGTTTGAAAGACCCAGCGCTTCCCTCTTCTCTTGGAAAGTATTGTATGAATTTGACAAAGCCCCAGCGACAGCATTATTGTAAAGGAAGCCCAAAGGCGATTCCTTCTCTAGCGCAAAAGACGACATTTTTTTCTATAAAAAGATAACACTCAGAAGATATAAGGGTATCAATGTATGCTAGAGAAAAAATGTCGGATCGGAAGGAATTGGTGGTGGTTGATTGTGAGCTTTCAAGATGATGATCAAAAATACTTTCGAGGTTGATGCGACTGAACTTTTTCTTGAAAGAGCTTCTAATCGGGGTGAGGCATTGATTCAGGCATCAACAATGACGGAGTACGACACTTACATAATCATACTGTGTACCCCTCCATAATCTCGGATCACATTCTGGTATGTCAGATTTTAGATGGACGACGTTGTTTCCTTTGATATGTATATAGATAGGTACTGCATCTACAAGTTGTATAATTCATATATTTTAAATTATGTAACTTTCCAGTCCTATCAAATATCTGTAGTATGAATGAATGAGGACGAATATAGAGAAATATCCAATCATATAAATCATCGTTTAATTAAGGGGTATACTTGGGTACAGTTGAATTTATCTATTGAAGGGAAAGTACTTTCTACTTTCGACTATGCCAACAGATCACAGGCTATACATAGAAGTCGTATAAACAAGGAAAATGGTTCTCGGTTGAAACCAAAGGTAAATCCATAAAATTCTGCCGGTTATAAACATCTACACCTGCAACTTCCCTTGACCCCTCGCTACTCAAACTTTGACCTTCCTTCTCATTTCTCTCCTTTATATTCTACCCGCTCACAAACAGCTCATCTATCACAGCCTATCTGTTACAACTTATACATCCTCAACCCCTCTTCACTGCTTCCACACCTCCTCGCAAACATCCACCCTAATCCAGAATCATCAAATCTTCCCTCCTCTAACCTTACCACCACCAAACCTCCCGCTTCAAAACATCAAATCCACCAAAAACAATCATCCTTTCATCCTCCTTTGAGAAGCTCCGTATATCTAACCAGTGCACGTACTCCCATCTCATCAATTCCCTAGACACTATTACAGATTCATCATCTTCGTATCCACTACGAAAGAAATGTAAAAGAATTCCTCTAATCTATACCAGTCATTTAAACTCATAGTTCACAGTAATCATCACTCTTCTACCTACACGTTATCGTCAATTCATATCCATTTTCTATGTTACACACCTAGAAAACCCCATTCGAACCCCAACACACTCTCCTCGATTCATCAACATCTCATCACTGATTCACCTCTAGACGTATAATTCCATCCTCTAAACCCCAATAAACCAAGACTTCCATCTGTATTATAGCTACGTCTGATTCACCAAAGAAAAATTATAACTCGGGTAAATCTCCAAAGTAGCCTTCCATCAAGAATCAATTTCTCATTTCTCAAATTTCAACACTTAAAATGATATCCCGCTTCCCTCTATTTCAATTCAAACAAACAAAATCATTAAATATTTTCAAACTGAGTTGTTTGGAAGTAGTAGTATTATTAGATGTAGGTTAAACTAAGGATCTAAGTTACAGTAATGGTAGAATTGAAGATATTCCCAATTATGGTCCGTGCACCATAATGGTCATATGACCTCAATTCTAGGCCCATAATGACCTTAATTTCAACACTCCCCCATTGAGGGCATTCTGTTGATCCTTTTATGCTACTAGTCCCAGCATTTTCTTGAATCTCTCGAAGGCGACCCTTGTACACGGTTTCGTCATTCCATCGGCAACCATATCGCATGTGTTGATGTAATCAGTGGCGATCTTCTCCTTTTCTGTTAGGTCTCTAATGAAATGATAGCTGATATCTATATGCTTGGATCTCTCGTGCAACCGTGGGTTCTTGGTTAGGGCTAGGGCACCTTGGTTGTCTCCCAACATCTGGACTGTATCCCCTTTCTTCCCGATGTAGCCTGATTTTGACAGATCTTTAAGTATTTGGGCAATCCATCTTCCCTGCTTGGTGAACATTGCCATTGCGATATACTCGGCTTCTGCACTGGAAGTTGCTACAGATGTCTGCTTCTTGCTAGCCCATGATATAGGTCCTCCATAGAACATCACAACTCCTCCTGAGACGCTCTTCCGATCTTGTTTATCGTTAGCCCAATCTGCATCTGTATATACCTTTATTGTATCATCTAGCATATTGTACTCTTTGCAGATATCAGATTGTACTCCCTTTGGTCCGAACCATAGTTTTTGCTTGACTGTCGATCGTAGGTATCTCATTAGGTTCTTTAAGGCTATACTGTGATGCTTTGCTGGTTTTGCCATAAATTGTGAGAGTCTTCCAACTGCAAACGCTATATCTGGTCTAGTGTATACCATTGGATGGATTACGCTCCCTATTGCTTGTTGATATTCGTTTACATCCGTCAGCTCATCATCATCGTTCGCTGGTCGGAGGTGTGTATAATCTGCTACTGGTACTTTCTTGGCTTGATGCTGTCCGTGGGTGATACCGAACTTATTCAGCATAGCGTCGAGGTATTCTTCTTGATCCATGGTTAATGTATATGCTTTCCTGTCGCGAATGATTCTGACACCTAGGATCTTACTTATCTCCCCCAGGTTCTTGGTGTTGAAGCGTGTCGACAGCTCTTCCCCAAATCGTTCGATCTGTGATTTCTGGTGTGATGCAACGACGATATCGTCGACGTATACCAATAGCATTATGCTGTGGTCCTGAGATGTGTACAGACACGGGTCAGCCAGGCTCTGTACGAAGTCCATTTTTAAGAGTTCCATTTTCAGTAGCAAACTCCAATCTCTTCCGGCTTGCTTTAGTCCATATAGACTTCGCAATGCTTTCAATACATGGCCTCTTTCGACTTTGACTCCCTGCGGTGGCTCAAGGTAGATCTCTTCTTTAAGATGGGATTCCGTGAAAGCGTTTTTAATATCGAAATGAGAGCATTCCAAATTTTCTTTAGCAACAATAGCAAGGAAGAGTCGGAGTGTATCCAGCCTCATCGTCGGCGCGAACGTTTCGTTGTAATCTTTTCCTAGTACTTGGCTAAATCCTCTAGCTACTAATCTTGCCTTGAATCGCTCAACTTTGTTGTCCTTTGTCTTGATTGTAAATACCCATTTTGTAGAAACTAGATTGCTTCCTTTAGGAAGTATAAATTCTTCCCAAGTACCATTCTGAACTAGAGAATTGATTTCTTCCTGTATAGCCTCCTTCCATTTTACAGCATATTTCCGGTCCGATACTGCCTCATTATAGGTTCTTGGTATTTTGATTCCTAGGACCTCACTAGCTGGATATGCTGTATCTTCGTCACTGACTTTACTCTGGAGTAAGGTAGTAAAATTGGTCACGATCTTGTTCTTGATATAGGGATCCACTGTGTGGAAACTTGGGATTGCAACCATCGCATGTTCATCGCTTTCGTAGGTCTTGGCTTCCATTGCCATTGCGATCAACGCTCTTACGATCTTATTGTACCGTTGTCCGTCAGGATTTCCTTCCATCTCTCTTTTTCTCTTTCGCGTTAGGTATCTTGGAGGGTCCATATCGTATTCCATTTCGTCTTCCTGTTCTTCGGGCGATTGCATATCGATCGCGGTTTCTGGCCCTGTAGAAATGGGTTCGCTGGCAGATTTTGGGACGGTCCCAAAATCTGCTTCGGGTGCAGGTTCTGGACTTGCAGAAGTAGGCTCTTGCGTTGGGGTATCTTCTGCGGTAGGTTTGATTGATGTGATATCGTCTGGTACTACTCCTTCATTTGTCTGCTGGATATTCCCGTTTTCATCTTCATCGTATGACGGTATAGATATGTCTGGTATTACTGATTTCAGCTCTACAGTAGGAGCAGCAGGAGCATTTGATACGATTTTTGTATTCGGTATAATCTGCATCGGAGAAAATGGTTCGATTGGGGTTGGTGAAGGCGTATCTGGTATTGTAATTGGAATAGTTGCCTTGTTTGCTGCTGGCCTCCCTCGAGATCTTCGATCTGGCTCCATATTCTTTGTACCTTGCGGTCCAGATTCGCAGTTTCTCAGCTTAAGATCCATATCGCCTCCTTTACAGGATTCGTCGATAACAACTCTACTTGATCTGAATGTATATCCTAATTCTGGCGAATACACTTTGACATGTCTGTTCGTGGTTTTCGAATATCCCAGGAATACGCCTGCTCTTGAAGTGTCTCTTAACTTATCATGCCTTTGCCCTTTCGGAATTGTCTTAGGATTTATGTAGGCATAACACTTGCTCCCCCAGACCTTGCACATCCCTAGATCAGGGATCGTACCTGTGAACGCTTCGGTAGGAGATCGGTCTATTCCGTTTGCATCGGGGCCGCTATTGGTTCGATTTCGAATATAGGCGTCGTGTTCAACAGCTTCATCCCAGAATTCCAATGGTAAACTGGCTTCTTTGAGCATCGCTCTCATATCTGCTTCTGCTGTCCTTATATTCCGTTCAGCAGGTCCGTTTTGATGTGAGGAAGCGATCGTCGTAGTTTCCGAGCGTGCGCCTGATGACCATTCGCGAATAGCTTGCAGGAGTTCTGGTGCATTATCAGTTCTAGCCGCAATTATCTTTTCCCCAGAAGCCAACTCTATCTCTTTCTTCCATTCTTTCATTGTTGGAATAGCCTCGTCTTTATACTTAAGTGGAATAATCCAGTTCACTCTTGTATAGCTATCAATGATCAGTATAAAGTACCGGTTTCCTCTAATTGATTTTGGAAATGGTCCTGCAATATCGAAATGTATGAGTTCGAGCCTCTTCGACTTATGGATACTCAATTGTTTAGGGATACGGTTTGTCATCTTGGTGAGTATGCACACTTCGCAGATATCTAATATAGTGGGAACCTTTATTGGCTTTCCTATATTGGATACTTTGTGCAGACTCCTGATCTTGTCTGGTCCTAAATGGTTGAATCTTCGATGCCATAGCAGATACCTTTCTTTCTCCTTGAGTGTTAGTTCTTCATCAATGCCTTTGGTACCATCGATTATCTCCGAGGATAAACCTTTCTCTTGATCACTTCCATCCATATTCGAATAAAGAGCTGTTTCTTCGTAATCCTTTGATACATGCGAGACCACGTACATTCCATCTTGTATCCTAGCACAAATGATTTTCTTATTCTCCTTTTTGAAATACATATAACAAGAGTTGAATTCTCCTCGCAATCCTCTCTCGCAGATTTTCTTTCCCGATAGTAAATTCACTCCCAGCCCTGGCACATATAAAACGTTTGAGAGCAACATCTTAGAACCATCCTCGCATATCATATCCACTGTTCCCCAATGACAGCAATACATCACTCCCCCACCAACCTTTATTCTTCGCCTGGCAATCGGTTCTATTGTCCTGAATAATGAAGATTGGTCAGACATATGTGAGGAAGCGCCTGTGTCGGCATACCATTTACTAGGGGAAGCTTTACTGATGGTTTCTTTTGTCAAATTACAATCTTCTTCTATCATATCCTCAGTATCGGAGTCTGATTCAGAGTCATCATCAACGGGGTATGCATCATCTCGCTTGTTAAAGTGGACTTTTCTTGGTTTCGTTGATCTCTTTCTTTTATGATGTCGGAGGTAGCTACAAAGGAGTTTGCTTGCTCTCTCCAAATGTGAACAGTTCAGTATATAGTGGCCTTCCTTCTTGCAAAGGTAACATATCTTGTTTGGGGCCTCGATATCTGATTTTCGGTTTTCGGGGGTGTACCTAGATCTACTTGCAATCTGAGCTTGCTCGGGATTGTCTGCCAAGCGTAATTCCTTTGCTTGTAGATGCTTGATCTTATCATCGATGCTGAGGTTGGTTTGTATATCCAATACATCAATCACTCCTTGATAATCTGCTGGAAGGCTACGGGCTAGCACCAAGAATAAGGCAGTATCTTGGTATGCTGATCGATAGCTTTCGTCAGCGGCTCCTAGCTTCCTTCTGTACTCTTTCAATTTGTCCCCATGACTTGTATGAATGGTCATTTCCAAGAATGGGTATCGGGCCTGGAATCTGAAGTTCTGGATCATGGTCATGTATGTATTTGCTGTAACCGCACTAACTCTAGTGTATTTCGATTTAAGGTATGCCCAGAGTGCATATGCTGTCGGGTATTCATCGATGAGTGCCTCGTCATCGTCGTTGAGTGTTGTACAGATGTACGATAGTGCATTTGCTTCGTCTTTCAAGTATTCTGATTTCAATTCGATATTGTAGCATCGACGGGGCGCAGTTGCATCATCAGTTGCTGTCGTGGGTCCTGCAACTGTTGCATATTCATCTAATGTTCTTTCAATTGTGTAATACCATCCCTTTCCTCTTAATTGTATTCCTGTTTGTCTAAACCATCGTTCGTGGTTGCTCTGGTCGAGCTTCGATGGGTTGGTCGAATCCGACATCTTAGAGGTCGTTGTATTTGTTGATTGTGGGGTGGTCTTTCGCTTTGTGTTTTTGAATTATAGGCTATGTTGTCGTTCAACTCTGCCTTGGTGATACTGTGTGAAGACTCTGATCTTCACTCTGTTTCACCCCTACCAGCTGTGCCGATCCTTACTCGATCTGCTCTGCCTTCTAATCACTACTGTGCAACCGGGCTCATAACCTTTTCAAACTGAGTTGTTTGGAAGTAGTAGTATTATTAGATGTAGGTTAAACTAAGGATCTAAGTTACAGTAATGGTAGAATTGAAGATATTCCCAATTATGGTCCGTGCACCTCCCGTGTTTATGGTCATATGACCTCAATTCTAGGCCCATAACTCGCATACTAGCGTGAGGTGAATTTCAACAAAATATATATTTATACTAAGATCATTTATGTTATCCACTGAATAATCATATCTGCTCTTACCTCAATCTTAATCAAATATTTTATATTCTAATTATATTTTTCATTCTCAAGTCTTTATAAAATAAATCTATTTCAGACTTCCCCTTCAACTTTTAGTCTTAAGTGTTACGTTGTAACATTATAAACTATTATCACGTGTTATAGGATCACATGGATAGTCTTGTGAGGGAGCGAGGGAGCGAAGGAGCGAGATTCGAATCTCGCTCCCTAGCTCCATCGCTCCAATGTTGGAATACGAAGGTCTATATAATCAATATGGATTCTCTTTATATAGAGCTTCGTGCTCAAGATCAAGATCAATAATTTAGTATACTCTACTATTAGTTACGAGTTGCATCATTGTCATTACTTAAGTCCCTGCTTAATGTCTAGTTATAAATCACCTCGAGAGCCTAGAGCACTTCCACGTGATCTAGACGGCAAACCTCGTAACATTTTAAAACCAATGTTTTATATATTACATTTTTTAAAAGAAATCAATATATTTAAATAATATGGATTAAAAATTCAATAGAAATTTATATATAATCTGTTAAAAGGAATGACCTCACACAGGGAATAGTGGGAAGCTGATAGGGCAGAACTGAGGTAATATTGGTCTAGTAGGTTAATCTCTCTTCTAAGTTCTACGGAAGTGCGAAGCTCTCTTACAGAGAGCTTCTCAATCTAGTCCTAATAGGACTAGTGCCGTGTGCACGTGCTACGCAGGAACCATTCACTTTAACATATATGAAAATAAATTCTTTTTATAAATTTGAGATAATAATGCTTTTTTTTTTCTCTCTCTCTCTTTCCTCATTCAAGACTTTATATACTTTGTATACATACGCTTTACTTTCTTTTTTATATATTTATATTATTTATTCTATTTATCTTATATCCAACACCTTATACATCTCATCTATCTCATCCATTCATTCATTTATCCAACCTCATAAAACTTGATATATAACTCTTTACTCTATATAGAGTATATATATTTAGTATTTATTAAAAGATTGGGTGGAAGAGGCCTCTATATTGACTATATTACTACGTCTGTAGGCATATTAAGATCTCCACTTGGTATCCTCGGAGGGGACCAATATGCCTGCTTATGGTTCATCTAATCTAGCCTGTTTAGGTAACCGTATTACTAATCACGACACGTGATTAGTACCGGTAACTTCTATCCCTTTTAACACTCCCCCATAGGAGTTACCACCTTCAATCTCCCCAATCCTCCGCATCTCTATTGTCTCAATCCTAGCATCTCTTTGAACCTTTCGAATGCTACTCTTGCTAGGGGTTTGGTCATCCCGTCTGCTACCATATCTGACGTATTGATATAGCTAGTCACTACCTTTTCTTTTTCAGTAAGATCCCTGATAAAGTGGTAGCATATATCAATATGCTTTGATCGCTCATGCAGGTGCGGGTTCTTGGTTAGAGCTATTGCTCCTTGATTGTCGCCTAGTATCTGAACAGTGTCTCCGTGTGTAGATACGTATTCCGCCTTTCCAAGGTCTTTGAGCATTTGAGCTAACCATCTCCCTTGCTTGGTGAACATCGCCATTGATATGTATTCGGACTCAGCACTTGACGTTGCTACTGAATTCTGCTTCTTGCTAGCCCACGATATCGGTCCTCCATAAAACATAGCAACTCCCCCAGAAATACTTTTCCGATCATATCGATCACTTGCCCAATCTGCGTCAGTGAAGACTTTTATAGTATCTGCTGATAGGTTGTATTCCTTTGCGATTTGGTACTGTACTCCCTCAGGTCCATATTTGAGTTTCTGAGTGATCGTAGCTCTCAGGTATCGCATTAGGTTCTTTACTCCTATCCCATGGCATTTTGCTGGCTTTGCCATGTACTGTGATAGCCGCCTAGTACGAAGGAGATGTCTGGTCTTGTGTATACCATTGGGTGAATAAGACTACCTATGGCTTGTTGATATTCAGTAACATCAATCAGTTCGTCATCTTCAGTAGCGGGTCGTAAACATGAGTAGTCGGCAGCGGGTATCTTCTTAGCATGGTGCTGAGCGTGCGAGATTCCGAATTTGGTTAGCATAGCTTCCAGATACTCTTCTTGGTCCAATGTGAGTGATCTGTTTGCTCGATCTCTTATAACTCTAATGCCTAGAATCTTACTAATCTCCCCCAGGTTCTTGGCATTGAAGCGCGAGGAGAGTATTACAGAGAACCAATCGAGTTGATTCTTTGAAGTCGAGGAGGCAATTATATCATCAACATATACTAGCAAATTGAGTTGGCGAGCGGCGAATGTATAGAGACATGGGTCAGCGAGACTCTGAGTGAAGCCCCAATTGATCAATTCGGACTTTAGAAGTTGACTCCAATCTCGTCCCGCTTGCTTAAGGCCATATAAACTTCTCAATGCGCGTAAAACGTACCCATTTGATACATTGACTCCTTGAGGTGGCGCGAGGTATATTTCTTCCTTGAGATGAGATTCTGTAAAAGCGTTCTTTATATCGAAGTGCCAGCATTCCAAGTTCTCTTTCGCAACGATCGCTAAGAACAAACGGAGTGTATCGAGTCGTACTGTAGGAGCGAAGGTCTCATTGTAGTCTTTTCCGAGAACTTGACTAAACCCTCTTGCTACCAGCCGTGCTTTGAATCTCTCGACCTTGTTGTCCTTCGTCTTTATTGTGAATACCCATTTTGTTGAAACAAGATTCCCTCCTTTCGGCAGAATATACTCTTCCCAGGTACCATTTGCAATCAATGAGCTGATTTCCTCTTCGATAGCTCGCTTCCATTTTTCACCATATTCAGGGTCCGAGACTGCCTGATTATATGTGTTAGGAATAGGGATTCCTAGAATCTGTTCTGCGGGGAAAGCTGTATCCTCGTCTGTAGAGCTCCCTAAGATCACTTGAAGGTTTTCGGATAGTTTTGTTTTAACGCTCGGGTCGATCCTAGATGTAAGGGGTATGGAGATCATAGCATGTTCGATAGCACTTCCATCAGGGTCTGCTGAGAGTATCGCTATCATTGCTCTTATCAGTTTCTGGACATGCTCATCTGGCTCACTATCGTCTCGCTTGCGTTTCCGAAAAAGAGTATCTTTCAGGGGTGTCTATATCCATAGGTGTAGTTGAGGTTTCGGTTGAGGATTGATTGGTTACAGGTGCAGTATCTAGTATGTCTATCTCTTTTGTTCCTGGAGATAGTATTGGGTCTGTGGATGGATCGATTTCGATGATATTCCCTTCACTGTCTTCGTTGAATTGCTGGATATTGTCTACTTTAGATGCGCTGGGAATTACTACTTTCGGGGGTTCAGGGGTAGCAGTATCTTGTAAGGATTCGAGTGGGGATTCTTGTACTTCTTGTACCTTGTGAGGTCTACCTCTGGGTCTCCTATCAGGGATGATATTTTTTGTACCTTGGGGTCCTGATACAGAGTTTCTTATTCTTAGGTCTAAGTCTCCGCCCTTTTTGGATTCGTCTATAGTCACTCGGCTTGCTCGTACAGTGTAGCCTAGCTCTGGCGAGTACACCTTAACATGCTTATTGGTCGTGTGCGAGTATCCCATAAAGATGCCTACTCGAGCTGTATCTCGTAATTTGTCGTGCCGTTGGTCCTTCGGGATTGTCTTTGGATTGATATATGCATAACACTTGCTCCCCCAGACTCTACAATGGGTGATGTCGGGGGTTGATCCAGTAAACGCTTCGATTGGGCTTACAACGCTGTCGTCAATGATCGGTCCAGTGTTCGTTCTATTCCTGCAGTGTGCATCATATTCAACAGCTTCGTCCCAGAATTCCAATGGCAATCCAGCTTCCTTTAGCATAGCTCTCATATCGGCTTCGGCAGTGCCGATGTTTCTTTCAGCAGTTCCATTTTGATGAGATGATGCTACGGTAGTCAGTTCTGATCGGGTCCCAGAGTTCCACTCCTTAACGGCTTGGATTAGCTCTGGTGCATTATCAGTTCGAGCGGCTACTATCTCATCACCAATGCCAAGTTCTAATTCGGTTTTCCATTTCTTCAATCTCGGTATAGCTTCATCTTTTGTCTTCAAGGTCAAAATCCAATTCACTCTTGTCCAGCTGTCTATGATCAATAGGAAATAGCGGTTTCCTCGTAAAGACCTTGGGAATGGGCCAGCGATATCAAAATGAATAAGCTCTAATCTTTTCGTCTTGTGAGGACTGAGTTGTTTTGGGATTAGATTCTTCATCTTGGTGAGCGCACACACTTCGCATACAGGGATTTTGGATGGGACTTTGATCGGCTTTCCCAGTGTAGTAACTTTATGGAGATTCCGTATTTTCTCTGGGCCAAGATGGTTAAATCGTCTGTGCCATAGTAGATAAGTTTCTAGATCCTTTTTGTTCTTGTCTAAGGAGGTGTCTAGAGTGATCTCGTTCGATTCAATATCACTAATAATCTCTGTGCTCTGTAGAGCGACATCTTCATATCCTTTCGCGATATCCGAGATCATATAAATTCCTCTATCCATTTTTGCTTTGATGATATTTATTCCATTCTTTCGAAAGTACATACGATCTGAATTGAACCTGCCCTTGAGTCCAGCTTCACAGATCTTCTTGCCGGAGAGGAGATTGACTCCTAATCCCGGTACATACAACGTCTTTGAGAGTAAAACCATACCACCATTTCCTAGCTCCATTGCAGCAGTACCTATCCGATCACAGTACATAACTCCCCCACCAACTTTTATCGTCTTTCTCTTTATCTTCTTGATATCTCTAAAGAGTGAAAGTTGATCAGACATGTGTGAGGAAGCGCCGGTATCTGCGTACCAACGAGAAGGGGTGGTCTTACGAATGAGTTCTTTAGAGACATGGCACTCTTCGTCATCAGACTCTTCTTCGCTTTCTGATGAATCGAGATCAACTAAAAGACTTTCGCCATCTGCAAGATGAGCTTGATTACTTCTTTTCTTAGGAAATGACACTTTGGTTGTCTTTCTAAGTGTTGCTTTCCGTTGCTGGGCTTTATAGTGTTTGCGGATCAGAGCTTGTGCGAGTGTGAGATCTTTGCAATCACGTAGAAAGTGCCCTTCGTGCTCACACAGGTGGCAAACATAGGTTTTGGCTTCATCGTCTTGTTCTTGCTTTGCAAATGGGCTTGATCCTCTGCGTTCTCCTCGTCGATTTGGGATTACGTACTTTCCGCTAGCAGTATGGGCTTGTTCTGTCTCTTGAATGCTGAGTTCTTTAGCTGTGAGATATTTGATCTTGTCTTCCACTGCTAGCGTGCTTTGAACGCTCATAGCATCGATTGTTGTTTGGTATTCGCTTGGTAGGCTTCTAGTCAGAACTAAAAATAGAGCTTCGTCTCTGTATGAATCCTTGAATGCGGGGTTGGCAGCACCAAGCTTGCGTCGGTATTCTTTCAGTTTATCCCAGGCTTCAATAACAGTCATCTCTGGATGGCTAGTAGGCTTGAAGGTAAATGTTTGGATCATTGTTAAGTACGAATTGGCTGTGATATCACTAGTTCTTGAGTACTTTGACTTCAGGTAGTTCCATAATGTTCGTGCTGTATCGTACTCATCAACAAGCGCTTCATCGTCGTCACTGAGTGATCTGCACATGTACGATAGTGCACTAGCTTCATCTTTCAAATATTTGGCCTTCTTATCGAGGTTAAGCCTGATGTTCACGACTTTGCTTCCTTCGAGGATCGGGAAAACTTCGGTACCATCGACTTCCATCCCAACTCCTCCAACCTTAGCATGCTCTTGCAATGTAGACTCAATCGTATAGAACCAATCCTTTCCTTTCAATTGTATTTTCATTTGTCGAAACCATCGATCGTGGGTCTCTTGGGTGAGGTTCGGGATGCTTTTCGTTTGCTCTTTGATTTCGTCCATCTTGGTATCTATGCAGAGAATTTGCAAGGTTTTTCTTCCCCTTTTTCTGTATAGATAAATCCACACAGATTGTAAATATAAGTATAATTTGCACCGCGTGTTTTCTGTCGTACCGCGTACGTTTTATTCGTAAGTAGCACCGCGTGCTCTTTCAACTCCGCGAGTTGATGGTAGTAGTGATCACAGCACCGCGTGCTGATCGTAAGGTAGTGCCGCGCACTCTTCAACTCCGCGAGTTGGATTGTGATAATGATCGCGTCAATTATGTCCAGAGGCCATGCTAACCGGGCTCATAACCTATTAAAAGATTGGGTGGAAGAGGCCTCTATATTGACTATATTACTACGTCTGTAGGCATATTAAGATCTCCACTTGGTATCCTCGGAGGGGACCAATATGCCTGCTTATGGTTCATCTAATCTAGCCTGTTTAGGTAACCGTATTACTAATCACGACACGTGATTAGTACCGGTAACTTCTATCCCTTTTAACAGTATTGCAATATATATTATATAATCATTCCAGCTCCATCTACTAATTATATTTATATTTATATTTATATTTATATTTATATTTATATTTATATTTATATTTATATTTATATTTATATTTATATTTATATTTATATTTATATTTATATTTATATTTATATTTATATTTATATTCAATCATGTTAAAAGGAATAGAAGTTACCGGTACTAATCACGTGTCGTGATTAGTAATACGGTTACCTAAACAGGCTAGATTAGACGAACCATAAGCAGGCATATTGGTCCCCTCCGAGGATACCAAGAGGAGATTAATATGCCTACAGACGTAGTAATATAGTCAATATAGAGGCCTCTTCCACCCAATCTTTTAATAAATCAGATAGTGACATCCATACAGATACAAATCTCCAAAGATATATTATTATAATATATACTCACCTGTGACCAAAAGGGTGTTTATAGACCAGCAATTGTATTTAACTTAGAATCTACAGGTGAAGAGCACCTGTAGATGGGGATAGCTACTCTATATATACACAAATGAATGGCCTAGCCGCAATAGCTAGGCAAAAAGAAGTCATATTTATTCCTCCAATGATCTTACTTTACCGATAACCATTGATACCTAGTACTTGTCCGGATCTGATCCTCAGGTCACCTAAATCGCATACTAATCTCGAGTAATCGTATCATGTGTGGACATGGTTAATGTACCTGAGGTTTCTTATATAATAAGGGTGGGAGGAAAGCAGGGATTTCCGTCACATCACCACACTCACCACACTCACCACACTCACCACACTCACCACACTCACCACACTCACCACACTCACCACACTCACCACAAACCAACTCAAACCCCAAACCTCAACCTTCAAGCCAACCCAAACCCCAGATACCCAACTAATCAACTAACCAACCCTCAAACCAAACCCCAAATAAGCAAATAAAATCAATATCCACCAATTCACCAATCCCCCCCACAACAAAAATCAAGGCAAAAACCCAAAATCCCAGGTAAGATTTACTTTTCAACAAAACACTATCTATTATATATACTACAACACCACAATACCGTAAGAAGCTGCCGTACAATACAACTGTGTAAAATCGGGCTTTGGAAGGGGGATTATGGTGGGAATGGGAATGGGAGTGGGAATATGAATAGGGATTTATTTATTCGAGATTTATTTACGTAGGGGAGGAGAGGGGGAGAGAAAGAGAGGGAGGTGTAGTGTGCAGTGTAAATGTAAGTGCAAGTATGGATTAATATAAATATAGAGAGAAAAATAGAAGATAATCAAGATAATCTAAATAATAAACAAATAGGTAAGTAAGTTCCTCCAAACCCAAACTTACAGGTAAGATAAGTGGTGTTTAATCATATGATATGATCTATACGTAAAATATATAATAAACAGTATTCATATTTGAAGAATCTAGAATAAACAAACTGAAATATCTACCCTCTACCCGACTTTCCTATTTCCATTCCCTTTCTATAACTTGACCTGATCGAGCTCGTGAAGAAGAAAGGTAGTATGATACTGATAAATCTGAACGGTGAATGATGTAAAATTATATAGTGGTGCCCGCAAGCAAGCAAGTAGACAAGCAAACAGACAAGTCAATATCGGGCGGGACATGGATTAAAACATAACTTTACATCAGTCTCCTTCTTCCTTCCTTCCTTCTTCCTCTTATATAACCAGAAACTCCATACTCCTTACTCTATACTCTTTACTCCCAACTCTCTACACCATCCCAAGGAAATCCATTTACATATCCATTTACATACATACAGAAATAAATGAAAAACAAGCCCTAATCACACCAACTATAAGTGTGAGCTTCGAAGAGAGCAGATACCAAGACGAGACAAGAGAAGACAAAGAAGAGAAGAGAAGTGAGATAGTTACTGAAACCATCCATCTTATATTAACCACCTAACTAACATAGCTACACTACCTCCAGATAAGAACATACTGACATGATATAATATGAATGAAAAAAAGGAAGACATGTCTATCTGGTGTATAGTAAGTAAGTATATTTCTCTTCTTGGTGACTAGATAGACAGACAGACGGTTTAGATAATAATGAATAAACAATAATGGATCAGATATATAGATAGATAAATAGAAGTCTTTTTTCTTCTCATTGGTTGGTTGGTAGGATAAATGAAATCAAATATAAATATAAAGACTTGGGGAAAAAATTTGAATGAATGAATATATGCATGGAAGTCAGGGGATATAATCAATCAATCAATACGATACTTCGATGCGATACTTTAATCCGTCTCGTCCCTCCCTCCCTCCTGCTTCAAAAATCTTAGAATATAATTTCCACATGACAAATGAATGAATGAAATAATGAAATCCGCAATTTTTTCCTTTCTTCCATCCTTCATCAATACTTTCGTTCGACGACCTCCTCCTCCTCCTCCTCACCACCAAGAAGATAAAAAGCGCTTTTAGCGATTCAATTCATAAAATAAAAAACAAAACCTATAAAAAGCCAGTCACTCACTCATTCATTCATTCATTCAACAAAGGCATAAATGCTCAAGAATGTAGTAAGATAAATCCTTGTATCCTATTGCAGAATGCAGAATGCAGAGTGCAGGATATAGAGTGCAGAGTGCAGATAGAATCGTACAACTTACTTATCTTATTCTTATTCTTATTATACTATACTATACGAGTTGATGCGAAATGCGAAATATAAACGAACGGGTAAAATGAAATCGACCATCTCATTATGGAGAAGAAGGAAGAAGAAAAAGGAAGAAGAAGGAAGTCAGGTAAAGAGATTATTATGCAGGAGGAGAAGGAGAGGAGAGGAGCGAGCCCAATGGTTTAGAGAAGGGGTTGTAATCTTACATACACATATACATACAGAGTACTCGAGTATCTACTATAGTGTAGATAGGTACTCATTTCATGAATGCCAGGATGTGCACGCACACACGCACGGTCTTATGGATAGGATAGGATAGATCTTCTTGTGGTAGATGTATATCGCTATATTAGGATATATGTATATATGTATATATGTATATATGTATGGCGAGGAAGAGATGATTACCGTTTGATAAAACAGGCGACCTTGGATATCAAAGTGATCTTTGTTTGTGTGTTTACGGAGGAAGAGTAAGAGTAAGAGTAAGTACAGACAGAGTGAAAGAATGAAATCTGGAGAACAATGCCAAAGAAAATCCGATTGGAGATTTGAAGTTGTGGCGATGCATGCTGATTAACCTATCCATAGAGGTGGGTGTGAAGGAAGGTAGGTAGGTCGGTAAAATCATTCTTACAAGTAAATAAATAATAGTAATATCAACAAACAACAATATCAAAACCAAAGTCAAAGTCAAATTCTAAATCATGATCCCTTGATCTCTTGATCTCCTAATCTCTCAATCTCATAAGGACCATAAACATAAAGAAGTTTTAGAAATGCGAAGTACGAGTATATAAATTGATGAAGAAATCAAACCGAACCAATCAATCGGAGAGAATCCAGAAAAAGGATTTTAAATTCTCCTGTATCTCACCTAGGTACCTATCTACATAGTATTTGGTTGGATTATGATATATGATAGATAGCTCTACGTTCCAGCGTGAGTTTCATTTATTCATTTAGGAAGTTGGAAGTTATAAGATTATGTAAACTTGATGTTGTAGTTGTAAGTTAGTTATATTTGCATCAATATCAAAATCAATATCAATATCGTCACAATTTCTAATTTCATTTTCATTTTCATCTTATTTTTTGATATTATTAAACTGATGATCAACAGACGATCAATCAATACAAATTAGAAGTAAACTCGAGTAAACTTGACTTTCTATAGATCTAATAACAGTAAACCATGAGTGATAATTACACTGTAGATGATAGATAACCTTATATTTACCCCGCATCCATTTCTGAAGTGAAGAGGGAGGGAACAGTCTTTTGCTTTACCTTTTCCCCTTTCCCAAACCAAACCAAGAGAATAAATATGATGATGATGATGATGATCCCTCCCCATCTTTTCTTTTCTCACATTTTAAATTTTAATTCATTCCCAGCGGGCCTCATCAATGATCATCGTGAACTGGACTGGGCTGGGCTGGATGCACCGTTATGTATGTAACTCAATTAAAACGTATCATGTCGTCACTGTACTGGATCATTGATGTTGTGGGTGGTAAAGTTCGATACTTTGAATAATTATCAAGATCTTTAATCTGTGTGTGTGTGTGTGTGTGTGTGTGTGTGTATGTACATGTATAATTGATGATGGATGGATGGATGGATGGATGGATGGATGATGGATAGATGATTGAAAGATGAATGAAAGATCTTGATCATTTAGCCAGAATATCTCATTCATAATTGGTTATTTGGTTTTCTGTCCTGTAGTTATGGAATAAAACAACTCATCTCGAGCATGGTGTTGTATGGTATGGTATGGTATGGTATGGTATGTCATGGCTTAATCCCTAAGCATAATCATAATCATAACCCAAATCGTCTACAAATTACTTTCATACCATCATCCATTTATCACGGCTGTACAAGGCAAGGTTACAAGTCATACAAAAGAATCATTGTAGAGGTAAAGGTTCACTCATCAAGTAACAAGTAAAATCATCATGATATATCCACAGCTGCAATGCATACACATACAAATCCACTAATGATCCTATCTATATCACTGGCCTCATAATTCATGTGTTCACCAAGATGAGTCTATTCTTTGGTTGCCCCTGATGGTATCACGACAGTTGCCTGTCAGCTTTAAATACCTACATGGACACCTGCATAACCATTTCCTGCGCTGGTAAGGTTGTACACGGTAATCTGCTTTTTATGGCTTGAGTAATGATGTAAAACTTGGATGGTTGTAGTAGCTGTAGCTGTAGCTTTGTGATTCCTGTCTTGTAATAAGGAAGTCTATGGTAATCCAATATACAAGGAATGGTTTTTAGTTTTCGAACCCTTTGGGTGAGTAGTAGGTAGGTACTTGGTACTTATTAGTACTAACTTAATAAGGGCTCATCTCAAAATGATGAATGAAATATTTCCGTGATCATCAAGTAAAGAATCTAGTTCTGGTTGAATCTAGATATTCATCTTTTGACGAGAAGAATACCGGTAATTTGAATATGAAATTTCATTGAATGATCCTGATCATGATCACAACCACAACCACAATCACGATAGCTTCAAACCATCAACTTTCTCGTAAGTTTTTATATCCGTAGTCGAATGATTGTGGTGGCTTTTGACTACTCTAAGTCTCTAACAATGCCACCATCCATGATGAACCCAGGCCAGGGCCAGGACCAGGATCCACCAGGACCGTCTGTCTATCTCGGTAGGAAATGTTGAAAAAGTGTGGAGTGATGTCAAGTCTAAAATGGGATTGCTGGATTGATGGAGTAGCGCTTTGAAGCTTTGAAGGCCACGACCAGGGCAATTAAGAGGGGAATCTCGGAAAATAAGGTCACGAGGCCAACGTTTATATACGCTAGTGCTTTTTTAATCATGGTTGTTGTTGGTAGCTAATAGTGGGGGACGGGGGGAATGGGATGGACTACTCTGCATAGAGTAAATGAGGAAAATGAGGAAATAATTGCAAATGATGGGAAGCTTTTGAAAGGGGAAACGGTATTGATGTTGATGTTGATGTGTGTCTGTGTGTAAGTGGTGGTGTGCATGTGTATTGAACATCTGATGAACCTTCAAATCTTCAATTGAAATGTTCCTGACTTTGAGTAACCCATGGTGATCTAGGTATTGATAATTCCATTACCACGGCTTTTGATATGACATGATGTTGAATTCAATTCATCTAGTTCAATCCAATCCATCCAATTCTGTTCAATTCATCTTTTCAAATTCCCAGTAAAACCTACATCTATGGCGTGGGTGGCTGGGAACCCTCCATGTACTGATCAAACAAATGCGCTGTATTGTATCCTATCCAATTACTCTCACAACTCCAATAATCCCTCTCGTATCAAGAATTCCTTCGTCCCGGTGATTATACTCCTTTGGAGAAATTTCCTCGACCCGTGACCGATAAAAGTATAAAACGAGTCCCACATCGGAGGGGATTGCGTTGGTGTGGTGGTTTGTTGGCTTCCTTCCTACCTATCTAACTAACTAAACTCCTCTCGGTTCGGGAAGAAAAGACGCAAAACGCAAGAAATAGACTAGGTTCAACGGGAAACCCTGGATTTAGAACATTACCATATTGGCGGTATCTACTTTTCATTGGGTCTCGGGATGATAATTTCGATTTAAATCTTTGCTTTGGGTTTTCCATATTGATGCCATGAGCGACACGAGTCTTGACAAAACGTCGGGATGGAGGTGTGTCGGGTTGGTGTGGATGGAAGTGACAGTAATCAGTAACCTGATGTTTCCAAGTACGGAGGATAGTGGCCGGGTGGCTGGTGATGGATGTTTGGTGTTTAGTCATGGTTACGCTGAGGGATACCCAAAGTTGGAACTGTTAGAAGCTAATGTCTGTATGTATGTATGTATGTATGTATGTATGTATGTATGTCTTTACTAATTTTGATGAAGCCATTGAGAGAAAAATGAGAAGCCACCAACATCTCTTCTACAAGAAGAAATAACAGAAGCGATCTCGAGGTACAAAACACTAATGATGAGACAAGCCCAGCTAACTACCAGTTATGCCTCGAAAAGTCGAAAGGCTTCTTTGATATCTTGGCTAAGCCAGAGACCGGGTTGACAGTACTTGGTGACTTGAATGGGAGAATCAAAAATCCATTCATGATTCGTGGTATATGATATTCAGTCCTACCTGACTATCTTTGAATTACATGCAGGCAGCTTCATTCTTTATTTTCCGTATCCATAGGTACCGAGTACTGACTGTACTGTACTGTCTGTCAACTGGTACAACTTTCCACTGAAGAAGAGATTTGAAGCCAATCCTAAGCGGAATCTCTGTAACTTGGTCCGTGCACTGTACTCCAAGAATGACCATCTGCATCCCAGATCATTGAACCCGACTGGCAAAGGAGATTTTGATGGTAGAACAAAAGTAACCATTTTTAGCTGAATTACATGGCGTCAGATATAGTAGGCGACGACGAGATAAAATAGATTGATTTGTACTTCACACCACCAGCGAGCCTTCTTTCTATCAAGGAATGTCCTTGACTTGATTCCCGGAAATGGGAGCTCACGAGGTAAAGCTTGAGAAGAGATGTTTGCTGCTGTTTCGTCTCACCACTGATCAAAGATTGACACCACTGACCAGAAGATTGATGGACTCGAAAAGGATGCAAAGTACCCGTCATTTTGCGCCAAGAACCGGGTAGCCATATTGACTACAACATTCAGATGAGGCAGTGTATTGTCTGTACGGGTGTAACTCTTACCGTTAATATATCAATACGGCAGGTTGCCGGCCGCGGAGAGACACAAGATAGATACCCTGAGATATCATTCCAATGAAGTGAGATTATGGGAATCGAGATTCCCATCTAGTATCGTGGGTATGAGGCCCGTTTTGGATACTTGAATCAAATCATCATGGATAGTTACTTGTAGTTATTGGTATGATCTGAACATCCTTCATGTCTTCCACGAAACCGCTTTGAGAATACCAGGAGAACAAGTTCATGACGAGTATCACACACATACACATTCTATCTATTATTGCCTTTGCACTCACACGGCAAAGGAACGGAGGAAGCGATATATGATTCTCACATTCTACTACATCATTATGCTGTACCTCATCTCTCTACCCACTGGATGGGACTTGCTGACTTTCTTTATATATGTGCACCCATGATATCCTAATGCAGCATGCACTCAAAGAGGTAATCAGCTTCAGCTCCTTTTTTTACAACTTTCACCATGAACCAATGGAATGGGATGATATCCAGGGCGATCTTTTTTTCACTTAACTCCGTACTCTTCGAGTATCGCGATACGCTTATGCATTGGGGTTTGTTTTGGGTATGTCACGAGTCCTTTGATGGGATTATTTATTTATTTATTTATTTCTATTGTGAAGATGCAAGACCTAGTACGTACACTACCTCATACAAATAGAGTATTAGATTTATTATTTTTATTATCTGCAACTACCTCAAGTAGGTACTAGCCTACTAGGCAAAGATCTTACTAGTTACTTACTTACACCACTACTCTCCTTTCAGTGAATTGTGAAAGTGATTTATTATTGAGTAAAAGATGCTTAGACTTGAAAGTGGCGCGTGCTGGGTGGTATCAGAAATGATCCCATGATCCTTTTTAACCCAATCCATTCTTGGACTTTAGTCTTTTGGTACCTTTTTGAGGCTTTTACCTGTACCTATAGGAAAGGTTGAACTGATCACAACAAAAGAGATGAAAGAAAAAATTAATTCGTCATGTGTTTGTGACTTTGTTCGCATTCTATTCAACTCGTTTCTTCTTTTATCTTCACTGTAGACAAAGAGATATGATATGTACTCGGTCAGATTGATTAAGAGGTACTGAAATATACTAAGTACCGGGTTCGAGGAATATAGCTTGGTTTTGTATCACCTTACCTCACTTACCTTACCTGAGGAGATCTTTCAAAAGGACGTTTACTTTGTAGGTATTATTCATCTCATTGAGTGAATCAATCAGTAGCTCGATATTTGAAATAACATCTACATAATTCAAGTGGCAAGAATTTGACCAATTACATTAACTCCTGATTCCCAAGCTGTGCCTACCTACCTACCTACCTACGCAAGTTCCGTGGATAGAAATATACACATATACGTACATATCTACTCCGTACACATCTACATGTTTACCGACATACCTACTTCGGTAATAGGTAATAGGTACCTACATCAACAAGTACATACATACGTACATAGGTACCTGAAAGAAAGGAATCTCGCATCGTCACTAATAAAACTCCTTGGTGATGGATGGCAAATATCAAGCATTGCCCCTCGCTCGGAATACCAAATAATAAACCTTACCATGACATCAATAATGTTCAAAGGATTAATAATCCAAGCTCGTGAGTAAAATACCAAGGAGACCAAATACCAAATTAGGGAAAATGGAAGCGTTTTTTTTTTCTCTTTGTTCTTGATAGTCGTCTGTGTGTGTGTGTGTGTGTGTGTATTCAATTTCATGTTATGGATTCACAAGACTCTTTGAGTATATACTCCGTATGTACTATGTACTGAATATACGGCTTCCCGTGGTTGGTAGATTTGATTTGGATGTACTTAATTGAATGTATGTGTATATGTGTATGTGTGTACTTGTACGACTATTTACCAAAATACCACGAGATGGAATGAATATCTCCTATCAATATCTGGGTATTTGATACAATAATTTCCATGTAAAAAGCATATCAGATAATAAAGTCCTCAAGCCCCTTGTATTTTCCTCACAACATCAATCAATCATTCATCAAAGTCTTCTCAGAGACTGAAGAGAAAATACTCCTCCTAAGCAAAACTACTACTTGATGCCCAGGATCTCGAACCCCTCATTATTGGTTCCGCATTGAGCTTGATATTTAGCATCACCCACAGAAATAAGAACACACTCGATCTACGGATTTCTTCTGGAGCTTCGGAGTTTTATTCTTCACGATATAACATCAAGCCTATTAACAGATTATCTACATCAAACTCCCTGTTCAATTAATCGACTACACTACTCGACTGCTAATCTAACACATACCTTTAACTATCCTTGGTTTCTGTACCTGTAAGTTAGCTCATCATTTCTTTACCCAGCATTCTCCCTCCTCCTTTCGCCTCCTCCTTTAATCCTTGTCTTTCCCATTATTTCTCTCCAGTGCTCCACGAGTCTTATAAAAATAATCATCCCCCCTTGTCCTGCCTTTGCCCCTGTATGAACCGAACCGGCTACAGTGCAGGAAATCAAAAAAAGAGAGGACAAAAAGGAAACTTCCCACTCACAACGCAACGTCAATTCAAGCAGGCTAATTCTGACACTAATTAATTAAGCGATAGCATACCTAGCACAGTTATCCACATTTTATTCTGGTGGTGGCCCCTCATATTCCCTCGCTGCTGCCAGCCCATTGCATGGACTAAAGCAAAGCATCCACTATCCACTTGTTGATCTCAGAAGGAAAGAAGATCATTCGTCAAGACCCCTCCTACTCCATAATCCAAACCTAATAAACACCTGCACATTCGAAAAGATACCCACTGGTCGACTACAATCATCAAATAAACACTAAGCGTTGTATTCTAGCTACAGCTTTTGTCCACAATATTCAATTCGTACCTACCAAAAGATAGAGGAAAGGAAGTAGACAGAAAAAATCATAGGAATTGAAGAAGAGAGAAAGAGAGAAAGGAACTTTGAAGCTCTTGCTCCCCTATCCCCTTCCTCGTCCCATTCAACCGAGATATATCAAAAACCTTCATACTTTGATTTCTATACAATTATCGACAAGAAGGGTCGGTCATATTGTCTTCCATCTACTCGGTATTCAATCCAGTTATTAACCTCGAAACTCCCTGTCCTCAGTCTAAACCTCCTTCATCACCTTTACCTCACCATCTCGATCTTGCAGCTCCTTCTAGGTTACTACCACGCAAACACCGAATTCTACATCTACCTATATTTACATCTACACCTAACCTTCTCTGACCTTCATTGGAGCCTCATTATTAGATTGTGAAGAAGAATACCACAAAGTCTACTCTTCCAAGCTACTCTCTCTCGTCTACCTTACCCATCACAACTTGCAATTCACAATAAGCTTAATAATCCTTCCAGCCAATCCAATTCCAGCTATTTGAAGTTATATCCAAACGGCAGACACCTATTACGGTACATACGCCCAGAGCCATAAGATCGGCCAAAAAGACCAAAAACGGAAGATCGAATCTGTAACTTACCTGTACCTCGAATACAGTAGCTTTTTATGTCATTGATTGATTATTTGGATTACCGGAACAGCCTTTTTGACTTTCTAGCCTTCTTTTGCTTATTCCTTCCTTTCAAATTTACGATCTACCAGCCTTACTTACCTCATTACCTTTCCTTCGGATTTAAAGATCAGATTAGATCAAAGTCTTTTTCGTCCTAAAGATATATTGTTGATATAAAACATCGATTCAACCTTTAATATTTCCGACTCCGGTTCACTAGCCACAAAACAAGAATCATTCTCCCCATCTTCAAATTCTTCAGTACTACGGAGATACACACACCAATGGTATAATTGACTGCGGTACGGTACGGTTATTGGTAATTGAATGCAAAAGAAAAAAAGGCAAAGACGCACGAACACCTTTATTATTAATAAGGAACGAGGAACGACTTTTACGAAATTGACACACCAAGTGACCACTGACCACCACAAAAGCACCAACGGGGACCAAATCGATTTGGACGAATCAGCATCCAGGAAATTGAGTACCCCTGTCGACCATATTAGTCCCCCCAACTACTTTTCATGTCCAAAAATCGAGCGCGTGAGCATAGTCAGTTATTTCGGAGCCAAGGAACTCTCAATACCAATAGTAATTTAATACCTTTTACCTTTTGAACGAACCAAGCAGAAAGCGAAACAGAGAGCAGAGAGAGAGAGAGAGAGAGCAGAGGGCAGAAAAGAGAAGAGAGAAAAGAGAATCTCAACTTGACACCTGAACCTGAATAATCAAAGTTATTTTTCGAATTTATTATTTTACAAATTAATTACCTAACAAAACTAAGCTATTAGGTATACTATACTCATTCAACGCCCTCGACTCACACTCACCCTCACACTCACCACGCCCTCAACTCGACTAGGAGTCAACCTTATTGCGTACATTTTCTTTCGACTCAGCTGTCTTTTGATCAATCAAGAAATTCATCCATCCATCCACCTACTTACCTACTACCTACCTACCTCTCCAGCACACCTCTTCCTTTTTCTACTTACACATTACACCCTACACACAATACCTTACAACTTACTACTCTCAAGTTACCACACTCGCACTACGCACCTGCACTACTTTAGTTACTTTACTTTACCTTTACCTTACCTTACCTTGACTTATTACCTTGACCTGATTTTACTTACTTCATTCATTCTCCCTCTCCTAAATTCTTTGGCTCCGAATCCATCCAGATAGTCAGCCATACACCATACACCATACACCACCATACACCATACAACACCACCACTACAACATCCCATTTCATCCATCAACAAATCATCAAATCAATACATTTACATCCTATCCACTCCAGGAACACTTTCTCCATTTTACCTGATCACCTTACCTGTCTGGATTGAGAAAAGAAAACAAAAACAACAAAACATCACAACAACAAAACAAAATCAAACCACCACCACCACCCCAACTACAAAATCGTCTTCCGAAATTTATTTGTTATTCATTCGAATAATTTCAAAAATTCGAATTTCAAAGTCATCTGCGAGTTGACAAGACATTACCTATCCTGAATAATAATAAATACGGTACGCCTTGACCAACTCTTCTTTTTTTGCTTGTTTATTCATTCATTCATTCATTATTCACATTCATATTCATTCATATTCACACGCACCACGCACCCACACCCGCACACACACACATTACATTACATATTACATACATACTACATATAATACTCTCACTCACCACATACCCCATCCCACCGCCTTTCACCAACCCCTCTCAACCATTAACCCATTAACCCATTAAACCATTAAAGGGTCACAACCACTAACTCTTAATTCTCATCCATCAGCCGCAGCCGCATTTCTCACTTGGGTCATTAATCCCGACAATAGCATTTTCGAGCAAAAAGAGGAAAAAGGGAAAAAGAGGGTGAATAATTCTTCGACTGAATCAAAGACTGTCACGTTGATTCAAGAAAAAGATTCACTTAGTAATTACCGATTGATTTGCCTTGGTCGCACGTTCGGTCTTCAATTGCCCAACACGGACTTTACCAGGTCATCAACCAGTCTCCTCACAACCCTCCTCGTTTACAGCCCACCTCATTCACGATAATAATCAGTGTTTTGGACTTTCAAAGATGTCACAAAATCGGCCTGCTGCCTTCTCGAGCTTGAGAATGGGAGGTAAGAAACATACTCCTGTCTATGGTTTTGCCCCTTTACCTCATCGTCACTTTCTTTCTTTCTTTTCGACCTTACTCTAACGTTTTAATTTTACAGAGGTAATCCGCGAAAAGGTCCAAGATGGCATTACCGGCGAAACTCGAGATATGCAATATACACAATGCAAGATCGTACGAAATGGTTCCTTTGGTGTTGTCTTTCAGACCAAGTTGTCACCTTCGGGAGAAGATGCTGCCATCAAACGCGTTTGCAAGACAAGAGGTTCAAGGTTCGCGACACCCTTTTGAGTCCATCATGATGCCGTACTGATATAAATATAGAATCGTGAATTGCAAATCATGCGCATCGTTCGTCATCCCAACATTGTCGAATTAAAGGCTTTCTATTATTCAAACGGCGAACGAGTGAGTCTTCTCCCTTGCTACATGAAGCTATCGTGCATCTCTAATGTCATTTGAGTAGAAGGATGAGGTATATCTTAATCTAGTGCAAGAGTTCGTCCCTGAGACGGTTTACCGCGCATCGAGATATTTCAACAAGATGAAGACAACCATGCCGATCATCGAAGTGAAGCTGTACATCTATCAACTCTTCCGCGCTCTCGCCTATATCCACTCACAAGGAATCTGCCATCGTGATATCAAGCCACAAAATTTACTTCTTGACCCTGGTAGTGGAATTTTGAAGTTGTGTGATTTTGGTAGTGCAAAGATACTCGTAGAGAATGAGCCAAACGTTTCATACATCTGCTCACGCTATTACCGAGCACCAGAATTGATTTTCGGTGCTACCAACTACACAACCAAGATTGGTAAGAATAATTTGGACACGGTGTATGTGAATAGATGATGCTGACGGTGAAAATAGATGTTTGGTCAACTGGTTGCGTGATGGCAGAATTGATGCTGGGACAACCTCTCTTCCCTGGTGAATCTGGTATTGATCAACTGGTCGAGATCATCAAGGTTCTAGGTACACCAACTCGAGACCAAATTCGTACCATGAATCCCAACTACATGGAGCACAAGTTCCCACAAATCAAGCCACACCCATTCAACAAGGTCTTCCGTAAGGCCGACGCTAGTGCCATCGAACTTATTTCCAAGCTACTAGAGTACACTCCTACCGAGAGGCTTTCAGCTATTGAAGCGATGGTTCACCCGTTCTTTGATGAATTACGTGAACCCGATAAGACATTCCCAGATTCTCGTCACCCTGGTAATTCAGCGAAGAACTTGCCAACCTTGTTCGATTTCTCCATTCATGGTAAGTTAAGAGTGGTGTGTGGGAGGTATTTATCATATTGACCTTTGAACAGAATTATCCATTGCACCGGAACACAATCAACGGCTGGTACCGCAATATATTCGACCAAGTTTGGTAGCAAGGGATAGCAAACTCGATATTGATAGTCCAAATTTCAAACCATTGACGAGAGATGCGATGATGGCAAGATTAGATTGAGGAGGAGGTTCAAGCAAAATGACTGATGAATGAATGCTTTCCTGTCACTCGACATATGAGCTCTGCAACGGAGTCGAGATTTTTCGAGCGATAAAACACCCCGGCTATAACCACCCTTCAGCATATTAAAGGTTCTGCATATCTCGTCTGCAACGTTGGCAGGCCAAAATCAAGTTTGTGGAAGTCCGGACGAATGCATGGCAGGAATACGAAGTTAGTCTATGATGAATGGTATGCGTTATTTGGTTTGATAGGAATACCCATAAGGTGGAATTTTCGTTGAGCACGAGCTTTAAGTTCACCTAAGGAATGTTACCTTGGTACTCGAAACAGCGGTCATTGGGAAAAAGGGCAGATGGAATATGATGGATATTGGTTCATGAAAAGGGGTATGAAATGTGGAAGTGGGTGGTAGTTTATGGGGAATTCAACGAATACTTCTATCGACACCTCGTTACTAGACTTTCTTGCATGAGGAGAAAAAAATTATGGCCTTTTTTGCTCTCTGTCTTGATGTTTTTTGTTTTATTTTCAAAGTTCAAAGTGTTACCAAGTTTGTGTTGTGTGTGCGTGTCACTTGTGATGAGGAGATTGATGGGTAGTGGCTGGGCCTTATTTAATTCAAACTTTTTCGACTATTTCTTATTTTATTTCCCCCTTTTTTCCTTCTTCCTGACGACTTACTCTCTACTTTGACTTTGATATTCTAGTACTCGAGCAACAAGGAAGGAAGCAAGCAAGCAAGCAAGATTCAGGCGTATGATTTTTTTTGTTCCTGGTTATTTATAAATTCCAATCAATCAAGGATGTATGTATGCATGCATATTGATATTGACATTGTATGGAAAGGGATTAATAATTTGGGAGGGGGAGTGGGATTGGGATTGAGATTGGCATGTGGT